GAAGTACAATCGAGAATCGAGTGAAAGATAGCCAAATGCCTATTGTCGAATATAAACTAAGAAATTAGAGTTATGAGGTCAAGGTTAAAAAAGGAACCGTAAGCAATTTGGAGTTCTCGAAAACACAAAATCGAAAGTGAAGAAAGCCAACCTGCGTGGACATCGAAACTTCGGCCAAACCGTGAAAAGAAGAATAGTCAAACGCACATATAGGAAGCAGTTTCTAAACCATAATAGAAGTCGAAGATCGTGAGAACGTGGAAAGCTGTAGAAGATAAATCGCAACATGCACGTAGAACGTGGTAGCGGTTTTGTTAACTCGCCCTGGAAGGCTTGAATGATGCCCTATAAATAGAGCAAAGGAGGAAGGAACAGGGAGCGGAAATTGGCAGAGAACAGGATTAGTAGTGAAAAAGTCTACCGGAGAAACGACGAACATCATGAAGCTTCTGGCAATCTGGATTTCTATGCTCACGGAGTACCTTTATCGCTTTCTTTATTTCCCTTGGTAATTTATTTTGGTGCAATTTATATTCAGCAATTTTATGTTTCTGTATTTTCGATTCTTGGTCATTTCGATTCAATGCAAGTTAAGTTTCCGTGTTTAAATTCCCTGGTCATTTTACATTAATGCAATTTCGATTTCTAGTCATTTACTGCACCTTTGATTTTATATCCTTTACATTTCCTGCAAATTCAATTTCTCGTTATTTACATCGTTGCTGTTTCGATTCCTTGTCTTTTACACTTAAAGCAAATTTAAGGTTCTCGTAGTTTGCATTTCTTTGCAATCTAAGTTTCAGCACTGCTGTTCGATTCCATATATTTTCTGCTTTCTTTACTTCGAGTATTCTTAATACAAAACACTAAAAATAGTATTTTTGAAATCGGGTAAAATTCGATCCTCATACATATTTTGATTGAAACTTAATTTACTAGCCTGAGTAAAAAGAACTTATGTGGTAGAATTTTGATTAGGATCAAAATATCTTAAGAGTCAAAATCGATCGAAATTCCACCAGAAACAGGTGGCAACAGCAAGACTATGTGCCATGGTTTAATTAGACAGTATCAGCATAGCTCCAGTGAGAGCTCTGAATACCATTACAGAAATTTTGGATATAAGGGAAAAGCTTAGAATGCAGCAGAGTAAGCCTATATTTCTCATGTCATGTGTCAAAACAAATACCACACTATATACTGAACATAGAAGAGAGACAAGGATGGAATATTTCCATGCATGCGCAGATCAGCGAGGATGTTCGAGAATGAGGAAAGAAAGAGGCCTCAATATTGGGCTATTCTCTCACACTTTGTTTTCTACTTCTACTATAATAGACATAATGGTTATGTTTATTTGTGCTTAAAAAACAAATTTCTGAAAAACGATTTAGTAATTCTTTATATAAGCAGAAAATGATATGCATTTGTTTTTTGTAAATATATATATATATATATATATATATATATATTAATTAAAAGTGTATAACTTTTTATGGTATATTTTATTTTCAAAATAAAATATTAAAAAATACTGAAATGGATGTAAAAGTGACAATTTAAATTTTTGGTACACAAATAAAAACTATCAATTTAAGTCCATTATTTTAAAACTGCATTTTTCAAAGATCTAAAAGAATTTTCATTAATAAAAAAGTGGCAGTAAATAAAGCTGTCTTTATTATATTTAACTTAAAGTTTTAATTCCTATAATTGATTTATACATATCTTATATTTCTTTCATTTTGATTTGGGAGATGTGTGGTTAATAACCGGTACAACCTAAAATATCTTATATGTCTTTAATAGCAGTTGTTTTAAAACACACAACTTCAAATAGTATTCAGCATCCTAATGCAGCCTTGCCCTTTGACAAATAATTAACTTTGAAATCAATATTTCAAATAAGGATATCACATTATAGGTCTTGTCCAACAATCATTTCATAGCTTCAAAGTAAGTTTTTAACTCAAAATGTGAAAAAACAAACATAACAAATAATGAGTAAGTTTATGATAAATTATTACAAGATATAACAGAATTTAAATGATACATAATCCTTAATGATAATGGAAACATTAACATTATTCAGGTACTAAGTAGGTTGAAAGGATTAACAAATTTATGTTTTATTAGGCTCTTTATTTTCTTTCAAAAATATCGTGTCATTTTCATGATCATTATCATTATAGTCATCAAATTATGAGAGCGTGAAAAAATTGGCTTGTGATGGTGGATAATGAATTCTATTAATTTTCAATGAGAAGACTTTCATCATGGATAATAGATATAAATTTTTATTGTATTATAAATTTATGATATTAAGAATTAATTTAAATTCTTCACACATTCAAATACTAAATAATATATTTCGCACGTTTTAAAAAAAATCAAATTATCGTTTAAAAAATGTAAATAAAAAAATTCTTTATAAATATATGTATAATATATTCGAAGAACATATAAAAATGTTAATAAAAAAAATCATATATCGATTTATTATTTTAATCTTAAAATAGTGAAAACTTAAAACTACGTTGAAAAGTTTTAAGACGATATTATTATGATATTCAAAATAAATAAAATTCATAATATAAATTCGGGGTAATAACAAGATCACAGTGACGTAGATGAGTAATAAATTTATATAATATTTTATATATGTAACTAGGTGTTGGTAGAGGATTAGATTGAAAAGATAAAAATATTTTCACAACCAACCTTTAAACAAACCACCAATTAAACTATTTATCTCTATTTTTAATCATAAATTTACTCATTATATATTATTATTATTATTATATTAATATAAGCGAATGTCTAAAAAGATATATTTAACTATTTCATTATCAAAATATCACTATTTAATTTCAAATACCGTTGTATTTAGTTTAGTTTTTTAAATAATGGGTTAAGTATATTTTTAGTATTTATATTTTAATGTAAATTTGAAAATAGTCTATCAGTTTATTTAAAAAATGATTCTTATATTTTTGAAATTATTGGAATAAGTCTCTATTTTAAATGACGTTAAATATATGGTAATCTATCTAACAGAGATAGTATGACTCATTCATTATTTGACACGTGTAATTATTTAAAAAACAAAACAAAACTCTTTTAAAAAAAATATAATTTATTCAACAGATATTATTATTTAAAAAAAACAAAATTAAAAAGTACATATGTGGTGAAATGTTCTAGAGAAACCCATTTCTAAATTTTCCAATTTCCAATTCTTCAACCTCACAAATTTACCCATGTGGTGAAATGTTACAGAAAAATCCATTATAATCCTAAAATATGAAAAATTGATTCAAACAATGTACGACAAAAATTCTAAATCATTTTAACAAAACCCTAAAAATGCATGCATTATAACACAAAATAAACATTTAGTTTTGCAAATAAAAAAACATACCTTAATTTTCGGAAATGAAAACCCTAGCTATGGTATAGCACCGTTGTTATACATCACCGTCGCATTGTGAGTCGAACCACAACGAACCGATGGAACCCTCGAATTTCAAAGTCACTTTGACTTCATAAACCTTTACAGAGAAATGGTAAGAAAGAAAATACCTTTAGTGTGTGACGAGAAAAGAAAAGAGAACGAAAAATAGTTGTGACGATAAAAGAAAAGATAATGAAAAGTAGTTATGACGAGAATTGGAGAACTTTGGTGCGTGAGAAGAAAAGAAAAACTTATACTTTTTAATTTTGTTTTTTTTAAAATAATAATCTTTGTTGAATAATTTCTATTTTTTTTTAAATAAGAGTTTTGATTTTTTTTTAATAATTACACGTGTCAAATAATGAATAAGTCATATTATATCCATAAGACATGTCACTATATATTTAAGGTCATTTAAATTACTGACATATTTCAATCGTTTCAAAAGTATATAGATCATTTTTATGTGAACTTTGACAAATGGACTATATATAATTTCATATGAAAGTACATGAACTAAAAATATATTTAACCCTAAAATAATTTACACTAGAGTAAATTAATATGTTGCGATATATTTAAGATAATTTATAGGTTTTTTATTATAAAAATATTAAATACATTATAGTAAATAAATTATTTAACAGAAATAAAATTTATAATTAATTATGATATTAAATGTTTTAATTTATTTTATATGTTTTCATCTATAATTTAAAAAATAATAATACATGTAATATATTATATAAAGCTAATTAAGCCTCTAACTATAGTTTATGTTTTAAGGTCTTACATGTGTTTGTTATTGTTTGTAAAAGAACAATTAACAAAAATTCAATCTATTTTATTTTGTCAACAACAATTAACAAATTAATTTTATTTTCAACCACAAACATAACAAACTAAAAATATAAATTAAATATATAATGAAAACATATTTCATTTTTTGTCATCATCATCACATATAATTATTTTTATTAAATATTAATGATGAAAAAGAAAAAAATTAAAAAATGGTTATTATAGTATTATATATTTAGAAAATGTGTAAAATAAATAAAAATAAAGAAAAAATATGATATATATTAAAGATAAAAATTTAATATTATAAAAAATATATGCATAGTGTATTTGTGTTGCTAGTAATATATTTTTAAAAGATTTGAAGAGAGGATAAAGGAAGGAATTGGATAAGTAAATAAATTTATTATTAAATATCTAGAATATGAAATAAACCTTTTAGCCTAAAGTTATATAGTGGTAAGTAAAATTATTTAAGAAATCAATTTAGCCCCCTATTTTTAATTTTATTCATGAATTGGACCAATAAAAATATAAACCCAAGCCCATTGAACCTGCGACCTCAACCCTAACCATACTAATACCACAACTCCTCAGTGATTCGATTCTGTACCCGCCGCCGCAGCAAGTGATCGAAGCGAAAACAGCGTAATCAGAAGAGAAATTCATCGTTGCTGCGATGGGTGAGTTCATGTTTGAGAACGAGGTATGATATTGTTGCTTTATTGTGCATAATGAATAATACATGACGCAATTTGCAGGTAAGGTTCACGGATCACTCGCACGTGCCGGAAAAGTCAGAGGCCAAACCCCCAAAGTGGCGAAGCAGGACAAGAAGAAGAAGCCACGTGGACGAGCCCACAAGAGGATGCAGTACAATCGCCGATTCGTCACCGCCGGTATTCCTCGAACCCTAATTTTTGCTTCATTTTCTATTTCATACGATTGAGTGATATTCTGTGTGTTAGAAAAGTAGAAGATAGATATTTTTGTAGTCTCTAATGAGGGATTCGGTTTATGTTGTTGTAGTGGTGGGATTCGGCAAGAAGAGGGGACCCAACTCATCTGAGAAGTGAGGTTGAGGCTTGAAGAATATGTGACTACTCTTTTATTTGATTTATCTTTCTTTTTTTCTTTGCTCAATGTTTTGATTAAGTCGTGTGAACGAATCTATTGTTAGCTCTATATCAAACATCAAACTGGATAATTTGCATACAATTTTAATATTCCATTTTAGTTCATTGCTTCTACAAGATGGAAGGAACTATTATTTGTGTTGGCATTTAGCAATCAATCACATTGATGCTGTTGAACGAAGCCTTTGTGAAGAAACAGGACAATCCTCTGAACCTGCATTACCAGGTAATTTCTCTGCCTTGAGAATTTTGCGCCTTTATAGGGGGCAAGAATGAAATTCGAATTTTTAGCAAGTTGGAAATTTAATATGTTCCGCAATGGTAGAGAAGTATAGTAAACCCTATAGTACGAATGTAAAACCCTACGTCTTCGCATTGATTTTCTCATATTTACACTAAAATATGACCTTATTCGACTCTCTCTCCCCAGCTTTTTTATTCTAAACTTTTCTGCACGCCTCCAATTTTTTTTATGTATTTGGAATTGTTAGATTTGCTTGAAGGATTAACCCATTTTGTCTTTCCATTAATATCAATGGATGCATAAAATTTGTGATTTCCGTTGGTAGGTTTTTTATTTACTGTAAGTAATGTTCTGTTGACGGTATTCAAAGTGCTGGAAGGATTTAGTTGATGCATTCATCTGCTAATGCTCTAAAACACGAACGATTTTATTTCTTACCCTTCTTCCACCTTTTTCGACAACTTTTCATTAGATAAAAACTGCCTTTTTTTATTTTTGGTGTAAAACTATTATCTGCTTGAAGGCATCGGATCAATCACCTAATATATGGTTTCTGAATTCTGTCATATTATTTCTTATTGGTTCAAATTCATCTAAGTTCAGAAATTTGATTTAAGTTTTTATATGAATGGTCATTAATTTCATCTTTTCACACGTAAAATTATTATTTGACCTCACTAGATATTATTTTAAAAATAATGTAATGATGTGCGAAAAAACGCTGGTAACTTTAAGCAACAGGTAAAACAATTGGTGCACAGTAGATGTCTCCTATAAATTATATTTTAGCAAATTTTAATTCTTTAAAATGTAAGCGTTGCATTTTTTTTTATTGGTTTGGATAGTAAAATTCATTATGGGTTGGTGAGAGTCAATTACGGAAGGTGTTATTAAGTATGGGTTTAATAATTCAACATGCCCATTTAAGCCTGAAATTTTTTTTGTTACAATCATTATAAAATTCAATAAACAAAACGAGTTTATTTTTCCTTTATATCTGAATTGAGAATAGTTTTATAAGTTTCAAAGTTTGTGAATATAAATATTTATGAAGTATTATAATAACTGGGTGACAACTTCGCAAATATATTGCTTACAGCTAGAAGGAAAAAATATCTTTTAAAACTGCTTGTTAGCGGATAGTTAATAGAATTGTCAACTTCAACAAGTGTCTTTGGAGGTAAACAATTCATACTTTGGAAAACCATGAACATATGCAATGATTGAAGACTAAGGTACCTGAGCCAGATTACAATGAGCAGGATCAACATTCTAAAATGCAGAAACATTTAAGGTCTTCAATATAACTCCATAGTTGTGTAAAATTCAATTCTTATAATTTAGAATGCTCTGCATTCTTCAAACACCTAGACAGTCAAATGCAGACATTTTGATGAGCATATTAAAACTACATATGTACGTCTTATGTCCAATCCGTGCACATTTGTTTGCAAGACTTTATTTTTTAATTCTCAGGAATATTGTTCCTGAAAATGTTATACCCAAGAATAATATGGGATAACTTGAAACAAACCCTCCCGATTTTCTTCCATTATGGGGCCGAGCAAATCATATTTATCAAGGAAATTGGTTAGTTTAATAATAAATTTATCTATAATTATAACTTTTAGATAATAAATGTAGGAGAAAGAATTATACTTGCAAAGTTTGAATTGTTAAAAGTAGTGAAAAGTAATCTTTGTAAGACGACTCTTGTCAAATTTTGGAATGAGCAAAGGCGCAAGAAGGTGAAAAAAAGATAATTTAATTATTAGTTTTTCTGAGACTGCAGGCGCGCATATAAACGCATAAAAATTTCTTCGTAAAGTAAGCCATATAAATTAAAATAAAGGATGTAAAATAAACTTCAATACAAATAAAATGAATGCCGATTTTATGCTGGTATTTGATAACCGTAATTCGAAGTTGCCAACATTCAACTACTGCTCTACTGTACATGGTAACGCTGCATAACACTCTTACCGAGGGGGAAAGGGGCTACGACAAAGTTTTGTACAACTTTCTATACGAAATCCTCTAATACACTATACGAAATTTCTATCTACCGTCGCAAGTTCATGCTATGACATGCAGAAGTGCCCTTCTATGTCTGGAGCAAAACCTTTCTCCAACATTTCAAGTCTTACTATATCGTAGGTAGTTCGATTCGGATTCAAACCCTTTTCCAACATCTCATTAAGAAGCCTATTTGCATCCTCTAGCTTGCCTGTTCTACAAAATCCTTTAATCAGCACATTATATGTAACAACATTTGCCCGCTTCCCTTCTTTCTCCATCCGGCTCCTTACCTTCAATGCTGCCTTCAGATTTCCCTCCATGCAATATCCATCCATCAAAGTATTATATGTTACATGATTAGGTTTGACACCAACGTTGAGCATTTCGCCAAGTAATTTTTCTGCCTTACTTGATTCACTGTCTTTGCACCATTTATCTATTAAGATGTTACATGTTATAATATCAGCTTTAAGGCCATAGGCCTGCATTTCATTGAGAAGATACTTTGCAGCTCTTGAGTTCTGGTTCCTGCATAAGCCTGCAATTAAACAATTATAGGTTGAAACATTTGGACAAATCCCTTCATCTAGCATCGATTTATGCAGTGCAAATGCTTCTTCCATCATCCCGTCTTTGCAGAGTGTATCAATCAATGTATTGAATGTTATTGCATTGGGGACCAAACCTTGTTTAGCTATATCATCTAAGAGTTTTCTTGCTTCCTTCATCATCTTCTTCTTGCAAAACCCATTAATTAGAGCATTATAGGTAACAATATTCGGCTTCAAACCCAAGCCAACCATCTTATCCCACAAAGCAATAGCTTCATCTAGCTTCCCATTATTACATAAACCATTTATCAGTGAGTTATATGTAACTAAATTAGGTTGTAGTCCCAGCCTTTGCATCTCTTCTAAAGCCTTTTTTGCAGCCAACACATTCTCATCCTTACAAAAACCATCAATAAGAGAATTAAAGGTGATCTCATTCGGACAAATTTTATTAGCAAGCATTTCCTTCAAAATGGCATCAGCTCTGTACATTTTTCCAGCACTGCCCTTCTTGCAATGCCCATCAATCAGTGTGTTATAAGTCACTACATTTGGGAAAAAACCCCAGGCTTTGATGTCTTCAATGACATCCTCTGCCTTAGCTAGTTTACCAGCTTTACAGAGACCATTGATGAGAATATTAAATGTTGTCAAGTTAGGCTGAATTCTCCTCTTTACCATTTCCTTGTACACGTATTCCATTTCTCCTGTTTCGTTTTCCTTCACCAATCCACTCAACAACGGATTGCACGAATTCAGTGATAACTTATATCCATAATATTGAGATTGCCTAAACGTTTCAAAAGCACAGCGGATTTTTAAATTTCTCACATATGCTAGGATCAACATATCAATTATTAGAGCATTTGCACAAGGTCGGTCACCACCCAACAAAAGAGAGTGAAAAAGTGAAGAATCTGTATGGTTCTCATTCTTCACAAGTTTATCCAAAAAGGACCTGACTTTAGAGTACCTTTTTGAATTTGCTAGAAGATGTACGACTTTGCCAGTAGTTTCAAGACCATATGAAATCCTGAACTCTTTCTGAGACCACTGAAAGAACCTTAAAACAAGCTCTGAATCAACACCCGCGTTGAACAATTGGTCAAGGAATATTGCAGGTTTGGTTGTTCTAAAAAGGGGTTTGAGCTCTGACCAGTGTTGTTTACTCAACAGCTCTGAAATTGTAGATATGCTCATCGACTGGAAGACTAAACCTTTGAGATAAAGAAAAGAAAAAAATTAGCACAAGTTGGATAACTAAATTATCTGCTGATGAGAAAAGATAATTATGCCAAGGGAGACATTAGCATTAATCTAGACAATAATAATAATTTAACGTTTTCCATTTTTTGAAATTATAATGTTATTGTACTAATAAGAGTATTCATGATAGATACATGAAACGAAAAAAAGTCAAACATGAGTAGTTAAGGATATTATCGTTTAACAAAAATTGATAGGAACAAGGAGAGAACACTAAAAAAAAATATATCAAGCAGTTAAAATTTTAATGTAATAATAACAATAAAAAAATATGAAGATTTAAGAAGAAGAATCAATCCTCGGAATCACATGAATTATTTACTACTTTTTACTATTTTATACATGTACTGAAACAATTATAACAATTTACGGGTGGAAAAAGCTTAACTACCTTCAACAGATCCAGTAAATTTGCCTAGAACCATTGTTCCCTGAATCCTCCTTCCCTTGATATGTCAGTTAATATATATAGTAAAGTTCATCGCTGATGGCAAACATAAACTGCAATGTGTTGTGTTTGTATTAGAAACGAAACATGCTATACATCAAAAGTATAAAAACAAGTAAAAAGAAATAGTATTGGTATATATCGTCATAGAAAATCAAATTACGCATAATTTTTATTAACCAGGAATGGTTGAATTTGTTTACGGTTATTAGCGTTTCATTAATATTTTCATGTTTAATGGGTTTAGTACACTTTGGATATAAAATAAAATTAGAAAAAATATATTGTTATAGCATAACACACGCAAAAAAAAAAAAAAAATTATAACATAGAACAGTCTGCAGTGGCTTGCCTTGGATAATGGGTTGTCTTCAACTTCACTTCGTGCCCTAAATTGCATTGTATATTATTCATTGGGGGCGTCCACATGGCTTCTTCTTATTGTCCTGCTTCGCCACTTTGGGGGTTTGCCCTCTGACTTTGCAGGCATATGCGAGTGAACCGTGAACCTTACCTGCAAATTAAGTTATGTATTATTCATTGCGCACAATAGCCCAACAATATCATACCTCGTTCTCAAACATGAACTCACCTATCACAGCGACGATGAATTTCTCTTCCGACTACTCTGTTTTCGCTTCGATCACTTGTTGCGTCCGCGGGTACAGAACCAAATCACAAAAGAGTTGTGGTATTAGTATTGTTAGGGTTTAGGGTTGGGGTCGCCGGTTCAAATTTCCAATCAATAGTCGGCGAATAGGAATCGCCAGCGTTCGGGTTGGCGGCACAACCTCCTTGGGGTTGCGCGGTGGGGTGCTGGCGTCCGGGATGGTGTGTTAACGGGTTGGTGCGTTGGTGTGTTTTATTCATTTCTAGTTGTTGTTGAAGTGTGTTAGTATTTAGTGGGCTGGGCCTGAGAGGATGCTAAGGCATGCACCTCCATTCTTTCTTCTTATTCTCCATAGTCATCAAAAATAACAATATTGTCCTAGTATAAATAGGTTCTTGAAAGCTATTTTAAAAAAATAAATAAATTCGGATTTACCTTTTTAAATTTTTTTGGAAAATGATTCACAATCAACTTTTCAAAAATATTCTAAAAAACTAATTTCAATTTTTTTTTAAATACATTTCCAGAAAACATTTGAAAATAAGTTTTTTAAATTGTATTTTCTAAAAATATATTTCAGATTTAATAATCTAAAATTTACTTTAAAATTGTATTTTATGAAATAATTTTTGAAAAATACAATTTAAAAATAAGTTTTAGATTACCTTATTTATTTCTAAATTTTGTTTTTTATAAATATATTTCAGATATAATAATCTAAACATCACAAATATAAATTAAATATATATTTTTTTTATGAAATTTTTGGATGTACAGCATATTGCTTGAATGAAGGTGCAAACGGACGGATGTGTAGATAATGCGGAAGAAAAAAATTGACATCAAAATACTTTTGGCACACTTTACTATGGATATGTTTTTGTATATAATTGGGCACACTTTATTTATAATGGTGTAGTTACCTTCTTTGTTGGATTTACTAAATACACTCGAGAGTTAACATCTTAATAGTAAGTGAGCCAATAGAATTAAAATATAAATGTTCGTGAAAAATGGTTACACTCAATTAAAAATGTATGTTTATGTTTGTTATCCTATTACAACATGTAGTTAAAAGAAAGAACATTAATTATAATGAAACAAGGTTTAGCTTACCCCGTGTCAGTTTTTTTCTTATAATTTTTCTTGTTTTTCTTTTTAGATATATTTTTTTATTATTGATTATTTTATTAAGTTTATCCAATGTTTGACCTTTATTGTTGTATGAATTTATTCTTTCCTATTTTACTTTATTTCTGTTTGCCTAATTATTATATGATTCTAAAGTAGTGGCATGTGTACCTGACTTGATTTTCTACTTCATCTATTTTATGTTGTTATATAATATAATTGTAGATAATATGTAAACTAACAAAGAAATAAAAACTTTAAGTTCGTAAATACAATGTTAGATTTAATTACTCAATATCACCAATGGTATTGGTTTCTTACTTGATAAACTTGTTTCCCAACTTATAATTTTGAAATAATGGACGTATTAATTAGAGACAACTCACCTTAATTCAAGGTAAAAATATGAACTTTTAAACTAATTTTTTTCTTTAAAAAATATATATTTATATTAGGTCATAAACAATAGAAAATTTACCTTAGATTGAAATAAGAAGTAGTAGAAAAGTAATGAAACGGAGAAAAAGAATCGAGTGTCAAAAAATAGAAAGGTGAAAAGCACGAGTTTGAGTGAATATTTATAGAAAAATTTAACTTATATTAAGTTTTTGAGTAAGTAAAAAAAGATTATAATATTCTTACCTACTCCTTTTCTTTTGTGGTCAGATTTGAGAGTAAGAAAGAAAAATAAAGGAAAAAAATATATTCTCTTCCTTTAAAAAGGTTGTGGTCCGTAAAAATGATAGAGAAAATGGAAAATATGTATTTTTAATTTCTCTGCATATTTCCACCTAATAAGATTTTATATATATATTTCTTCTTAATATTTATTTAAGCATTAGATTAATTTTTTAGGATGTTACAATTTATTTATCGCAGTGTGTTAATTTTCACAACTCTACCTCGAATGACGAAAGAAACTACGTTAGCTACGACGAAGGCTGTTTGGATGCGTTGAAATTGATGAACAGTGATCATACAGTGCGCACTGGCCTCACTTTAATTCACCTCTACCTTCTTCTCACTCATTCAAAAATCACTACTCTTTCTATCTCTACCTGATCATTATCACTTTTCCTACTCAAAGTATCAAAATAATAATAAATACACCATCACCATTCTGGTTAAGTTTTTATGAAGCAATATCACATGATAAACAAAAGGCCACCGCTTTTGTTTTTTATTCTATTCCAACTGTCATTACTACCATAAAGTAAAACTATGTCTCACCAACACGTTATTCATCCAACTAATGATACATGTGACAGAGTTTAATCATCAACAATATCAAGATAATTTTAAAAAGAAACCAGTTAATCACACTCCTTTTGTCAACAACAAAAACATAATTTCAATTTATCTTGTTTGAGTCTTGGTAAATTTATAATTGTATTAAATATTTGAAGATCGGTTCATCAACTACATTAAATACATGATATCAGAAACGCTTGTGTTATTAATCTTTCAATAAATATCTGATCTGCGAAACTCCATAGCCCATCCTGTCATAAATCTGACTATTTCGTTGATAAGAACAGTACACTGCGGGGCACCCTTTCCACCAGGATTCTTCGTTTTGTTCAACAACGGATAAGTCTTTCGTAATAAAACAAAAGTAAACCTATTATCTCCAACCAAAAAATTAGAAAAGAAAAAAAAATGCAAGGATTCTTTTTCCCTAATATCTCCCGGTCATCACGGAACTAACTACAGACTCACAGAAAGGAAACGAATTGCAGCGTTTGTATTGCCGTCTTTCAACTCCATCTCCGGAAAATCCATTTCATGCTTCACGCGATTTCAAGCAAAAAACAAAGACGAAGAAAACGAGTCGATTTATATTATTATTTTTTCTCAAAGGTGGAAAGACAGGTGAGAGACCTGGTGAAACAGAATCAGAGCACAAATATGGAATCCAACACTTGAGTAGTTTCAAAACCCAACGTTGTTGGTCCACAACCATGAACCAAATCCCAAAAACACACACGACTGAGTTTGCTTTGCAACTTGCAACTAACTGCTTCCAGTGCATCCACCCAACAAACAAGACTGTTGGTAAGTTATTCACCATCTTAAACAATGACAGAATCAAGGGTCAAACTCGATTCAAGACAAGGATGAAATGCTACGTTAGTTGATTCACGCACTTCATGATCATTAAAATTAAAACGTGTCAGCGAGCAGAGTTTAGTAACAGCATGTATAACTCCAGAGTTAGGCGCAACAGACAGTTGGTGAAAACATAAATTTTAAGCTATCATTGTACCATCAAAAGCATTTGATCTAACAATGAACACAATGAAATATTAATTCTCAACTACTTTAAAAAAAATGAAAACAATATAAAAAAAAAGAAAAGACTTTACCCAAGTAATGAATTAATCATCAAATTGGGCATCAGAAACAACACTGATGTCGTCTTCTTCGGTTGGAGCAGGCAAGTTGAGATCTATGAAACTCTCTTTGAGCCTAATGGAATCATTCGCGGTTGACGAGGAAGAAGGTACGAGGTGAGATCTCTTGTGGCCACCGAGTGCTTGACCAGACCCAAACACCCTAGAACAGAAGGGGCATTCGAAGATTTTACTTTCGTTACCCGACCCTTCGCAAATGCTGCGGTGACTGCCCAATGCGCGTGAAGATCGAAACGTCTTCTCGCAACTCTGGCATTGGTGCTTCCTGCGAACTATCCTGACATTGATCTCTTCCACTGATCTCTCTTCTTCGTCTTCGACGACATGGTTGTCGACAACAACGTTGGTGCTCTTGCTCCACCGGTCCCTGGATAGCATCATGAGACACATGGCCACATCTTCCTCAGGGGAAGTGTCGGAGACGGAGCTCAAAGGCTCGGGGGATTCCATGAAGCTGAGTTTAGGCCGGGCTATGGACTGGGAATTGGCGGGCCTGCGGGCTCGCTTGGATCGTCGGCGAGTTGGGTTCTTTGACTCGGTCTCGCTCTCCCTGTCTTGCACGACAGAGCCCGAGTCGAACTCGGGATCTGCGAGCCTGTAACATTTCTTGGGATTCTCTCGCAACGCATAGTTGATCAGAGCCTTTTCTTCTCCTTCATCATCTTCGAACTCTTGACGTGAGGAGGAATTGGACGAGAAAGAATTTAGAGAGTGAGGGAGACTTTGGGGTTTGGGTGGAAGAGGAAGGGTGGCTAAGTGAGCCTTCATGTGGCCACCGAGGGCTCTGCCATTGGCGAATGTTCTGGAACAGAACTTGCATTTGTGGCGCTCCATCTCACGGAGTAGTCCAAATGCAGAGAGAATACCTTATTCTGATCCTTTTTGGTTTGGTTTGGTTTGGTTTTTGGGGAATTTGGGAACTTAAAAAGGAGTAGGTAACAAGCGTTCTTCCACCAATACGACACACACGACCCAAAAGTTATGGTTGAAATAATAATATTTATTATTATTGTGACTCAAATAATAATATTTTGCTAGATATATGTATACATGTACTGCGTATTTATATGGGTTGTGATTCGTGATGCTCAACACAACAAATTCCAACAGTGACATTCATTATTCGGTCGTAAAAACTAACAAAGTGTGATCGTGAACAGTGAAAAGAGCAACCGCGAACATGCAAACCTCGCCCCCCTACGGAATAACTTTTTTTCACTCGCTGCTTTCTGTTTCTCAGCCTCTAAAGAAACGTTTTTTTTTTTTTTTTTCAACTGGTAACTCCTCCCATTTAATTCCACGATTATTATTGTTTCTTCATAAATAAGAGGTCATATTTCTTACTGTAACAGTAAATGGCTTGTGTTCTGTTTCAAAAATACACACTGCTATTTTATGTGGTTTCCAAGGGGAAACATGTTTTATATACAGAGAGAGCGATTAGTTTTTTTAATTAGGTATTATTTCAACAATATAATTCCTCTTAAGAGAATAAAATAAAATAAAAATTAACCTCTCTATGAATCAAAATAATATTTATATAAATTAATTTGTAGAAATATTTCATATACTTTCTCCAAAGCTTTCTTATCATGTATATAAATTAATTTTAGCTTATAATTGTTTTTTCATAAAAAGTATTTTTGGATAAACAAAATGTATATTTATGTGAGAATTTGAGAAACATCTTATTTAACCCTTAAAAAGCATGGTGAGTTCTCTCCTCGCCTATTTATTATATTTAATTTTCAACGCACATTATCACATTAAGTATATTAATGAACCCATAAATAATTCAATTGCATGTAATTAATTCATTTCATTAACTAATATTCTAAATATCTATAACGGATGTTATAATATTTTAATATCATTAATATTCATACTCATCCCATATTAAAAATTAAAAAAAATGTATAGTTTAATTATGTCTTTAAATAAGGTATGATTTTGATTTGCAGGAAAATAATATAAAAGTAAAAAAAAAGTAAATAAATGAAAAAAATACCAAAAATAATAATGATTTGATTAAAAATTGATTTTTTAAGTAAGAACTAAAAACAATTAATTTTATTATTTATTATTAATGTAATTATTATTATTATTATTATTATTGATTATTAATAAAAATAAAGTTACATGATGTATTAAGATAGCAAAATAAGTCATCAACTAAAGAAAAGAAAGCTACTTAATCAATTATTGACATTTGATTCTGTCCGCTGAAACATACGAAATTAATTAATAAATTGTGTTAATGTGAGTGCATTTGTTGTGTGATCTGACACATAAGACTTCGCTTAGCATGCCATGCACTGGCCATTGCCGACTCACAACCTGTCGTGTGTCACGTCATCAATTCATCGTACTCATAGCACACGCTGCCACCATGACACGTATCACTTCCTTTCCTTTCTAATTACCATACGTAAATCCACTTTTTAATACATTGTTTTTTTGTAAAATTAAGTAATTTATTATAAAATAATGTTAAAAATAAATTTAACTTTATAAAATATTAATTAAAATAAAAATTATATTTAATATATATATATATATATATATATATATTATAATATTATTTTGTTTTTATCACATTCTTTATTTTATCTTATTCTTTTATCTTGAACGATTTTTAGGATTTTTTTTTTCACATTTCTTATGCTGAATCTTTTGTTATAACACGAAGATAACAACACCTTGTCACTTTTATTTATTTTTCTATTCTTATGAAATGACAAAATTGAATTGAAAAGTTACGACATTTTACAATGATCAAATGAATATTTTATCATAACAAATTTTTTAGTAATAATCATATGTATTTATTTTTGAATTACTGTCAACAAACTTTTAATAGAATTAAATTTAGGAAAACAGAATCATATTTATATTTTACTACAACTAAACTAACACACAACATTTATGTAAGGTTATTTAAATATATATAAATACTAAAAACATATTTTATCTTTAAAACGAAAAAACTATTTATCCGATACAAATTAAAGTAGTTGAATCTCAACCCTTACAAGAATGAAGATTAACATCACAGAAATGTCATAAATCAAACATTTGTATTGTTGTAATCTTATATCCAACATGTCTAAACAGTACTATTACTTAATTCGATTTTATTTTGTATATAATATTCTTTTTTTTCAATTTTTTATTTTTTATATTGATTTAATTTATTTTTAAAAAATAATTAATATTAATTCTTCTATCAAATTGTCTAATAGAAAAATATGATGAATAAAATGTAACATTAAAATTGCGTTGACATCATGCTAATTAAACTAAAAATTTATTAAAATACAATTTTTGATAGACAATGTAAGTCTCTTGTTTCATAAATTAAATTTATAACTTTCGATAAAAATAAAGAATAAATTAAAGGAAAAAATTGTTTAGAAAGAACATGTTTATAAGTTTCTTTAGAAGAAAAATTAAAACTTTTTATAAACTAAAGTTATATTATGTATAAGTTATAATAACTAAAAATATTTTACACAAGTTAATTTATGTAAAAATTGGTTGTCATTTAATAAAAAATATTGTATAATTGTCTTTTCCAATACATATGAAATCGTTTGTCCAAAAATACTTAATTTGTTATCCTGGCGTCCCTTGAAAGGGTTGATAATAACCACAAAATGGCGAGCGATGATGGAGGGAAAAAGTGAGTGGAGGCAATGCTTTTCTTGAAATTAATTTCTACTAGCTTCTACTCTATGACACGCTGGTCAATCACATGCACGCTTCAATAACAAAACCCACTATTCCTGTACCTGGATTTAACAACTTCAAGCAATTCTGCCATAAATTAATTATTAATATTTACAACCTTAATTGGATTAAAGAATAAAAGCAAAACAAATTATATTCTTAATCTAATGATAGATTCCAATATTTTATATACAAATAAAAATATTTTAATTTTATATTTATTATTATAATATCATTAAAATTAATTATTATACATAAAATATTCTTCATTCTAAAATTATAATTTATCATAATCTCAACACATTAAAAAAAACATATATAAATTACTCTTTAATAAATTGTATACATTAATTTTTCTTTATATATACAATACATTATTTATATAAATAATAATATGTTAAAAAAATATATAACATTTTATTTTATAAAAAAATGAACCACCGATCTCATCTAATTATATGACCAAACAAATGAAAACAGGATAAATAAGCTGATGTACCACTTCTATATTATTATTTGAAAAGATAAAGACAGATAAAATAACCTTCAAAATGATTTTGATTAAAAATAAAATTGAAAAAAAAATGATTTAAATTTAAAATGAATGTAATTTTGATAAGTTGAGTGGTCTCTCCCACCATGGGATTTTGAGTAGAGATGATGGAGGGGTTGGTCCATGAAATTGACTTGGCTTTTGGTGAAGTGGGTTCTGAATAAGGGTAGGCATATCTTGGGTTTCTGCCCTCTTCTGTCTCCCCTGTCCTCTGCCAAACTCATTCAAACATTATGGAGACTGTCTCCAAAAATTTAAAACAAACGGCAAGACCACCATATTTTTCTAAATTATTTTTCTAGAGATTTTTTCAGCAAATTATTCATTAAATATTAAAGATGGATTAGATTTTAAGAGACTATCTCGACTATTAATGTAGTCATTTTGTATTTTGAGTTTAAAATTATTTTACGTTCACAATGAATTAAAATTTCCTATTTTAACACGTGCTACCTCTTTTTTTATTTATAAAGAAAAATATCACACTTTTCTTATTTTAAAATACAAATAAATTTTAATTATTTTTACTTCATTCAATTATAATTTTCCTAGAATATCCGAACTTTATTTATCTTTGACTTTTGATTAAATAACCATAGTATGCCATTTTTGTTTTACTAGGATAACATTTTAGGTGTAATATTATTATTCCTTCTATTTCACTTTATGTATTTTTTAAGATTTTTTTATAATTTAAATTATTTTCATTTACTTCTTTCAATAAAATAATTACAATCTTATTTCGATATTTAAACGTTAATTTTAATATTTTTCATGGATTAGATGCATGTGAATTAAACTCTTGAAATTTTACGCGGCTTGGAAATTGAGAACTAAAAACGTAATTAACTTTTTGTATAGACCAAAAAAAAGTGTGGCTCACATGTTGATAACCAGTGATTGATAACTAGACAAAAGTGGCAATCTAAAACAATCAGGATTTAGGATCAAGATGGGAAAGAAAAAGGGTTTTGTCCGCATCTAAACCTACATATATGGCCACACCAACCGGTTTATATTCCTTCTATATCTCAATCTCACCAGAAAGTCACCATAATATTCAATATCAACAAAGCATAGAACACACTCTGACCCAGCTTTTTTGTTTGTACCTAGGGACTTATTTTGCTTCACTTGCATCTTAAAATCTTGCACCTATCTCACCTAGGAGTGTTATGAAGATTAAAAGAAAGAAACCCTTTTGAGTCATGTTCATTACTTTGTATCTACATTTTGATCTAAGGCCAAATTAAACGTGTTTTTCTTCAAATCCAAGAGACTTCTACCGGGAATTCTCTGCACCAATGCATCAAGGGAGCATCTGTTTCAATGTTCTGCAAAAGAGGAAAAAGAGTTGGAAATGTGGGTGCTTTTATTTTACTCACTCCATTACATTCTTAAACAAATTGTTGAGAGCACATGTTAATGTGGGACAACTTTTTTGACACTACTAATCTTGTTTAAATGCTTTGCTTGTTCATATGAGTTTAACTACATAAATAATGGTGAAGCAATTTATTGTTATTATCTCACAACCGACTTAGCCAAACCTCGATTTTTCCTCTGCGTTGAGTTACATATACACGTTGAGATTTGAAAAACAGGTTAAGATAAAAGAGGCCTCTCTACGTCAAACTCACTCTCTAAGCAATCTCCACCTTGTAGTCCTTCTTTTCCTTTGGCCCAAAGAACAAAGTAGAGCCCAGTGAACATGAGAATCATGCCTGCAGCACTGCAATGCAGTGTTTGTAGTAAGGAATAAATATAACACAAAATGGGAAGATACTTTGCAAAAGTCAGAAGCTTCACACACTAGCTAGGAATCTTAGCAATGTACCTTCCAATACTAATACTTTCTCCTAGTGTAACTACTGAGAAAATTACAGAGAGCACTGTTCCAATGGGGCTAAACATGGAGACAAACACAGGCCCTTTCTTCTTCAGTGCCCACCCATTGAAGCTCAGGCATATTCCACCCACAGCACCTGCCTGTGCATTCACAATTTGTATGCTTTTAACATCCATCACAGTGAGAATATAAAAGGTTGCATACATGGTTGGTAAAAACGACCATATATGTTTCACTATACCATTCTTTCCCGAGTAATAATAATATGACAATTCAGAGCTAGATTACTCTACCCAATTTTCTGCCTCATGTTATCATTGTTCCAACAAAGCTAGATTGCATACATATCTGTACAAATGACCTCTACTTGATACCATGCTTTGCTAAGTAATAAATTAAATGTGTAACAAAACATAGATGAAATTTCAAATGCGTTTAGTGTTGTTTTTCAATAGAAGTTGAAGTTTTATTTCTGAAATTCACGTAATGAAGGTTTATGTTAAATATCAATGTGAATCATAAAGGTAAAATTGTAATTGGAGAGAAAAACACATAAAATTACATCTAAGTTTTGTTCTGGATTGTAGAAACTTTCCCAATAGAGATTCAAACCATTCCTATAAAAATGATGAGACAGAATGAGAAGTACCATAATAAAATAGCCAACCAAATTTCTAGAGCTCACAAGTAGCCACCCAGTTTTCAGCTTGTGGTGTTCAAGTAACTGAACAGTTGCAGTCATGAACGCCCCACACAAGGACGTCATTGCACCCAAGGACATCGGTGCAGGAAAATCTCCAAGAGCAAAAGCCTGCAACAACAACAATTTTTGTAGAGTTTTGAAATTAAGTAGATTTGTGTTCTCTTCCTTATTTGATGACCAGTTACCTGCAGGACAACGTTGCTTGACAAAACCGAGACTGCAATCACGAGATAGAGGCAACCGATTATCTTCTGTATGTCAAAGATAAAACCTGATGGTGTCTTTGATAATTGAACTATGGAATTTTCCTCGGGTGCATTAGCAGAAATGCTTTGCATTATGCTCATTGTGAGAGCTCCGAAGACACAAAGCAATGTTCCCAAGATTTTTACTTTACTATACTGGTTGCTTAAGTTGACTTTCTCTAACCTGCCCAGTACAGAATTTCCAATTGATTAGCAAAGGGGTAATTAGTTGAAAGTGCATTGTTGGAGCATTAAGCATTTCCTATCACATTCAACATGTTGCGGATGATTCGAATTGGGAATAGAACTACCAAAGCAAAACCCAAGTAAAGAGATTGATTACCCAGAAATCCATGCGATGATGAAGATAAGTCCTGGGGCAATGTTTGGCATGGCAGTTCCCATTGCTGGCGAAGTGAGATTGATTCCTTTGAGGAATAAATACTGGAAGGCTAGTCTGCATAACAACACCAATATAAAGGAAAACAAAAATGTTGCATCAAATTTTAGAAATTGGAAGAATCGAAACACAGAAAGAACAATAAGAAACCTCATGCGTCACTATAAAAGCTGTTAGTTGAAAAAAAGATTGCACGGCTGAAAAAAAAAAAAAAAAACTAATACAGAGGATTAATAATAGTATGATGTAATGGTATGAAAATTTTTCCAATTGAAAATAGTTTCAGTTTCCGAATAAGAGACGAAACTAATAGAGAATAGAGTTTGATACTTGAGAACATAAGCCTAAAACATGGATTTTTGAAAACAGAAAATTTACGAAAAGGGATATTAAATTAGATTTGCTTACCCTCCAAATGATAGAAACAGTATCCGTGTAAACAACTTGAAATCACAATTCTTTGGCCACTTACTCCTGCAATAGATACCAAATAAATGAATCTTGAAATATGTTCTATCCAAACTGAATGCATAAAGTAAAATAATAATAATTGTTATGATTTATTTAGAAGGGTAAGCAGAGAGAAGGTACCTTTCAAAACAAAAGGAAATGGGGAATAGAATAAGGAATGTGGCCAAAGAAGTCAAAATTATAATGGTAAGAGAGCTGAAGCCTAATGACAAGGAATAACTCATAAACACAGCATTCCCTGCATAGACAAATTGGACTCCAATCAATCCTCCAATTATTGCCACATCTTCCACACACCCCGCATTTATCTTTTCCCCCATCTTCCTCTTTTCCTCCAAACAAATTGAGCAAAATGGTTCTTTTCAGTTACCAAGAGAGAGGATCTTATCCTCTCTTTTTCCTCTTCTGCGTTTTCTCAAGAACACCAACTCTGTTTCAAAAAATGGTAATGCGTGTGCAAGCTGACATGCATCTTCTGCATTTGCCTCTTACGGGAAATCTTTCATTCATTCCATGTTTGAACCAAGCTAACCTTCACGATGTTTGTTTCCATACCAACCATGTCTCTATGGCCAGACCAGTTTTAATATTGTTCAGTTTTCCTGTTCATAAATAGTGATGATTGTTTGGTTGGCGTTGAGATGATTTTTCTTTTCTAAATCTAGATTTTTTCCTTAAATATAGAAGATGATTATCTTATCCCTCCCTTTTTCTACTTTAACAGATGAATGAGATATTTTGATAGATATTTCTAAAAGTTCATACTCTATATATGTCCATGCAATGAACTGGAATTGAGTTCGAATAATGTATTCCGTGGAGGCATACTTGTCTTATGCCCTAGTGCACCTGCATAAACTTTTTACCTCTTCTACTTGAACATATTCTGAATCCAAGGGCTGATTCTGAAAAATCAAAATAAATGGAACTTAGCTTAAGCTTCAAATAAATTAACTACAAGTGAAATAAATGATAAATGCCTAACTATCTTCAAGTAAATAAACAGTGAAAGATATTAGAAATTCAGTTCTGAATTTTCTCTCCTAACTCAGGACCAAAACAATATCTTAATAGATTTTTTCAGGTATTTATACTTATAATAATCCCTTGTTATCCTTTTACTTACTTATATATATATATATATATATATAATGTTAAAATCTTCTTACACTTCTATATTTCAAACTGATTAAAAAATAAATTTATTATTAAGACTAAGTAATTACTTGTGTTATAAAAGTTTATGATCTTGCTTTAAAATATAATTGATTTTACTTTTAATATATTTAAATAAAATTCATATAAAGTTAGTTCTGGCAAAAGAAATCAATATCTTATAATGTAACAAATTAAGAATCAAAATTCAATTAAAAAAGGTTGACAGAACCTTAAACAGGAAGAATATTCTCTATGATTTTTTTTGTTGTTGTTAAATTATAATTATAGTATCCTATTAAAAAAATAGTTCCTAAATATTTTAAAAAACTCATGATTTTTATCTCATTTATGTTTTGTATATGTTTTTGCTTATTTTATTCTAGTCTAATTAAATCATGGGTTTAAGATATAATTTAATTAATTAAAAAAACATAAAATTAAAGATTGAATTGAAACAAATCAAAGGACTTTTTTAGTAAATAACATTTTCCCTCCAATTCATTCAATCATATGGCACTAGAAAAGCCATGCGAAGGTTTCTCTGCAACGGAGCACGAAAATTCAACAAACCTCTTCGTTCCTATGGACTTTCTTCCTCATTACTATACAGTACTAGCTTCAATAATATTCATGATATCGGAGACAGTAATTTGCATTGGGTGGATGTTGATGCGGTGCATTCCCAAGGTGGAACAAATGCTGAGTTAGCGTTGTTTGAGTTCTCTCGTGGAATTAAACCAAATTCTTTTGCGCTTGTTAACCTAATTGGACTATCCTCTGAACTGAAGTGTCACTCGTTCGGAAAACAACTCCACAGTTATGTTTCACGTTCCGGCTTTTTTTCCCACATCCATGTCTCCACCTCCCTCGTCAAGTTTTACGTCAGAATGCACTCTTTTAGTGACGCACACGCACTGTTCGATGAAATTCCTCAACCGAACGTCGTTACTTGGAACACTATGATATCTGGGTACGTCCACGCTGGCCAGTTTCGAAACGCTTTGTCGTTTTTCATGCGCCTGGACAGGTCCCATGTTTGTGCCGACGCGTTTTCTTTCACGTCAGTGTTGTTTGCTTGTTCCAAACTGAGTCTCTTTAAACTTGGAAGCTCAATTCATTGCAAGACCGTGAAACTGGGCATGGATGATAGCACTGTGGTTGCAAACTGCTTGATTGACCTGTATGGGAAATGCGGACCTGTGGAACATGCTGTAAGGGTGTTCTCCGAGACTGTTGAGAAGGATGTTATATCTTGGAATTCAATCATAGCGGCAAGTGCTAACAACGGGTACATTGAACTTGCTTACAAGTTTTTGAACCTTATGCCCAACCCTGATACTGTTTCCTATAATGGCCTCATAAATGGAATTGCTCGGGTGGGGAACATGGAAGATGCTGTTCATGTTTTGTCAAGTCTGCCAAATCCAAATTCGTCTTCATGGAATTCGGTAATTTCGGGATTTGTTAATAGGTATCGAACTAGGGAAGCTTTGGATATGTTCTGTAAAATGCACTTGAAAAATGTAGAGATGGATGAGTTCACATTTTCAACTATTTTAGATGGAATTGCCAGTTTGGCTGCCTTAACGTGGGGAATGTTGATTCATTGCTGCACAATAAAGTGCGGTTTAGATGATTCTGTAGTTATTGGGAGTGCCCTAATTGACATGTACTCAAAATGTGGGCAAGTTAAGAATGCTGAATCAATCTTCAATGCTCTGTCTAGGAAGAATTTGGTGAGCTGGAATGCACTGATATCTGGGTATGCTCGCAATGGTGATTCTGGATGTGTTATCCGTCTCTTCGAGTTGTTGAAAATGGAAAGAGATATCAAACCTGATGGTATCACGTTTCTTAACCTTATATCCGCATGTTCCCATGATGATCAAATGCCGTTAGAGGTTGCAATTGGTTACTTTGAATCTATGATTGATGAATATAAGATTGCGCCATCCATTGAGCATTGTTGCTCAATAGTACGGCTCATGGGGCAAAAAGGAGAGCTGTGGCGGGCAGAAAGGATTGTACATGAATTTGGGTTTGAGTCGTGTGCAGTGGTTTGGAGGGCTTTGCTTGGGGCTTGTGGAACTCAGGCAGATTTACAAGTAGCAGAGGTTGCAGCTGCCAAGGTGATTGAACTGGAGGGGAATGAAGATTATGTTTATGTGATGATGTCTAACATGTATGCATATTTTGGACGATGGGAAGATGTGAATGTAATTAGGGGACTCATGAGTAGGAAAAGAGTTAAGAAAGAAGCGGGTTCTAGTTGGATAGAAATAGATACCTCTGTCTCGTCTCTATGAACCCACGGTACTGGAGTGAGGTTCTCGGATTTTTCAAACGAGAAATGAACAAAATATTGAGTCGTTTGTTCATTTTGTAGCTCAAAATTCGTCTTTCATCTTGTTCAAATACCAGCATTTTCAAAACTACAGTTCTGATTACCTCATACCCAAGAGAATCTACTAAGGATCCGCCATTGGTGATTACAATTGGTAAGAACAGCTACATATAATATTGTTAAAATTATTTTTAATCCTTTTGTTTCTTTTTACAGAATTCAATTTGATCCCTTTTTTAGGTATGCTTCTTTAATTTTCTAAAAAAATCGATGTTACGATTTCTGTTCAAATGGAGCTAACGACGGTCGTTAAGGATGCGGTCTTTGATTCTAATTTCTAATATAATTTCCCACATATTCTTGCGTCATTTAGCTTAAAAGATAATACAGAATTTTTTAGAAGATCAAACTCAACCTTTTAAAAATAAAATCACTGAATTGAATTTTCTAAAAATTAAAAAGTAATATAACTTATAATATTATATTATATTTTTACATAAATCCTGATAATAATATTATCTTTATAGTTAACATCTATATACTCTTTTTTAATTTAATTAAATAATTTAATTTTTTGGTTGAATTATTGTACCTTGAAGTGGACTGGATAATATTTCACTGTCTATGTCTTTGCAGTTGTAGTTGTTTATACTCCACCTTGGAGAGGAAAAAGTAACAATTGAAAGAAATACATCTGCAATTTCAAAATCTATATTACTGAACTTTCTCACAGTTTAGTTTATTAGTTATCCATATTGGCTATAATTTGTAGTCAGGATATTTTTACAAAACATGCATTTGAACTTCACAAATTAGGTACATGTGAAATATATTTAGGTTAATTTTTTATGTATTTTTAAATCAACATGAGTGTAAAGTATATAGTGTCTCTTGGGGTATAATTACTTTCGGTGTCTAACTTGTGGATGTGATGACCAATGGACGTGGAATAATTCCAAATTGTCGTTGGACCAATCCACTGGACAGTGAAGGAAGGGGTCAGTTTCATTCCGCCCCAAGTAGCAAGATTCTGCCTTGGGCGGGAATGTTAGTTAATATTGATACCTTTTACGCTGGTGCGACAGTTATACTTGTATATATCTTCAATGCAGAGAGATTCTTTAGGTTCTCCCACTACTCTGCTTAGGTTAACCATTAAGTTAGGGAATCTTATTCTGTCCTCTTACAACAACTTCCTCATTTTTCATAGTCTTCTTTTGTATTCCCAAACCTTTTCAATCTTTCCTTTTCCATTGGTCTTGTCCTGCAATGTTGCCTCAAATCCAATCAAAAGTGCTTCCACCTTTCCCAGCTGAAAAGTTGTATGGTGCATCTCATTTCTATGGAGGAAAAAATTGACCGATGATTAAAGAAATATCTATTGTACCCAAAAATAAAATCTAAGATACCATATAAGATGAATCACTAGGGCTTCGCCCACGTGATTGAACTTTACTTTCTATGCTTTCTTTTTTCCTTTTACACATATATGATCAAAGAATAAAATACACGTATAAAAAAAAAATCAAGCACATAAAAATAATATGAGCACGGTAAGAGAAATGGTCCTTTTGAAGAAACCGGTTTCCAACCCAAAGGCAGCGTTTAATGAATTCTGAGACTGCAACAAAGAACTAAAAGAAAAGTTCGGGTTAGAGCCATAAAGAGATTGGACTCCTGCCACGTCATCAATCTTCAAGTCAACCTTCTTTCTCCTAGGGCTGAGACTGGGGTACATGACGGCTTCTTTCACCGATGAGTGACCCAGCCCAAGCACGTGACCTATCTCGTGCGTGGCCACAGATTCCAAATCAACGGCCACCCTCGACTGTTCGCTCTTGAAATCAACGGACCACGTTTCCGCCGCATCCAAATGGAATCTCCCGTTCTGAGGGGAGAACGCGTGAGCCAAAACCCCCAAAACTCCATCAAACGGTTCTCCGTCTCCGTGATCCCCGAGATAAAACCCGATCGTGATGTCCGCCCTATCGTACTCCGGCGTCTCCCGGAAACTCACCGGAATCACCGACGCCCACCGCGCAAACGCGCGCTCGAACACAGCTCGGATTTCCGGCACGCTCACCTGGTCGATCATGTTGGTCGGCGAGAACGCGTACGTGAGAGTCATCGGAGTTCCGCGCGTCCATCGCGGCTTCCCGTTGAAGTAAGCGTAGCGACGCGTGGCGTGGATTCCCTGCGTCGCGGCGTCGGAGACGCCGCACCTCGGCGCCACGATGGCGGATATTGTCTCAGTGTCGAGTTTTCCGGTGACCTGCAGGCCGAGGCGCTTCTGGTAACGGACGACGGCGGACTCGAACTGGGAATCAAAGGTGTCCGTGAAATTCGGCGTCGTTTCCGGGAGGGAGAGGTAACCGAAGCGGTGGAAGTACTTTTTCAGTTCCGACATGCCGCTGACGTGGCTGCCTCGCTCAGCATGCAAGAACTTGGAGAATTCGTGCCACGTGGCGTTGTGCCTTTGTGTTTTTTGGGATTCGGAGGTTATCACGGTTACGGATTCTGGTACGATCCTGGCGGGAAAACAAGGGTGACAAAGGAAGAGGGCCATACAGAGGAAGAAGAAGTTAGAGTAACTGAAAAACAGAAACATAACTATTATGGTAGTTAGTTATGTTGTTTTGGGGGAACCAACGAAGGAGCTAAGAGCTCAATTATTAAAGCTAGAATAAAAAGAAAGGTTATTGAGAAACAGAATATGTGATAAGCTGTATTATCATAACTGTGAGTTTAGAATCATATATATGTATGCGTATGATGGAGTTTGTCTCTGGTGTGATCGAAGTAAATTAGGGTTATAAAGATAAGAAGATTCTGCCTTTTTGGATGGGGGATCGTGACCTCTTTTGAAGTGTGATAATGGTGGGTAAACTGCAGTTTCTGTTTCTATTTAAATAATAATGCTTTAACTTTCATTTTGTTTGCCTCGTGTTGTTGTTCTGTGACCGATTGAAATTGCAAAGATAATAGGGAGTTAAACTCTGAAACGGATATGGTTTGTTCGACTTTAGTTGGTCTTAAGTGGAGCTAGACTTATGTTGGTTGACCAAATTTGGTGGAGGGGAATGGTTTTAGCTTGTAAGATACGACAGACAAAGACTTCATATTATTTGATATATAACTACGCAATGTGTGACAAATAAGGCTTATTTCCTCAGCTAAAACTCTCTTTTCTTTTTTATATGGTGCCCTACAATACGTTTATCTTCCAAATAATTTAAGGATATGTCAGTGTACGATGACCCAGGATCACTTATCGGTTCATAAACATGACATGAATCACAAGTTAGAGAGCTCATAATTGAATTAATTTGTCTATTGGGTTTTTTCATTGCACAGTCTAGGTCAAATTTTAATGAAGCTAACACGAAAGTGCTGCGAGTTTGGTCTAAAGAACACATTTCTATGTTCAACAAAACACAAACGCATATGGACGAACATAACCAGTTTAAGTACAGTCTTCCAAAATAGGTGGTTTCTACTCCATCTCTTGCCTCATCATTACCTCCCGTTTCACCCGCACAACCCGTATTTTAAGATGAAAGTCTGTTAAATTCTTAAAGCAAATTAAATTCAAATTCATAAAAGTAATACTTGAAACTATAATAAGTGGATTGTATTTTATTGTATCGAGTATAAACAGAAGAATCAAGGATTAGGATGAAGAGGGTTAACGCAACGTAGCGTAACTATGGAATCAAATGAAATTTATTACATATTAGCCAGCGTAAGCACTCTTTAAACCTGCTTGGATTCTTACATATTTGTCAAAATTGTGTGTTAGGTAGGTGCCGAATGAAGTTGGGAAGATGACCAAAACTAGCAAGAAAATTAGAGATGGTATAGCATTTTGCTTCTTTGCTCATGACTTGAGTTATTGTTTTATTATAATATAGGGACACTTAAGGTCTAAGTGACGTATGTATTCGCTTTCAATACGCCATTAGGTTTATCTAGATGATGAAAGTGGCACTAGCCCTACATGAATTATTTTTCTCATTGTCAATTCGTATTAAGGGGGTCCTACTTTTTCTCTCTTCGCAACACTGGAGTTGGGTTTGCTTTCTGGGGGCCACATTTTCGAAATTCATTTTTCATTCCAATAAAAATGTGCCAACGTTGCTGCCATTGTGACGAAATCCTGAAACCCTGTTACTTAAGCCAAAATGAAACACACAAAAGCAATGTAAAAACGAAAGTTTATGTTTAAATAGCAAATTATTGAACCGGCGAAAGATTGTGGAATTGGCCTTTCACTTTTTGATCTAACAATTGACTATATTAATCAAAGGTTGACTCCAAACTTTTCTACATCTCAAAAACAGAGACTTTAAGCCTTTCAACTAGTGGTAGAACGTATTAAACAAAAAAGTTATTAACACTACCATGTAATAAAGTAAGATATGCTACGAAAGTAACAGAAGTAAGTTATTTTTTACCAATATATACAGAGAAAGTGTGTGATGATTGATTATAGATTAGATAGATAGAGAATGGCATATTTTTTTATCAAACAGTGATCTACCATAATTTATCGTATGACTCGCGAATTAAATTTAATAAAAAAAATTCTCTTTTCAATATAAATATATATATATATATATATATATATATATATATATATATATATATATATATACATTTTTTTCGGTTCTGTAAGTTGATCCTATCAAATAAAAAAGTAAAATAAATTAAGTAAACGATAACTGAATAATTAAAAAACTGAACATATTAAAATATGAAAATTTTGTTTTTTTTTTTAATTTGCTTAGAATGGATTTTCGAATTCTATTTAAAAAATTAACTCAACCTAATTCAAACCAAAATTATACATACATATTTTATTTATAACATTTCTTCACATTCTTTATCCGCATATGTTAATAATAGTGTCATCATAGTTATTACAAAAATATATTTTTCCAAATTTAGTAGCTATTTTACTAAATATATGTAATTATAATTGTGAATTTTGTAAAAAATTGCATTCCATCTATATTTCAATAATTATACTACTATTTTAAACCACTTTAATTGAATTTATTACATATCCTGCAATCTATAAATAAAATCAAAATTCAATTCAATCAAATAACTTAAAATTAAACTTAATCATATTTAATATTTACGTTAAACCAAATGAATGATGAATCAGAAAAACAAAATATTATAATTTTTTTTGTCTAAATAATATAATCTAATATGCGAATATTGTAAATTGTTTATCACAAATAAAAATTCTTGCATTTCCCTATGATCAGTTTATTATCAAAATAATTAATTACCTTTCTGTCTTAATGAAATAATATATTTAATAAAACTGTAATTATTTGAATAAATTTATTTAAAAATAATATATTTGTTATTGATTTAACATATTTATAAACCCATTCAACTACAGTCCAAGTGAAAAACAAAACAGATTCTATGCAACATAAATTAATAATCGCAATCTATCCAAAATGTAACATATGACTTGTGTGACGTTAGAATCCATTGCAAAGTGAAAGTTAACCCTTGAATTAAAAAAATAATATATATATATATATATATATAATTTTACATATATTTTCTTCTTTGTTTGTATTAAATGGTTATGATGTTTTGTTTTAATAAATAATAAGAAAAAATGTAAAGTTATTAATAGTAAGGGTTAATTTTATATATTAGAAATATTGTTAACAATTATTCAAACTGATTATTTTTCATTGCCACATATAATTTTCAATGTGCCAATTGGTAAAACATAATGGAAAGACAAAGGTGGATACCATGATTTTGAAAGCCACCTTGTAAATTGGAACGTTCAATTGCGTAATTATCAAATTCGAAGACTTGTGATTGTTTTTGTTGATTACCCATGGAAAGTTTTGTTCTTGGAGTATCTATTCATTCCTTTTCACCTTTATTTTAAAAAGTTATCTAAATTATTTCAAATGTAATATTTGTTAACTTGAAAATTCTTAAAAATATATTAAACTTATAAAAAATATATATAGATCAACAAAAATCATTTGTCATAGTATTGTTTAATCTTGACTATGCTTTTTTAAAAATATAAATAAATATCTATATGGACTAACATATTGGAAATTTTTGATGAACCGTTTAACTTATTAACTTGATTCTGACTTTCAAAATGTATTTATTTATTTTTCCATTAATTGTATATTATGTTTTTTTCTCTTTTATATATATATATATATATATATATATATTTAAATATATAATTTATAATAATTATTTTTTCTTTAAGTTATAATATTTATTTTTCTTTGAAGAGGAATCCTGAAATTAATTAATCAAACATCGAATCATTATGGCGGGTAAACAGATTGAAAAATCCGTTTTTAATCTTCCCTCTTCAGAGATTTATTTAATTATATTTTGTTCAGGAATAATAGCCCACTCCAGTAGTTGGTTTGGATGGGCCTAACTGATTTCACATTATGGGCCAATGAAAGAAATATTAGGCCCATTTAGATTAAAATAACCTTTTATTGAGAAATCATGAAAAATAAAACGAAGTTGCCTTTTTGGGGCCATGAAAGCTCATTTCAACCTCATCCATGGAAAACGATGAAATCATGCCCAAATTTAAACCTGCACTGTTTTATTTATTTAATTAAAACTATAATCTAATTTTACAAATCCATACTTTTAACTAAAGGTGGATATGTAAAAATATATATGTAATATCCTTATATTTAAAATCATCTATTATTTACATTACATTAAATATTATAACAAAATTTTATATATGAAATTTGTAGATTTTTTTTCTTCACTAACATACTATTAAATTTATAATTTAGAAATAATATTATTTTATTAATATTTACTTTATTATTATTAAATTCATAATTCATAAATAATATTATTCTATCAATATTTACCTAGCTAGTATCATTTTTATATATACTATTGGAATTCGATTCCCAAGAGTCGAATTCGACCTCACTAATTAATATAAATTTTTAAATAAAATAATATTTATTAAATATAAATATATATATTTTATATAAAATAAATATATAAATATATGTATTTTTAATTTATTTATATAATTATATGAAATAAATATAAATATTTTTTTAAATAACATAAAAATATATTTATATCATTATATTATTAATATATTTTTATAAATATAGTAAAAATATATTAAAATATAATAAAAATAATAAAAAAATTTATATATTTCTATAAAAAATATTATTTTTACTTATTAAAATTATTTTATATTAAAAATATATATAATTTATTTATGTAAAAATGTTATATAGAAAGATATAAATATATATTTATTATATTTTATTATATTTATAAAAATATAAATAAATATTTAAATATTATATATATATATATATTAAATATATTTGTTTTTACTATATTTATAAAAAAATGTATATTTAAAAATATTATTAATATATATATTAATAATATAATTATATAAATAATTTAAAATATATATATATATATATATATATATTTATATAAAATATTTATATTTATATTTAATAAAATTTATTTTATTTTTCAAATTATATTAATTAGTGAGGTTGGAATTCGGTCTTCTAAAAATCGAATTTCAACTATGTAAGAAAATTGTGCTAATCAAGTAAATATTGATAGAATGATATTATTTATAAATTATAAATTTAATACGATGTTATTGAAGAAAAAAATCTTAAAATGTTTTACTTTTTATAAAAATGTGCTACTCATATAAATATTACATATATATATATTAACATTTATGTTAAAATTATAAATGTGCTACTCATATAAATATTACATACAGTATTATATATTAACATTTATGTTAAAATAATGTTAAACAGAAAAAAAAATCAAATTTTATAAGACAACTAATATAAAACTCATTGTAAAATAAAACAAATATAAATTTAGGTAGACCATATATATTTTTAAGGTAATTGTATATAAAAGAAGTAAAAAAAATTATTTCTCCAACCATATTAATTTTACTTGAACTTATAATTATAAATGTTTATATAATGATTAGTAATTAAATCAATAAAGACTTTATTAATTGAATAGTAGTTGAATAACAGTCAAGTTTGTAATAATTAAAGTTATACCTTAATATTACTTGATTTTGAAATAATGAAAATATAAAATAGTAATAATTATGGAAAGTTGTACTATTACAGATAATTATATTATATGTTATATAAGATAAAAATCAATTCCAAATATATTTATACCTGTGTATAATTATAAAATACAGATTTATTTATTGTATAAAAGGTAATTTAAATTCAGTTAAAATAAATAAATAAAGTCATAGTAGTTGGTTACCAATTTTGGACCACTTCTATTTTTAACATCAATTCATTTTTTAGTTATTGGGTAGGTTACTAATTGTGTGTGTAATATATAATACATAAAAGAACTTTTTTTAATAATGTTATTGTCGTTAAATATTTTATTTATCTTTTTTTTTCTTATAATTACATGTTTTATTTTTTTCAAATAATAAAAAACTGTTATTTATTATTTTCTCTAAACACTTTCTACTATTTTTGTTGTGTTATTTTAAATGCTCTTCTTAAAACAACATCAAATTTATAATTTTAACTTTTTTTTTCATCTAAAATATATTATTTTAAAATATAAATAAGAACACTATTTATAAAAAAAATATGTATTTCACCTGGATTTTAAATAATGTTTTTAACATGTTTTGTTGAAAACACTCTTTATTTTTATTTTTTTGCTTAAATTTACTGATTGTATAAAAAAATATTATAAAACTTATCCCTTGCGTAGAACACCAAAAAATTATATATTTAAAAAAGAAGGGTGGTGGTGATGATGGGAGCGGAACATATCCCTCTTCTTTATCAATCTTTTTGTCACTTTGAGCAAAGTATCACCACACTTTTACGTGTTATATAGATAAAGGAATTTTTCATTTTTACAGTTATATTAGTTGTAAATATATGATGTAATTTATATAGGTTATTATCGGCTTTAAAGTAATTTATTAAAATAAAATAAAATAACACAATGTGCAAAAATAGAAATATATAAAAGATCATTAAGGAAAGAGAGACTCTTCTAAACTTTACTGTGACATGATTTTTAAAAATTAAAAATAAACATAGATCAGAACTTATAATTTAAATATGAGAAAAAATGTTTTTAAATTTGACCAAAGTAATTTTCGTTTTTGCTAAATAGAATTTTATTTTTTAAAGTATTATACTCAAACACATATTGTTAGCGTTAATTATTTAAAAAACATTTGAGATTTAAAACTGTAACCATATTGTAAATGAAAATTTCTAAACTATCCTTATCATTTCGAAACTCTTAACGGATTATTTCAACAACAGCAACTTTTCAAAACCAAATATTGAGCATTTACGAAATAAAAATATATTCATTATAGAATAAATAAATAATTTTCAAAAAACCGTCTTTAATTTTTTTCAAATAAAGCAATGTAACAGTGAACTGCATTATGATAAAAAGACATTAAACAAGGTTCCTCCTCAAACCCTGTTTTTGTCCTAATCGTTTATATTTAGTCTTTAATAAATTTTAAGTAACATTTCACCAAATTATAAGTTTAATTTTATTTCGGTACACGTGACAAATAAAAAGGAAGCTACTTTAATTTTATTAAAAAATATGAAGTTCAAACACTATTGATAGTTGTTCCCGATGTGAATAACTCAAATTAGATATTTGGTACATGAATATAGACTATAGTAACCATGTAAGTGAAAGTAAATGTTATTTTTCTCATCTAATGAATATTTTCATTCTACGAATAATTTTAATATTTTAAAGTTTATTTATTGTATGTTACTCGATTAAAAGTGACATGTTGAGAATCTATTACTGAATAAAATAATGTTACATTATCAATCAAGATTATTATTATTTAAATTTTTTATTGAGTTTTGGTGGATTGAAGACTCTAACTAGAAAAATATAATGATAAGATCTTGTCTAGTTATAATTAATTCCTAAGTGTGTGGATTGTGCTCTTGACAAACAACACTAATGGAAAGGAATCTATATTTTGAAATTGGAACATTTAAATGTACATTCAATAAACACATTTTTAAACATTATTTAATTATGTTCATTAACGAAATTTCAAGAGGTGTGAGTTCATGAAAAATCTTTGTAGTATAATATATGATTTTAGACTTTTTAATTTCATCAATAAATAAATTTCTGTAAATTTTGACATTGTTTTACGTATTTTTACGATAAAACCGTTACAAACTATTTTTATTATAAAAGTTGTGTACATTACCCTCAGACGGTAAAAAATTGAATGAACATTTAGAGTGACAGAATCTTATATTATTTATTTTCCAGAGACAAATAATAAAAATATAAAACAATACATTCCTTGATAAACAATCGTATTCAACACTACGTAAAATATATTAATTTAAAAAGTAGTTTTTGACAAAACGGGAAAGAAATGCATTTGTTTTTGTGATTGATTGGGGAAGTAGGAACGGAGGAGTGTGGTGTTGGATTCCGATTTTCTGATTCAGGGCTTATTTCAACCGGGACAAATATTCTTGGTTTCTGGTTCCTCTGCACCTCACCCACAAATTGCATAATCAATTTATAAACCTAATTTCTCACAATTTGTTTTGTTTCGTGACTGGGATCGGATCTGTTTGTAGGGCAACCGTGACGCCAAAGAGTATAAAAAAAAATCAAGAGTTTTTCAATTTTTATTTTGAACGTTGTGAGTTTCTCTCTTTCCGATTGAGGAAAGGAGAATTGTGCATTGCTTGTGCTTCCCCACTCACTAACTCTTTCTCCACGTCCAAGCTCCATCCCCGCCGATTATTATTGCTTAATGATAAAAAATAAAAAAGAAAAAAAAGTGTGAAAGAAAGACCCTACTAATTTAGGGTTCCTCTCCCTACACAGCGACATTGCTTAGTTTTTTGTAGGAGAGGATGTGAGGGTTTGGGGTTTGTTTGATTGTTTATGTAAGGAAAAGAATGGGTGTGGGTGTGGGTGTGGGGAAGTTGAACTTTCTATCGACGGACCTGGCCGTGTTAGCGCAGAGCAACAACAAATGCAGGAAGCACGTGTGTTGGAGATCGAATACGGCGGCGTTTCACCACCGGAAGCCGATCTCCTGGTCTGTGCTTTGCGGTTTCATGCTTTTTGGGCTGGGCCTCATTTCCCTCTTGACGGGCCACATGGCCTCTGATCTTGAATGGTACTCTCAGCGATTGGTCCATCGCACTCTCTACTCTGCATTGGTTCGTCATTCTTCTCCTTCTCTCTTTTTCGTTTTTCCTGTAATCTCAATGTGCGGGCTTGTGATGTCAATGTCACGCATTTGCTTGCATATGAATGTTTTGTTAGGAGGGAAACTATCGCGCGTCAGTCGATGTTTGGAAATCGCAGTATTCTAAATATTACTACGGGTGCTGTGAAAGGGGACGCGGTTATGCTCGTGAGTTTCCTTCTCGCATTTCCGTTTGATTGCATCTTCGTTCATGAATTGTGCAATTCGGTGGTTTCTTGTGCCAAAGCATCGTGTGTTTTCACTTTGTGTTGACTACTCTAATATGTTTCTCACTGAGCTATGCACGTGAATGGGGTTTGGAGTGAGAAATTTTAGATTGTAGGGTGTTTTCTATGCGGTGACTCGAGGATTGCGCGAACGATTGAAGGGTTTTGTTTTATAATTTGTTAGTTTGGGCATCAATGAAGTCAGAAGATTGGATGAGAAATATATATGTATACTAACTTTTTTTCATGTGTCACGTTCTCTTGTTTGGTAACTGGATAATGCAGCTGCTGTCCGTGAGCCGTTGTCAAATGGGTACTTGCTTATTGGAACTAGTGGAGGATTGAACCAACAAAGAACTGGGGTGAGTTGGACATAACTTTCCTGATATGGTACATTGTGATCATTTGAATGTCATATATGATCTGCCATCGTAGTTGCTTAAGCATGAAAAGGAGCACTAAATCAGTTGTTTTCAGAGAATCATAGGTTTGGGTTAGGTTCTCTTTCCTAGTCAGGCATATGAGCTAAATCTTTAAACAATGAATAAGTTCATTTCTGTGGAAATGACGGCAATCATGTTCCTGCATCCAGATAACAGACGCTGTTGTTGCTGCACGAATTCTTAATGCCACATTAGTTGTACCTGAGTTGGATCATCATTCTTTTTGGAAGGATGACAGGTAATTGACAGTTTCTTTTAAACGTTCACCATGAGAATCAAATTTGTTGGTTCAGTTAATAAAGACATTCTTGTTTGAATACAGTGACTTTGTCGATATTTTTGATGTTGAATGGTTCATTTCTTATCTCGCAAAAGATGTTACTATAGTCAAAAGAGTTCCTGATAAGTTCATGCGGTCAATGGAGAAACCACCATATACGATGCGTGTCCCAAGGAAATCAGAGCCAGAATATTATCTTGATCAAGTTTTGCCTATACTTTTGAGAAGACAGGTATGTGCCCACTTGTTATTGATATGTATTTGAAATGTGTTAATTCATTATATATTTTGATTTATTAAATAACAGTCAAGATGAAACATTAGTAACTGATTTTGTCAATTTAGGTAATATCCGAGTTTAGCTCAGGTAGCTAACATATTGGAGATTTCACAGGTTGTTCAATTGACAAAATTCGACTACAGACTTGCAAATAACCTTGATGATGAGCTACAGAAACTACGATGCCGTGTCAATTTTCATGCTTTGAGATTTACCAAACCTATTCAAGAACTTGGTCAGAGAATTGTTATGAGAATGCAAAATATGGCACAGCGTTTCATTGCAGTCCATTTGAGGTTTGTTTGATCATTCCCTGTCCACAACTTCTTTTTAGTGCTCCAAAATTTGAAAGTACGTGTTTACTTCTACTGGGTGCTAAGGAATGGGAACTTCTCAAATTCAATATTTTCAACTTCTTGTTTCACTCAAAAGTATGAAATATAATAAATTACACGAGTTTTGGATGCAAGGAGGAGCCAAGGTAATTGTCACTAACAATGGAGTTCATGACTGATTTATGACAGGTTTGAACCGGATATGCTAGCATTTTCAGGTTGTTATTTTGGTGGGGGAGATAAAGAGAGACGCGAGCTTGGTGAAATCAGAAAAAGGTGGACAACATTACCTGTAAGACTACACAATCCTTTGACTTCTAAGATCAAATCTAATTCATTCGACTAATAAGATTATAACAATCTAGCCAATATTTTATTCCTGATACCTGATATGCTTTCTAGTTACAAATTTACTTATCCTATATATGGCTTCTCAAAGCTGAAACTAACAATTTTTATGCTGAAATTATATGAATGAATTATTTTCACGTGATAAAACAGGATTTGAGCCCAGATGGAGAGCGGAAGAGAGGGAAATGTCCTCTTACTCCTCATGAAGTGGGTTTGATGTTACGGGCACTTGGCTTTTCAAATGACACATATCTCTATGTTGCATCAGGAGAAATATATGGGGGGGATGAAACTATGCAGCCCCTCAAAGATCTTTTCCCCAACATTTATACAAAGGAGATGCTAGCTGATGAAGAGCTGAAACCTTTCCTTCCATTCTCTTCACGCCTTGCTGCTATTGACTACATTGTTTGTGATGAAAGTGATGTATTTGTCACTAATAACAATGGTAATATGGCCAAGATTCTTGCAGGTCGAAGGTAAGAATACATAAAATCTATCTACTGTCCTTTTTTTTTTGTTTAGTACATAATAATGAACTTGTTCTGAAACTTAAACTAAAGAAATGAATAAACGATGTGGAAACACTAGAATCAAAATTATGTTGCATTATTTATCCACATGTAATGGAATGTAGCAACTATTATCTTGAATTATATTCGAAATAGGTGGGAGAGTTGTATGGTTTTGCTGGATTTAGGAAAGCATATTCTCCTTTTGAACTGAAATATAAGAAAAATTAACAAACGTTTCCGCTTATTAAAAGAGCTCGTTAATATCAAACAAATTTACTAATCTCATGTAAAATATAATCCCTTTTCCTATATGTCGTTCATTGAAACTTGATATCAAGATTAAAAGAGTTATTGACAATATCTCAATTAATTAGAGGGTATTTTAGGAATGGTATCATTAAATAGGATGAAAGTTGTTACTTATATTTGAGTCCATCAAACCTTTTATCGTGTTGCTTATAGTTGAGTTTGGAAGGAGTATATTGAAATACTCTATACTTATTCATTGGATATCTTGTAGAAAGAAATGAATAAATTATACATTTAGGATCATCTGGAATCATGAACTTCAAAATTATCTGAAAATACAGAGTATAGGATACAGATTGGGTTGAAGATAGCCTAGTAATAATGCAATGCCTTCGGACTTCAAATAAGGTAAGATCTAATTATTTCTTCCTCTCTACTAGCTCTCACAACTTGAAAATGCTGGAGGGCAGTAGATTTTGTACTGGGAAACCATATTTTATTTTGTGATGGCTGGAGTTAGCCAGAAAATCTGGCTAACAATAGGGACAATTTTAGGAAGTTTTAAGTAAATATAAGGTTGTATATTATATTTAGCTTATCTGACAATGTACTTTGCTAAGGACCATTCTCCTAGCGTTGTTTAGACCTCTGGCACCTTCATTTAACTGAAAATAACAAAACCTATTGAGAAGCCAAATCTGATATGCTGTGGATGGTAGAATATAGGTTGTTGGACAACATTGAAGTCAAATCTTGTATGATACAAAAAGGGCAAATCTTTGCTTATAAGCAAGCATTTAAGCTAGATTTGATTAACGCATACTATCACTATATATGTTTCTTTAGGGTAAATAATTGAGATTCCTAATTTACAAATAGGCAGTTGTGTAGTTGGTTTCAGTTATCTTTTGGTAAAGCAAAAATGCTCTTGGGAGTAGTATAACTTGTTTAAGTAGGTTTCCTGTAAAGCCTTTGCTCTCCTCAGCTCTTATTTATAAACACAAAATTCGAAACTTGATGCTAATAGCAACTCTTTGCGTGTCTCTTTATTGTCATGCACATGAGCTACTGCCCATTATGTTTATTTTTTTGCTACATTTGCTTGGTTTTAATGACTAACGCATTATTTTTGGCTGATGTGTGCCTCATGTTTTAACCATTCATTTGTTCACAACAGGAGATATATGGGTCACAAAAGAACAATTAGACCAAATGCAAAGAAGATTGGCACGCTATTGGCAGCAAGGCATGAAATGGACTGGGATACCTTTTCCAAAAAGGTTAAGTCATGCCAGAGAGGATTCATGGGAGAGCCCGATGAGATGAGACCTGGACGGGGTGAATTTCATGAATTTCCAAGCTCCTGCGTGTGCAAGAGAGCATATGTGAAAGAAGAACTCGGGAAAGAGGTATACCGTCCCCCTAAACTCCGGGCAATAAATTTGACGAAAGCTGATTCCTCGTTGAATGGAATTAGAAGAAGAGGCAGGACATGAAGTTCTTTGAACCACGGAGGTTGTCCGATGGGGTAATCAGAGTTGCCACTCGCTCTGTTTGATGCCCAACTGAACGTCAATTGAAAACTGAATGCTGTGGCAATCATTTTCACACGATTGATCCGTGTAAATCATGAGGGATCCAGTTCTTAGGTGGGGTGGCTCAGTTTAGATCCTAAGGACGTCAATGCGTTGCAAATTGTAGATATATATATATATACATACATAAGTATATGTTTAGTTTTAGCTTAGATTGCTTTCTATCATTTTGAGCCTCATCGTCTCCTCAGTTAGATCTTAAAAATTATAGAAGGTGAACAGAACCTACGTATTTTTGTACTAGGTAAGAACTAATGAAAAAAAATATAAATTATTATAACTGAAGGTAAAAATTAGAAACAAATAAACTATCGATCCAGCTTAAATAGCAATTGAATTTTAATTCCAAATAGTAATTGAAAAGTACTAATATATAATTAAATTAATTTCCAATTTAAGAAATAACGTAATTTTTTATTTTTAAGAAGCCTCGAACATTCACTAACGTTCTTAACCACTTCTTTTTCAATATATAATTTTCATATTTTATTTCTATTTTGAAATTAAATTAATCGTAGTAAATCTAATAATGTTCATGTTAAAACGTTCCATATAATATATGGATAAGTAAGAATTAGATGAGGTTAGTGGACAGGCGATGTGAGGATTGGCAAGACATTATCATTTGATGAACAAAACTCTACAAACAAGGTAACATGGAGAAATTTCCATATACAGCACAGCCTACGGATCAAATCACATTTAAATAAATACTAAAATCAATATGACCGACCGTCTACTGAGCTATGGTCTGCCTAAAACATAGGAAGCAAGAATTTCCATTCCTAGGTTGGTTGGTTGTTTCTCTATTATAAATATACACATCTATGCTAGGTATGTCACAGGCCGCCCCTTCCTTTTCACTGTACCACATCATTGTAATTGCCAGCTTCTTCTTCCGTTTAACCTGTTGCAATTATGTCACTAAAACAGTCCTAATTTACTAATTCAACCAACAAAAAAACACTTTAGTCGAAACATGTTCTAGGAAGATATTGATACTCACCCTTACTTAGTATTGCGATTATGTGAAACCGAAGGAATCTTAGAGATGATCAAAGAGCTCTGCAATCCTTCTAATAGCTGCAACCCAGCCAGCCACCGCACCAGATTCAAAACAAAGGGTTATATATAAGATACAAATTGGCTTCAGACTTGGAAAAGAACGGGAGAAAATATTTCACTAGACAACACAATCGAGTATATAGAAACTTACTCTTGACGTTGGCTGGATTCTACGATTGGATCTCCGGGGCTCAACGACATCAGATGCTGATTTCAACGGATTGTCATTTATAGCCTTTTCTGCGTCCCCTTTACCCATCTTATCACGGGCAGGTGCAAGTTTACCTTTGCTTGCTCTTGATGAGGATGCCCTTTTAGCAGGAAGAGCATCAACCGAAGTTAACAGTGATGAAAACAAGATTGGTCCTTGAGTTGCTCCATCGGTTGCAGTGTGGGGTGCTCTCTCCACCTTACTTTCGTTCTGAGAAGTATTCTTTAAGTGATTTGAAGATTCCTTGATCCTTTCTGTATGACCTGTCAGCTCAATGCCACGAGAAAACGAATTTGAAAAAGAAATATATTTTACTGGGATTGTTACTCTACAAAAAAACACTGTTTTCCAGACTTACTTGTTTTGGTCTTGGAATCAGCTCCATGTTTCTCTTTGGAACCATTTTTCCAACCTCTGGGTCCTGAACTAGGAGGCATCAAGAAATTTGCAAGTTTAACTGAATCACTTCTATCATTGGTCTTGCTGCTTTCATGTGCTACGTAATGCTTGCTTACTTCCATAAATTTCCTCTTCTTCCCTTGTTTAGGAACACCGAAAATTACTTTTGATTCTTTTTGAAGACCAGTCCTCACCATTCTGTGTGCATCCAGTTTATTTTCATTCTTGCTGTTCTTACCAATGTTAAACACTTTATCGTTTTCAGTCAAATTAAGTGATGTGATCTCATCCGGTTTTGCTGACTCCACAGTATCAATGCCTTTTGACATCTTGTCTTTGCCTTTTACCTCTACCGCATGACTAACCAATTTAGGTCGTTTTTCATGTGGTGTATCACCCTGTATGCAAAACTGTGAAAGTTAGTACAGACAAGCATGAAGTTGAAGCGCTTGAACACTCTCGAAGAAACTAAAAATAAAGTACCTCATGGGCAGAACTGTCATTTGCTCCCACTTTTGTGGAAGATTCAATCCATTTACCATCCTTCCAAATAAGGGATGGACGGAGATGCCAAGCTCTGACAACCAACGTTTCTCCACTAGCTGCATAAAACCAATATTATATACATTTTCAAAGACTAAGGTGCTAATAAGTTTCACACATTAGTAAGAATTAAGAAACATAGAATACAATATGTCTAATTAAATAATGTACATACCAGGAAAGTGAACAGTAAATGTTGTTTCATCTTTTTTATTCTTCTCTGCGATTACACCTTCCCGCCAGCTGATGACCAAAACCAGCATGTGAGAGAACATAAACACATATTTTGTCCTGTTCAGTTTTAATTTAAAAAATGTTTATGCTTTCAAAAGATTATTGGAATAGTTGTTTGTTCACAAGTGCAATATCTAATTGAACCATCATACCTAATTTTTTCAAATAGTTGAATAGAAAGAATGGGAATTGATACAATTAAATTAAACAGGAGAAAGTATAAATAGGAAAATCTTGATTCATACGCCAATCAAACCAACAAACACCCATCTGAATATGCTGAAGAAAACCAAACGGGACTCCATACACAATAACTTATGTTGGTATAGAAGAAATGGCCATCATCAATAGATAACTAATTAAAAGAACTCTATATTAGCAAACCTTTCTTGTATCCAAGCATCAACTCTATCCCCAACAGACCATGCATAATCCCCCATAGCAGCTCTGCGTCTCTTTCTTGTCCCTTCATACTGTAAAGCAGTAAGAGGGCGAGCAATACGTGTTCTAGGGGGTTTGTCTCCACCACATTCAAGTGATACCCATTCCTTCAAGGGTCCTGCACCTAAAAAGACAGCAATATTTTTAATCATAATGATGACCGAGTAAACACTAAAACCCAATTTAATTAAAATCTTAATGAAAATAGATGGCAATTCATAGTCATCCAGATGTATGCAAGCCCGGAGACATCACAACCATCTCGAACACTAATTTTTTATGATAAATTCAAAATTAATTTCTAGCCTCATATTTTAATTAATTTATGAACTTCAACTAAATAAAATGCTTCTGTTCTCATCAAAGTACAAGCATAAAGACACTTGACCAACCTTCAGCAGCTACAAGTGAAGTGTAGCATACATAAGCTTTACCATCCTTCAAAGTCAAAATATTGGCTGTAAACCATGCAGCTTTAAACCCTTCATCATCTTTGAAAACCTGATACATATAATAGCTTCAGTTTACTAGGATTATATAATTCAAGAGTAACATATTACTTCAAAAATGCGAAAAGAATGCATGTCAATTTATATAAATAAAAACTAATGCCAAATCCTCACCAAAGTTGATATTATAAAATGAAACCATGGGCAATAATCTGGCCACATCCACTAGCACTACTTAAAAAGAAATAAACTTAGTAATTGAAAAAACAAAAGCAACCTCTATGAGTAAACCCTCCTTGATGCTACTTCCATCCAGATTCTGAGATTCATTACTAACAGTAAAAGGAGCCTGAATTTCAGGATCAGATCCATGAACCACATCAACAGGCTTGACTATATCAGAAACAACCTTGCGTCCCTTTGGTCCTCTTGAGTTTTTTTCATTGGTCTTAATAGAAGAAGAAATTCCACCACCAGATAAAATGTCTCTGTTTTGTGCATAAGAAGTTTCGGGAATATCTCTCACATTGTCAATGTTCACCATACCTCTGGTAATGTCGTTGAATAATCCAAACTGCTGAGAAGACTCCCGAGATGATTTCAAACATCCCTCTGGGCCAGCTTCTACCAAATAACTTAATGGCAAAGGATCACCCATACTTACAATTTTTCCAGCTTGAGATACAGCTTCTGCTGCAAGCTCAGCAGCCTTTACAATGGCATCCATATTTTCAGCTCTTTTAGTGGCAGCTGAAGCAGCTTCAACTCTCCTTTTAACGGCTTCCTTGGCAGCAACAATGATAGAACCAGGACTATTGGTTCCATTAGCACCATTCAAGATGGAAGCAGGTGTAGCTTTTCCCAAGTTATTGGTACCCTCAGAAAGAGAAATTTGGTTACTTTGGCTGGAATTATCATAACCAGATGAAAACAACGCTTCATCAGCCATTAATTTTGCTTGAAGAGCAGCATTTGATGCAACATTGGCAGCTGCAGCCGCTGCCTTTGCAATGGCAGTTGCAGCTGCGGCTGCAACTGCTGCAGAAGCTAATTTAGCCTCAATATCTGGCATCAAGCCAGAATTTTTATGCTTATCCAACTGATTCCATAACTCTAGGCTATGATTCACTGCAGCAGCAGACAGAGCAGAAGCTTCCTCTGCATGTACTCTGGCCTCCTTAACTTTCATAATGGACTCATCGGACATAATTCTCTTCTCAACATTCTGATCATTTTTGCATTGATCAACAATTGGAGATACAGACACAACTGATGTCATTGGCACATTCCCAGCAGGGGCCACAACTGCAACAGAAGTAGATGTATGGCTACTGATAGCAGGACCCAGCGATTGCATAGCCCTGTGGCCAAAATCTTCAGACACCACAACTTTTTTCCTTTTTTTGGGCTTCGGATCTGAAGAAAGTTGAGCAGGCGATACTGGCATGTTGTTTGCATCAAGCAGAGAGGCAGTTCCTGCAAATATACTTTGCAAACCTGCACTGGAAGTAGGGAGACCGGAAGTAACATTCTTCGTGCTAGAGGAAGGAGGCAGAGATCCTTTGATTGAACCCAGCTTAATTGTATCTGAGACAGGTGATGCAGAAATATGGGTGCTATTGTCAGGTGCAGGAGTTGGAGAAGCAACCCATGGTCCTCGGAGGGGTTTTTGGGATATCCAAGGGGTGTTATGTCCAAGAAAGTTCCTTACAGGAGTAGTTTGATAAGGATGCAACGGAGTAATTGACTGTGGATAATCCACAACAGAGCCTCTTGCAAGGGCATTAGTTTGCAGGGAATCACTACTTAGACCCAGAGTTGATAGACTCCAAAGTGGAGATGAAAGAGGTATTAAGGGGTTTACAATTGGTGGAGTAGCCTTGCTGTTGGTTCGACCAAGTGGTGAAGAGATACCTTTCCCTTGAAGGGCACTTTGCTTAGGTGGCAAATCGGAGTTTCTAGCAACTGCAGATCTCAATTATCAGGAGTAAATCAAACAAGTCAAATAACAAAATCAAAGAACAAGCTATGTCACAAGAGATACCAGATCGTGATTGCAGAGGTGTTTCTGGGTTAGCAGGGTGAGCTTTTTTACCATGTTGCCTTTCCATGCAGGCCCGCCAAGCATTCTCCCAAAGGCTCCTACCACCATCTAAACACAATGTCTAACAACTCAATATTTTATTGTGGTCAAATAACACACAACATTCAAGACAGTCATGAAAACAAAAATCTAACCTGATCCCCCAAAGGCTGATATCATGTAAGCCTCATCCGGTACTGTGCCTTGACTGCAGCAACATATATAGCAGAAATAATTGGTGGAGTTAATTGTCATGCCACAAAAAATAGAATACTAATAACAATACCATGCAGATCTAAATGGCTCTTGTGACCTTGGCCTCAGATAATTTTGATCGAATACAGAATAGGTTAAATTCTACACAGTAATTAAAAGAAAAAGGTAAAGTATACAGGGAACCAAGATTTTCCAACTTTTCAATAAGCCATGGGGGTGAGGATGTTACTTGAAGTCTAAATTAAGGTAATAAGTGAAAAAATGCATTACTGTGGATTCAAAGAAACCCGCAAACATCACATTGGTGTAGCATCCATAACAATGAAAAAAGCATACAACATTTGAACTCACATCAAAGCTCCATAGACAAAGATCTGCGCACGTAATTGTACTTGCTGCACATCTGTGAAAGGCTGATGAAATAAAACAGGAGAAGAAGCAGATGTGTTCAAATCTGGAAGGCTAGATGTTGAAGTATTTACAAGAGCAAATGACTTTGTACTATTTGAATCAATGTGCCCATAATGCTGCACTTCATTTGACTGCATCATTTGGAAACCATGAGATGGACTAAGGGAAACTTTGGTTGACTTATCAGCTCTATCAGACTGTCTAGCCAGAGTAGTTTCCTTTGCATGACTTCCTCTTCTAGAAGATTCCTTTCCAATGCTCTTACTGGATGCTCGCCTAGTTTTACGCACAGGTGTAGCTTTTGAAGCACTCTGTACTACCTCTACATCTGACACTAGTTGATTTCCGTGAGATGATTTTCTTACATTTTTGGTTTTTGAAGGACCTAGCCCAAAAGTTGGAGATCCTTCCATAGCCTTCAAAAATAAAGAGGGAGAGAAAAATATGAAAAGTATAAGATAATTTGTCATAATGTAAACAACCGAACATACCAGCCACACACTTCACATAAATAAACATTCAAGAAGAAGCTCAATCAGGACAAAAAGGCATAAAAATAATAACCAAATACAAATTCCTTAGCTTGGATTATAAACTGCAACAAGACTTACAGATGGTTTTTTTAAGGTTTCAGCAACATGAATTGATTGCATCTTGTCAACATCTTCTGTATTCACATCTGCAACATCCTTTTTGGACAAATCAACCGCCGAATTTACCTCAGGAGTTGAGTTTCTTTCATCTTTAGATGCATTATTCTCCTTTAGATCTTCAGTAGTAGACAATGTATTTTTTGCACTACCATTTATTATCTCTGAAACTTGGGTGTTCTGGTTAGCAGAAGCCTCAATTTGATTTTTATCCTTTTCAGACTGGGAATGGCTCCCAAGTGCACCAGATGGACCACAAGTACTATTAGCAGGAAAGCTTCCACCTCCAGTCTCACCTAAATCAATGCAAGAGTCTGGTACAGATGCGGAAGATATGGAATCTTGGTTTCCAAGTGAAATGTCATCTACAAAATTCACATTGAAATGTTATGAAAACATTTGAAGTGATCTTAAAAAAGAAAGAACATACAAAGCACGTAAATATATATATATATATATATATATATACATATATATATATATACACATATATATATATGAAATTATATTTAACATAGAGCTAAGGATTAAAAATATAGTGGTCATCCTAATCATTACGCGGACAAGACATGAAACCCAGAAAATTCATTTCTTCTTAGGTCAACCTTTATTTTCAACTATTTGCTTTTTATGGCTGACGGGCCTATTCCTGGTTCCCTGCCGAAGGATGTGTGGTCAAAAGGAGAATCTAGCTTTGATAAAAATATAGGATTATCAACTTTATATTGGCACACAGCTCCAAACCCTCTGTTGTGTCTATACAGGACTACCCCCGAGCAAACTCTAATTCTTCAGGTTCTTTCACTACTAAAATATATTTTTCCACAATACCCCTTTATGTTAGGGGCAGTTGGGTATGTTGTTTGGGATTTATGGATGAGCTGCCATACCCATTTAGACATGCTTCTCACCCCATTTATTTGACCTTTTAGGAAAGAAAGCAGTGAAAATGTTGTAGTGTTGAGTCTTTAGTTCATAGACATTTACATCCTAAACAATTACACAAGCCTTGTTTTTCTATCCTATCCATGTGGTTCAGCTCAAGGTAGGACTTCTCTCTATTATGAATCCAAAGGAATTGGATAATCTCTTAAACACCCTGTTAATCCTGTCACTTTTGTTACCTGGTTACCTACTATTTTTTCCTCTTTCAAGGAGGACTCTTAACCCACAAGATAGGCAGATATAAACTTTTATCTTAATAAATGTAATAATATCACAAGACAAAGGGACTTTCTAGTGTGTATCATGAGTAAAACCTATGGAAGAACTGAAAGAAAACAATAAATTGCCCATGTAACCAGTGACTTTGGTTGTTACAAACTCATAAAGTTTACTATCATACTCTAAATCACATGAGATCAAAGATTTAGAAATTCGGTTATAATTTTTCTTTGTGCAATTGGTTGTACAGAATACGAGTACAAGTTTATTATCCTGTTACCTGAGAAACTGGATCCTGCAAAATCAAAATTTACCATTACGGAAAAAAAAAGAATATATATATATATATCCCCACACAACAGAACACCCACATATTTTCTTTTAGTAGAAAATTTACCAACTGCAAGGAAGGACTGAACACAAACAACATTTCTCAATTTACATAGCACTGAGAAATTTTGAGAAATCATGAGATGATATCTAACATAACATTTAACGAGTAAATACATACAAAATACAATCAAGTCTTCCTAAAAGTTGTATGGCATACTCAGAAAGAAAAGACTGAGGCCAAAACAATTCTCAGCTTACAAAGCACTAAGAAATTTTTAGAAATCATGACATGATCTTTAACACAACATTTACTGAACAAATACATACAATTTACAATCATAGTCTTCCTAAAAGTTGTATGGTATAATTAGATAAAGTTAGTTCACAATGAGTACATTCAAGAAAAAATCAATAACATAGTCATTCAATTTAAACAAAACTTGAATGATTTGGTGCCAAATAATATGCATGTTTTCTCCAAGTTCAATAAGTGATGTGCTAATCTCATAAAATGCAGAATATGGGAAATTCAAAAGTGGGCAACAAGAATGGATTAAAGGTCACCTATTTTTTCTGAGGAAGGTTTGTCAGGATTCCCCTGCACAGTCTCCTTGTCATCCTTAATTGAAGAGACTGCAACATCATCATTCTGTTTCCCCAAAGATGCACTTAGAATTTGACGAATACTAGTCTCTTTTGCACATTCCTGAATAACTTTACCATTTTCTGTTCCTTGAGGTTCATCAATCTTTAGAGCACTACTTGTCCCTAAATTGTGCTGACTATTGCTATCACATAACAGTTGTCTAGAAGTATCAGAAGAATGAGGTTTTTCAGTTCCTGAGACAACAGGACAAGAAGAAGTTTCCTTTTCGGAAGATCCAATAAGGTTAGATGTGCTTGCTTCCTCAGCTTCTTTTCCTGCATATTCTCCCTTTCCCTCAGTAGGAGAATATCCAACAGAAGTTATCCCTTGAAAATCATTGTGACTAGTAACTTCATGAGTTGAAACAATTTTGTTAGAAGGTGGAATGTCCGTCTCATGTAATGTCAAACTATTATTTTGAGAAACAACTTGTGAAACTGAAATTGAGATGAAAAAGAAACCTTTAAGTTAATGGGCCATTAGGAATTTGATCCAAGATCAGTGTGGAATCTTTTACTATATCAGTAAACAAGAAAGTGACATGTCATTGTGGTACCTACAGGGTTGTTTGGTTCTTCCATTTCCAATTTTCACTAATAATTACAAGGAGTTACTTTGTTTCCTGTTTACCAAGATTTACAGAATAAATTGTGGAAATACCAAAATAGGAAACAACAAGATGAAAACAACATAGTTGTAATCATTAGTGAACACAGGAAAGGACATTTTCTTTAAACCAAACAGGCCAATGAATTTAACCTGTAGGTGGTAATATATGATTCACGAACATGGTAGAATAATTTAGACAATCAATATATCAAGATTAAATAATTGTAATGCACCTGATTTAGGTATAGCATGGATTGAAACTGTGGAAGTCATCAATTCAGTTTCCATGCTGCCTTCACTAAGACATGACGAAACAACTCCCTTATCTACAAGATGAGATTGATCAACATCACAATGCATGTGACTAGAATCAGAAGGAACCCCTTTACTGTCCTGATCATTGACAGAAACAAGTTGATTGCATATTTCCTGGTCATTCTGTCTGTCAGTCTGATTATTTACACAAGTTTGAGTAGACTCAACCAAAATGGAAGATTTTGTTGAAACAGCCATGACACTACTACTTGAAAACCCCCCTACCCTACTATCACTATTTCCTTCACTAATGATAGAAATGTTATTTTCCTCTGCAGTAAATATAGATGCCTCCAACTTGCTTGACAAAATATCTGTATCCTCATGATTACCAGTGTTCAATAGTTGATCCTGATCATTGCTAGAGACAACTTGATGAGATTTTTCGTGGTCATTTTGTCTGTCAGGTTCATTGTTCACACATATTTGAGTAGACTCACCCAAAATGGAAGATTTTGTTGAAAGGTCACTTGTGCTGCTATTTGGAAAACCTACCTTATTGTCACCATTTCCTTCACCAGTAGTGGAGATGTTATTTGCCTCTGCAGTGAGCGTCGATGCCTCAGACTTGCTTAAAATCACTGTATTCACATGATCGCCAGCATTCAACAGCTCAACTTCCTCAGTAACACCACTCCCACCATATGTCATCTTCGTGACATCAACATTTTGCTGCATATTGGGAAAATTTTCACAATTTGAATTACTAATCTCAACCACTTGATCCTCAGAGTTAGAATCATCTTTAATTGACATTTCTGGCAATTCATGTGTATTTGGTACAGACTGAACATTCATTCCCACATCTTTGGGCAACAGTACATCTTTACTTGCATTGTTCTGAGACTGATCACTGAAACATATATCTTCACTGCTTTTTTCAGGTTTCTGCAAGTCAGTAACAGCAACAGATTCCACTCCCCTGGAACTCTCTAAACTACCTAACCCAGGCTTAAGATCATCAACTACACCTCCGCCTTCCAAAGTTACTTCTGTGGGGATAGAACAAAGAGCTTTATCCAGATGGTGTGCATCACCACCAACAGCATCTCCATCCAGAGTCTGTGTCTCTACCACAACAGCTTTATCCATCAGAGAAGATTCCAAATCTTGATTACTACTTTGTGCTTGAATAGGACCTTGCTTCTCATCATATATATTTTTCATAGATGATTCAGCAATATTAGTTTGCACCGCCAATGAATCAACTTGAGTTTTGACATGATGTGAATCATCATCAACAATCTCAACTTCTCCTAGACTTGAATTGTTATTTTTGTCATCCATATAGAGAGTCAAACTACCCTCAGATACAGGAAAGTCAATATTTCCACGGATGTCACTTAGTTCAAGATTACTTGAAGTTCCATCAAAGGATAATTCCCCTTCACGACCTTGGGACAATCCATCCTGAGACTTATCCATTCCTACATCCTCTTTCAGTCCAGAAAAACTTGCATGGGTACCACCAGGTGGATGTAAATCTGAAACACTATCTTTAAATTCATTTATGTCCTCAAATTTAGGATTAGTGTCCATTTGCTTAGCTAAGCAGGCCAGTTCATCACAGGCATCTGATTCCTGAATAACTGTTTGTCTAGGAATATAATCTTCCTGTCCAACAGATTTTAAAAGCATTTCAACAGATTCCGAGGAAGTGGCCTCAGACCATACATTGCCATGCCTTGAAATAGTGCAAGACTCAGCAGCAGTTGAACTGAACTCTATTCCATTACCCCCTCGGGAGAATGCTTCGATCCACTGGTTATCTTCGTTACTTTCAATGCCAAGGAAAACTTCAGTTTCTACTAAACTATCAAATCTTAAATTTGCTTGAAGATTTTCATCAAAATCAAACTTTGGAAGAGCATATGGCCTTAATACTGGAGGAAATTTAGCACTCCCTTCACCAGCTAAATGGAGATTCTGGTTTTGAAAATCATTGTCATCATAATCCATGGGTGAATCCCTAAACAAACAAACACATTACAATAAGATAAACAACAGCAATATTGAGCTTAAGCCTGATAAAAATGTGTGCATGCATAGACAGATAGACTTGCATAGAGACAAGTATAAAAAGCAGACAGAGGTACATATAAGATCCATCACATGCAAACATAGCATACAAAATACACAAAATGCATAGAAATTAAACAATAAGTTAAAAATAAATAAAATTGTTGGCCCATTGGCAACAAATTACAGCCTACACATAAAGCAACATATAAACTCAATTTAATAGAGCGAGAAAACAACATATATTAAAACATTTAAGTACAACCCTATAATTGAAATATTCAAGGTCACTAACACTACCTAATATACTCAAATAAAAGAGAAAACAAAATACCATGGCACTAATAATTTAGGTCCTGTCATGGTAATATATCTATGTAATCAACAACTGGTACACTTTGAGTGATGAGGCAAAAGAAACCAATCCCTAAGGTTTAAAGGTTGTCCAGTTATAAGAGAAGTGGTCTTGAGCCTACTGTGGGAGGGATAACAGTGCCTAGGATTACTTATATAATTAGATGAGTCTAAATTAACTTGATTCAGTAAATGATTCAAACAAGTTAATCTTCACTGTCATGCAGTGAGAAAGCTAATTAAGCATAAGGTCTTGGCAGCATCAAGATCCTATTTATTAGCTTGTTAGATATACCAATCAATTTATTTCAAAGAATTAAAATCATGAATGAACTGAAGTGGTTCGCTATTCTGACTATGAGAAGAAAAGAAAAACAGAAGCACTTTTCACTCAGAGATTAACTATCTTAAATTAAAAAGGTCATTGAAAAAAAAAAAACTTCTATGCCTGAATTAACCTATTAGGGCGGTTATGTAGAAAGTAACCATTTTTCAAACAAAACTCACCATTTCAAAGTAAAGGAAGCAAAAGTCTTAACCTAATCACAGCAGCAAAGGAGAAGATTAAGAACCCAAAGTTGGACATGAACAGTACCAGAACAAGTAAGTCTAGAGACGCTACCTCCCTCCATCCGGCGAGGAAATCCAACCCTCGTGATCTCACCTCTTCTCCAATCGTACAGTCATCTACCCCCTCCAAAACAGAAATCTGAGTGTGAATGCAATTTCACCGTAGAAAAAACCAAAAAAAACAGAACAGCGACAGGGTCAATTGAAGCTCACCGGGGAATCAAATTCCAGCGGATCGAAGTAGGGTTCTGGCAGTGACGGTGAAAGTTACTAGGAAGAACACGAACAAGTGCGAAACTGAAAAGTATAGGAATGGATTTGTTTTATTGTTCGTTGGGTGTGGCTGTGGAAAAAGCAGAGCGGAGAAATTTGTTTTTTTCCCAGTGAAGAGAAAATGAGTGTCAGCGCTAGGAATAAAAAAAAAAAAAAAAGTGGTTTTTGTTAGTAAATAGAAGATCGAACGGGCAAGAGGGTGAAGCATGACACGTGGATTGTCTGGATTGGTGTGTGGAAAGTATCTAGTTCTAGGGTTAAGCATGGAACCGCTATCCATGGGAAATAGTGTCACGTACACACTGATTGGTTGTTTGAGGAGAGAAGAGGGACAAGTAAGTGTCTCGTCAAATTGAGATGCTATCATCCAACGGTTCCCATAGGTTTAAATATAAGTCAGAAATCGTGACCGTGTAACCTACCCATATTGATTTTTCCAATTTTCTTCCAGAGGTTTAGATTGAATTGAAGGCAGGTGAAAAGTACTACTCAAATATAAAGAGAGTTTACACTTACTACTGTGAATCAAATTAAATTAATTAAATTCCTTCTAATAAGTGATTCTAAACTGAAAGTAATTTTTTTACATTAAATTAAATAAAGGAAAGAACAAAAAATAATATACATGTGTTTTGATGAAAACAAAAGTGATAATTGTTCGTAATTAAAAAAATAATAATTTATTGTCAATTACTTATTGAGATCATAAATGAGATAAAAGGAACTGATTACAGTGAATTGTACATTATTGTTCAATTAAAATCATGGTAATCTTAATCCTGCAATGAATTTAAATTTTGTGGTTATATAATTAATCATTTAATCCTAATCAATTATGAATCACATATTAGATAAATAATTTGAAAGCATAAAAATGATATATATAATAATGTAATTTTTTTCATAACCAATTTTTAGGTATAATGGAATATAATACTTGAATGATGATAAATAAAATAATACATATTAAATCGATAACAATGTGTAATGATGTAAACGAAAAAATAGAAAAAAGTGTTAAGAATATATATATATATATATATATATATATATATATATATATATATTCACATTTTGATTATTTTTTTTAAAATGGTTATTCATATTCAACAAATCTATTATAAATCCTTTATATAACCTACTTATTTAATTCCTGAGTTGACCCACATATTTGACCAGACAAGTTATTGAACTTGAAATTGTTGTGTCTTACAATCATTATATATTTTACTGATTTAAAAGTTTTTTTTTTACATCATCTTATAATTAAAGCCTTTAATGTGGTTAAACTTATTTAACTTCAACTATATATCATTTATTTTTTCTATGATCTTTATTAAATAATTTAAAGTAGTATTTATATCTATATCTAAATTATTATGTTTGAAAATGTGAGTTAGTATAATCTGAGAAAAACAATGTCATCGACTCTATTGAAAACCGTGTAAAAATAATATGAATATTATGAATGTAGTTATAAAACGATGAATGTATTATTTTTACTTGAAGTAGGTAGGTTAAGTATAATAGAAAATTAATATAAACATTTTAAATAGGGTGGTTTGAAAAAAAAACACTATCAACCTTCGCGGTAAAAATTATATATATATATATATATATATATATATATATATATATATATTATTAACATTGTGGTAATTTTGTTAATATTGTTTAAAAAAAGAATTGTGATAGGTTTATTAAAATTAGCAAGTTGTTTAACTGTAATATAGAGAAGTAACAAAAATGATTGGTATTATTATTGAAAAATTATTATTGAAAATCACAAAAGTCCTTAAAAAAAAAACTTTACTAAGAGAAATAAAGAGATATAATAATGATTATCTGAAAATCACACTACAATAATAATAATAAAAATATACTTGGATCATTTAATATATATATATATATATAATTTAAATATAACATCATATATAATTTAATTAAATATAATTTCATGGTTTATTCTTTTTTCACCTTTATGTAAGTTTTGATTTGTTTTATGATTTTGCTATTGGATGTAAGTGGAAAAATATACAAGAAGCATTTTTTTAATATTGACAAATTATCCATAGTGGAAAGAAAATTTAAGAAAGACGATTACTATTCAATTTGTAGTCACGATTTAAAACAAAAAACAAAACAGATTACACTAAGAAGGTGAAAAAATTACTTTAAACTTAATGTAAAGTTCAAACCTATATAACTTTATTTGTTAGTGTATGAAGATGATAATACAGTAAGATATGAAATAATTTTTTTAACTGTACACAAAATAGTAAAACTAATTTTAATTTGAAGAAACCTAATGTCCAGTTTACCCTTATTATTGGTGGAACCAGTGGTTGCACTGAACTCCATTCTCTCACTGCTTTAGATCTCGTCCCTGTCCAGGCTTGGTCGTCGCCGATCGCCGCAGGCCACACCGCCGGCGCCTCTGCCGTGTCGCCCATGCCTCTCACAGAGCACTGATTAGGTAAGTCCATACAATTTGTTCATTTATTGTTTAGCGTTTTTGTCCCCACTCTTCATTTCATTTATTTTAATTTGTTATTTTTTTGTTTTGATTTATTTGGGGAATTACTCAGAGACCTTTGTATCCCACTAACAGGTGTTATCAGTTTAATTCGAATCACGATTTTATCTTTTTTTTTTTTTTTTTTTACTTTTGACCATTGGATATATTATTTTTTTGTTTTATTTTTTCACTTATCAGCATGCTTCTTCTGCCACTATTTTATTCTTCTGGTTCTGTTCGGATCTTTCCATGTTTTCACCAATTCAGTCTGTATTACAGTATTGATCATCTGCTGCTATGCGATGTTTGGTTTATTTATTTTTGGGTGAGATGCAAAATTAGTGTTATTAATTTGATTTATCGTAAATATAATATTGATGAAGGTGACAAGGTTGCGAGGATAATTTCAAGTTTTGTCAGTAAACCTTTGTTTAATTAGTTTGTCGTAATTTTGTGAGCATCCTACACCTTGAAGCTGCAGATAATGCTGCATTATGGATTTGGTATATTAAGTTGCTGAGATTGTATATAATCCAACCAAATATATTTTTCATTTTTAATATCATGCATTGCCTTGATCAAATATCAGTAAGTGCAGGCATTTGAGCTTTTCTGAGTTGATGGTGTGTCCTTTGGTCTAGTGCCTAAATATGGAACCTATCTTAGTTTATGGTGATTCTTACTGTTCTACTTTGCTTCCACCATTGACTCTGGACATTGAGAAAGTATAAATTACATGACTAAGCATTTGACTATTATTTCTGCCGTTGTGTTGTTAATCATTATGCATTGAACAGACACCCTTCCCAAATTTTCTCAGCCGCCTTTCAGGTAACTTGACACCCGACACAGTTTGACCTGAATTCAACCCGAGGTACTCTACCCAACCTGGTTTCTGTTGATCCCTAACCTGAAACAATCCAAGCTCAACCCTCATTCTAAGTGAATTTGGTAGCTTCAAATTTGAAGAGAATCCACACTCACATTTGGTAACCTGAAACAACCCAAGCTCAACCCTCATTCGAAGTGAATTTAGTAGCTTCAAATCTGAAGAGAATCCACACTCACATTTGCCCGAACCTGACGTACACACCTTTGCTGCTGTTCCTTGCCAGTAACCCCTGAATGTGCTTCTACTCCTATGTGTTTTTCATTGACCATGAAATTCTCTTTCCTTCTTTTATTTTTGACTTTGAAGAAATCCTGTCCGTTGCTAATTTTGAAACTGCAAATTTGGATGTTACACAGTTGATTTGGGGCCGGTTTTTGATACTTGAGCTATATTATCTTATTTTGTTCGAGATTTCTGTTAATATTTTTAGTACTATGGTGTTTGTTTAATCAATCAATCAGTTGCATAACTTGACAATGACTATGATCCAAAAATATGATGTCTGGAGTGAGTTATGGTGAATATTTACCCTTGCAATATGTTGTTATTTTTCATAGATGCCAATTCAATTTATAATTTTGTGGAATCCAATTCTGTGTTTTTGTTCCTCGTGTATATGGTGTTTATTGGCCAATGATGAAGCAGTGTTAATGCAATTAGCTTATATGTGTCAGGTTTTTGTTTTCTCTCTGAGTATCAATCTATTCTTCATTCCAGTTGATCAAGCATGCAATTCTTTGGGGGGTCTGAGATTAGTCCTTCACCTCCTGCTCCGACAGCTTCAGGAAACAATGGGCATATGATGTATGTGTTTAATAGAAATGGTGTGTGCCTGCTCTATAGGGAGTGGAATCGCCCCTTGCGGACATTGAATGCCCAGCAAGACCATAAGTTAATGTTTGGTTTGCTTTTCTCTCTGAAGTCTTTAACTGCCAAGATGGACCCCACTAGGTATGTTTGTCTCATGGATTTCGAATAAGTGCAAAATCATCTTTCCAGCTATTCAATTCCTATATTTACTGTTTAATTTCACTTCCATGATGAATACACAAAGCAGTTATCTCCTTAAAAGTAATTTGAAGATTGCTTGTACTTGTAATTTTGAATGAAATGAAATTTATGTTGGCAGTGTTGCAAAATTGGCCATATTGCCTAACAACTTATTTTGATATTTCTGGTGAAATAATATCTATTCTTTAATAGTTTTCTTGGAAAGACAGGTAATCAATTATTTCTTGAAAATAAGCTAAACCAAGCATTGCTAACTCTTCTAGCTCCTGTTCTGATTCTCCAAAGGACAGCTTTTGCGGCATATATTATTTTCTTATGCGTTGCATTGGAAAATGCTTTTAGGTGTAAAATATAAAAGTGGTAAGGTGTGGCTAGATGACAAAGCTGCTATTTGAAATGTATACTTGTTTCCTTCTGCGAATAGCAAACTAAACATGTGAATAATGCTTATTTACTGTTGTCCTTGCTAACATATAAGTTGATGTTGATGGTGCTTGGCTTCCTTCACAGTAACCAAGCTTCATTCCCATAAATAATTCTTTTGGTTAATTTGATCACCAAGAATTAAAATGATATTTATTTGTTACGATGTGCCTTCATTCTTCATCCTTATTTTAATACATTTCTCATGTCCCTTATTCTTATACCATTATACCATATCTTATTCTTATACCGAATTACTGTCACAGCAAAGATGAACAAGCTAGGGATTATATGGTGAATTTTTGGTGTAATTAATAAAGGAATTTATATGTTGCATGTTGCACTGGCAAGTCCAATTAATTATACTCCAATTTGTTGTGCAGTGCCGCTGAGAAAGGAAACCTTGGTATGCCTCAGCTACCTGGCCAAGGTTGTTCATTTCACAGTTTCCGCACTAATACATACAAACTTAGTTTCATGGAAAGTCCTTCTGGAATTAAGGTCAGAAATAAACTTTGGGTTTTCCTTATATGTTTGTTGGAGAACATATGGATTAAGTTACTTTTGGTTCTGAAGTCGAGTGTTTCATATTACTTTTTGTAGCTATTTGGGACTTATTCAGTATTAATCTGTTATATATGTTAATCCCATTTTGACTGGAAAAATATTAGGTTTATTGACCTAATTTTAAATGAAAACTGAAGTGACAGAGAACTGAAAGAAACAGAGAACAGGATAAAGTGAAAGAAATATAAAACACCATGATATTTAATCAAATGTGAGGATAATTAGCCTCTGACTCCCTTCATTGTAAAGCTTGTTTGTTCAAATCAAGAACAATAAACTTGCTTATAAGATGCGTAGGTGAGTGTTTGATAAGAACCCAATAAAACAGTAATGAATAAGAGATGAAAATTTCACGTGTTATTTTAGTATCTGAAAACAAAGAGAAAAAAACGTTCCTCTTCCCCCAAAAAGAGCCAACCCCAGATCGTGGTCCCCCCCCCCCCTCCCTCCTTTTGTCCCAAATCATCCCTTTCTCTTATACTCTCGTTGGCTATTTCTCTCTCTAAACAGACACGTAGGCAATTTTGTTAGAAACAGAACCATAATGCGTGTGCATGTGGAGCCCATGCAATGGATTTCCACTTCTTCCTCTCATACACATTTTGGGCCTTCCTAATTTGCCCCTCTAATTCTTTGCTTGTATCAACACCTCCTTTAAAATTCACCTTGACCTCAAGTTGGAGCTCAAGAAAGGCTTCCATTATTCTACTCAAGAATTCCCAATAATTCTCACAATCAAGCATGTTCTTCCACTTCACCAACACTTCTAAGGATTGATCACTTTCTCCTCTCACGGTTAACACATCTTCTGGTTGGACTTGTAACTCCAACTCCTTAGTCACATACTGGGGTAAAGGTTGGACAACAACATCAGCTGTCATAGTGGGCTTCAATAGGGACACATGAAAGACAGGGTGCACTCTGCTATCCTCAAGCGATTTCAATCTATAAGCCACTTCTCCCACCTTTTCAACAATTTCTTACGGGCCATAATATCTCGGGCCATAATATCTCGAGCTGAGTTTCTGGTTAATTCTCTTAGCCAATTTCTTCAACTTGTATGGTGTATCTTCAAATATACGACATCCCCCACTTTATACTCCACTGCTCTTCTCTTTTTGTTAGCTTGCTGCTTCATTCTATTCTGGGTCTACACCAGATGATCCTTCAGTATTTCTAACATTTCATTCGTTTCTTGCATCATCACCGTCACTCCATCCCTTGATGTTGCTGTGACATCTCCTCTAATCACCAGAGGAGGATCTTTACCATAAATGGCTTTGAAAGGTGTCATCTTAGTGGTCTCATGGTAGTTGGTATTATACCAATATTCAGCCCAACTAAGCCATTTATGCCATTGTCTAGGCTTAGTACTTGTCATGCACCTCAAGTAAGTTTTCAAACATCTGTTAACCACTTCAGTTTGTCCGTCTGTCTGTGGGTGATAAGCAAAATTGAATTTCAACTTAGTCCCAGTCAGTTTAAATAATTTTGCCTAAAAAGAACTCATAAATATCATGTCCCTATTAGAAATTATGGATACGAGAAATCCATGTAGTTTCACCATTTCCTTAAAAAATAACTCAGCAACATCTTTGACATTATAAAGATATGTTAGGGCAATAAAGTGAGCGATCCACCACCACTAAGATTGTATCCATTCCTCCTGCCTTGGGCAACCCTCCAATGAAGTCCATAAAAACGTCAGTCCAAGTTTGTTCAAATTTGTTTAGGAATAGATAAGGGTTGTAACTTACTAGCTGAATTCAGAGTTTGATATTTTTTTTTTTTACACACATCACACTTCTGCACGTACTCTTTAATGTCCCTCCTCATTCCTTCCCAAAAGAACAAGTTGAGAATCCTTTTGTAAGTTTTGAAATATCCAGAATGCCCCCCTATTGCTGTATTATGAAATACTTTTAAAATAGAGCTGATTTTTTGTGATTTTTTAGGTATCACAAATCTGTCTTGGTAATATAATCTCCCATTGCTCACTTTATATCATGGATGCTCACCCTCCTTAACTAGCAGATCTTGAAAGATCTTCTTCAATTTCTTATCCTTCTCACTTTCAGCTTCTATTTCCTCCCATTTAAAGAAGCAGACAGTACTCATGGTTGAGAAGTACAACTTCCTAGAAAGAGCATTTATTGCTATATTGTCTCTCCCTAGTTTGTATTTAATGTCAAAGTCAAATCCCAACAACATAGAGATCCATTTATTTTGTTCCTCATTCATCAATCTTTGATCTACTAAAAACTTCAAACTTTTTTAGTCCGTATGAACAATGAAGTGCCTGCCTAACAAATAATGCCTCCATTTCTGGATGGCCAAGACCATAGCAATCAATTCTTTCTTGTAAATTGATTTATTCAAAGTTCTATCAGACAGAGTTTGACTCATGTAAGCCACGGGTTGCCCTCCCTAAACCTTTTTTCTGAAGCATCAGTTTCTACCACAAATGTCTTTGAGAAGTCAGGAACAGTCAACACAGGCACTTGTGTCATAGCTGTTTTCAACTTGTCAAACGCTTCTTGAGTCGAGTCATCCCAATTGAGCTTGTCTTTCTTTAGTTGTTGTGTTAAAGGCCACATTGATTTGCCTTACCCTTCTTCAAATTTCTATCATAACCCGTGAGGCCGAAGAACCCTCTCAATCCCTGCACATCTTTCGCCAGTCCAACATGTCCTTTATTTTGGCAGAATCAGCCGCTACTCCTTGGCCAGAGATGATATGTCCCAAGTGTTCAATACTTGTCTTTCCAAAAGAGCACTTCTTCTTGTTCACTACTAACTCATGTCTTCTCAAAGAATTCAACACAGTTCTCGCATGTTCACAATATTCGTTCATAATCTTGCTAAATATAAGTGTGTCCTCAAATAAGGATTCAATACTTTATTCATGAGAGCTTGGATTGTGGAAGGGACATTAATAAGCCTAAAAGGCATGACCACAAACTTATAGTGACCTTCATGAGTTCTAAAAGCTGATTTAGGGACATCTTCTCTCATGCGGATTTGGTGATATCCCGACTTCAGGTCCAGTTTCGAAAACACCTGAGCTCCTCTTAACTCGTCTAGAAGTTCATCTATGACTGGTATAGGAAACTTATCCGGTACTATCATCTTGTTTAAAGCTCGGTAATCTACACAAAACCGCCATCCTCCATCTTTCTTTCTTATGAGAATCACTAGATTACTGGAAGGGTTGTTACTAGGCCTTATAATTTCAGCAATCATCATTTCCTTCACAAACTTCTCAATCTCATTCTTTTGGTAATATGTGTACCTATAAGGCAGTGCATTTAAAGGATTTGCACCTTTCTTGAGAGTGATAGAATGGTCACAAGCTCCCTTGGGAGGTAAGTTCGTAGGAACTCTGAATATGTCCTCAAATTCTACCAGGACAGTGCTAACTCCTCATTGGAAGTGAAACCTCTTTCTGCCACATTGTCTGAGGGTGCTTGATATATCCATAGTGACAATATATATCCTTCTCCTTCATTGTTGAGAGCTTTCACCATCATCTTCCATGAAGCCTGTGATCTACACAGTGTAGGGTCCCCTTTCATGATCTTCTCCTCCCCCTTTATTCCCCAACTCAACACTAAATGCTGGAAATTAGCTCTCACATTCCCCAAGCTTGCTAACCATTCCAACCCTAACACTGTATCAGTCACTCCCAACTCCATAAGATAAAATTGTTGCACAATTGGAATCTTGAATCACCACTTCTAATTATTTACATATTCCCTTATTCACCACCTTGTCCCCTGTTCCTACTTCAATCTCAAACTCTTGTATTATTCACTTCTAATTTGAGATGCTGGACTAATTTCTTTGAAATGAAATTAGCTGAAGCTCCATAATCCACTAAAACCAATACCTCCATTCCTCCAATTCTCCCCATTACTTTGAAGGACCGATTAGAGGTCAGTCCTTCCTTACTTTTCAGTCAAATCTACAAGATTTTAGCCATAAGAGTGTCCCCTTTTTCCTCCTCTCCATCACTAATTTCATATTCTTCACCCTGGGAGTCCTCCACCAATACAATTTGATAGTGTTTCAATTTGCACACATGATCTTTTTCCCATGTTTCTCCACATTTGAAACATAACCCCTTCCTACTTCTTTCTCGTAGCTCCACTTGAGACAATTTTCCTCCCCTTAATGTCTTCTTTTCAGGAACATCATTCTCATTCACCTTACTATTTGTCCCCTCTTTACTTCTTCCTTTCTCCCACTTAGTGAAGCTTTTTGCCTGCTTCATAAAAGGTCTCTCCCCTGTCTTTTTTTCTGCACCAATCAACCCAGTCTTACATAAGGTATTGTTATTCTCTTCTAGCAATAATGCTTTATCCATCAATTCATCAAATGTCCTGTTAGCGTACAATTTTAATTCAACTTGGATCTCTTCCTTTAAATCATTGATAAAAATACCCTTCAACATAATTATTTCTTCTTTCTGCATAGGAGTCAATTCCCTTTCAAACTTCTCCCTGTATTTCATTACAGGTTTGTTTATTACTCAGCAACTGACCAAACAAGTTCTGTACTAACCCTAGTTGAAAACGCCTAATCAGGGCCCCCATAAATTCCTCTCAATTCATTTTTGGACTCTATTCTTCCCACCATTGATTCTAACTCAACCTTATCCTCCAGGGTGATAATTACGACATTCAGTTTCTCTTCATCGTGCACCATGTTCAGTTTGAAATATCTTTTAGCTCAAACTATCCATCCATACGCATCGTCACCTCTGAATATGGGAATCTTCAACTTGCGGGCCCCAAAATCGTGCGACAAGTCATGACTCATGCTTCGCATGGTGGAGTGCAAACTATCTTCACTCTCGACTTTGCCATCATCGTTCCCATTCTGCCTCCGATGTGATTATTGTTTGTGAGATCTGCGTGACAAGACTTGCTATGCGAGATGATCAAATTCTTTAATTCGACAAGCTGCTGTTCAAGGCCTTCCATACGCTTCTCCATTGTGTTTCTCATAAGCACCATGCACTCCCAGAATCGAGTGCTCAGATACCACTTGATAAGAACCCAATAAAATAGTAATGAATAAGAGATGAAAAATCCCCGTGCTATTTTAGTATCCGAAAACAAAGAGAAAAAACGTTCCTCTTCCCCCCAAAAGAGCCACGTGGTTTTCTTGTTCCCCAAAAACCAGTCTCCCCTCCCCCCCCCTTTTCTCCCAAAACGTTCCCCACTCCTACTCTCATTGCCTATTTCTCTCTCCAAACATACATGTAGGCAATTCTGTTAGAAACAGAACCATAGTGTGTGTGCCTGTAGACCCCATGCAATGGGTTTCCACTTCTTCCTCTGATACACGTTTTGGGCCTTCCTAATTTTTCCCTCTAATGCTTGTATCAATGTTTATCATGGTGTGTAGGTGATTATATTGTTTAGGCACCTCGGTTGTGGGGTATTTGTGATTCTTTAGGAATGTAGGTATAAGTAGTAGTGGTTTTGAGTTTAGCAGATTTCACTAAAATTGTCCTTTAAACTCTGCTTGGTTGAGAGGATGAAATTAAGATAGGTGTTTGGTGGGAGAGAAAGAGAAGAGTAATAATTTAAAAAATGGTAGGAGTCTCGGTATTATTTCTCTCACCGATTCTACTCATCTCTCCAAATCTCCACCCATCTCTTCTCTATCTCTCTTCATCAAACACTTAAAATTTTCACTATTTCTCACTCCGCCAACTTATTGCTATCCATCTTTTTTCTCTCTTTACCATAGAGAGCATTAGAAGTTGTCTTAAAAGTTGTGCAAAGTAAGATTGACTGCTTAACACCAGTAACAGTGCTAGCTATTGTAGCAATTAGAGAGATATATTACAGCACTAATAAATATTATCTAATAAAGTTATACTTTATGGAAAATAAATCAACGTATTGATATTCATAATGCCTTATATAGGTGGTTGTTATAATGTTCCTGTTGTGACTCTGTTCTTGCTTTATTCAGATCATCTTGGTGACTCATCCTAGAACTGGCGATCTTCGGGAATCCTTAAAGTATATCTACAATTTGTATGTTGAATATGTTGTCAAGAACCCGCTTTATACACCTGGATCTCCTATTAGGTAATATAATTTATTCTTCCCTGTAAATGACATACTTGTCCTTTTATCAAAAGAACGAAATATTTCTTCTATAAATGTGGTTTCATAGTGTCATCCATGGACAATCACATCATTAGTTGGCATCGTTCTATGTCTTCAATACATATGACCACTGTTTTATGACTTGTTTGGTTTTGAGGAAATAAATGGATAGGATGAAAATAGAGAAAAAATAAGTTGAGAAAAAAGAAATAGGAAGGAAATAAAATTGAATGTTTAGTTGAGTGGAAATAGGTGAGAAATAGAGAAAAAGTGTCTTCATAGTTGTGTTATTTAATAGAAAATAAGGAGAGAAATACATAGATGAATATGAATAGACGAGAAATAGTGCGATGGGTCCTACTATTTTGTAAAATTAGTTTTTTCATATTCTCCCTCAAACAAAATGAACTCCCTTCCTCCCCCTTCTTTCTGCCAAACAAACCGTTAATGACGAGGAGGTGCAATACTAAAGGTGAGCATGTGATTTGTGCTTAGGCACACTATTCATAGGTTCAAATCCTAACTTTGCTTAATCTAGTGTTAGGCCTCTATGTCGATTGTCTTTTTAAGGCGGTAGATTAGTTGAAATGTTTGTAAGCTGGCCTAGGTACCGCTTGATTTAATACTTGACATAAAAAATGAAAACATACACATCCCTCCATCTTTATAATTATTCCCAGTAAGTGCAGAGCTATCAAAGTCGGATAGTCAGCTGGGGTAAAAAATCTCATTTGATCAATGTGCCACGAAAACCATCCTCACCACCCCCATGTGGGCGTAAAGCTCAGCTCACCAAATATAAAAAATGGAATTAATTTTTAAATTAAATTTATCCAAAAATTTCAGAAAATTATAACCTTTTCCTAGTTCCTATATAGTAAAGCCAAACAAATTATTAACAAATTATATTGGTGGATACAGTAAATCAGAATAGAACCTACCCCCACTCACCTAGTAAGTACTGTCTTCTGACTGGGCCACTGCTGTTGCCACAACATTTTGTGCTCTACTGCTATTCTCAATAGATTGCGGGCTAGCCCATGGACTGATATGGCCTTAATCGAGTTCAGTCCTTTGGTTAGTTGGCAATGTTCATCCATGATAGAATCTGGACTTGTACCTAGGCATGGCAATGGGGCGGGACGGGGTCGGGTTTTGTTTCCTCGATTCCCGTCCCCACCGTCCTTATCCCTGTCCCAGATCCTTGTTGGGATTAGAAATTAAGTCCCTATTCTTGTTTCGGTTGGGTTTCCGGTTTTTTCATCTCCATCCCGTCCCCGATTTACATTATTTAAAAAAAATAATTATATTTATAATAAATTAATTTTACTATTTTTATGTATTTTTATACATAAATAAATATTTATAATTTTACAATTTGTAATTATTATTAATTAAATATATATTTTAATTTATTATATTTATATTAAAATATGTATGTAAAAGAAATATTTAATCATTTTTTCTTTATACATATATAGAATATTTATAACATTATTATTATTATTATACTTTATTCAAACATTTGATTACATATATAAATTAATTCATTTTTAAGTTGTCATTTAAAAATATGAAATATATATTTTGTAAGGAAATATTTAATAAGTTAATTTTTACTTAATTAGTTCAAAGTAATAAAAGTTTAAATTATCAATTCTTTTTAATCTTTTAAAATACAATTATTTTATTAAGATAAAATTTGATATATGACAAATAAGAATAATAAAAGTGGGTAGATGAAAAGTAAAACATGGTGAAATATAAAAAAGTGGGTAGAAAAAGATAAAGAAATATTTTTAAAATATTAATATTTTAAAATTTAAATTTAAATATAAAATTGGGGTGGGGACGAGACCAGGATGGGGATTGCATTACTCATCCCCGCCCCATCCCCTACTTTTTAAAGCGGGAAAAACCCAAACCCGTTTCCACTACCGTCAACTCAGTTTTTTCCCGTCAAACTCAGGCGGGAACGGATAGGTCTCTATGGGTACGGGTTTAATTGTCATCCCTACTTACATCCTATTTTGAACATTTTGCTAAGATTTTATATGCTTTATTTCGTGATTTTATCTGCTATAACATCGTTCTCGGACCGTAGATTAGATTTATACCTAACTTGTTATTCATATTTTATCAATGAATGTAACATTTTTTTTTTGTTTATCATCTGATATATTTTGTTTTTTATCTAAGTTTTGTTGCTAGTCAACTATTTCCCTATTGGCTTTAATGGTTTGAGGGATTATATTTTATGATTTCGTTGATTTCCGGTTGTCAAGAACATTTTTTGACTAGATGAACTTTTGATGGGTTTTCATAGGTGTGAGCTGTTCAATACAACCTTGGATCAGTATGTAAGAGGCATTGCGTAGAAGCTGTGTTATTTCCATTCAACACTGTTAATGACTAGTGTGGTATAACGCCTTGTTTTGAATGGTGTGTTGTGAGAGGCATTGCATAGAAGCTTAGTTGTTGTTTGACATGTTTCCATATAACACTGTTGATGACTTAGGTTTTATAACGCCTTGTTTTGCATGGTCACTAAATATTTAGTCAGAAACTTTTAGGGATTACTCAATTTCATTGATTTTATTTGAATCCTACAATCTATGTTGGCCTGTATTTCTCCTCCAATATATATCACACACTCAAACTCAAGATACTTAGTGAGATATGATAAGGTATGGTCTCCAACTTTCTCCTCAAAGCTAAGATTGAGTGCATGTTTGGATTAAAATTTGCAAACTTAAGTTTGATAAAATAATGTTTACTTTAATGTGATTTATGTTTGGATATTTTTGTTCAATATTTTATGATGAAATAAATTTGTTCGGATAATACTGATCAAAAGTACTTTTAGTTGTTGTTGTAACTGATTAAATATTGCCATCACAGAAAATTAAATTTCAAAAGAAACTCGGACTATGATTTTTCAGTCTGGTGTGCTTCAAATGTTTGGACTCTCGATTGTAGAATAAGAATTTAGTTACTTTTGCAAACTGTACAAATTATCATTCAAACTTTAATCTTAACATCCATTTATATATGGTACTAGACAACTAGATACTTTCTTTGGTTTGGTGTGCATCAATCTTCTTTTAACGGGCAACCAAACACATTCTAAAATAAATTAAACTTCTTTTCTAACTTTAAGTGATAAATTTTGAAGTAGTTCATTTAAATTTTATGAAATATTATATCTTTTAATTTTATTTTCCTTGAACATGATATATCTTATGCAACTGATCTAAAGGTTATTTTGGTAACTTACACAAACGAAATGTTCAAACGAATCTATTATGAAGATGAGGGTTAGCAACACATTCTATAAATATACATTTTATTATTGATTAAAATTTATTGAAACTACGAAATTAAAAGTGAGCCCCATATTTTTTGTAATTTTTAATAAATTCAACTATTAACAAAGTGTGTTATAAACATTTATAAAGTTAGAATAATAGGATTTTAACATCCTGTTATAAACACATAATTGACAATTTTATTAAAAATTAATATTTTCTTTCATTTCTTAGTTCTCTTCCCAGTCCTCGTTGTTTGTGTTGGTTTTTAGTCTTTCTCTCACTCTTAGTTTGTTTTCTCCCTTAGTCATTATATTTCGGTCGTTTTCATCTTTTTCTTAATTGCAGTTTCTCTTTTTCATCATTCATTATTTCATTTCATTTTCGTCCTCCTCTCATTCTCAGTTTCTCTCTACCCTGATAATAAAGAACATTAACTCCTAAGATCCAAAACGTTCTACAATAATAGTTTTGATAATAATAGTTTCAAAACATTCTAAAATTGTAAAAAAACGTTCTCAATTTACTAGACCGACTTAACCGATTTTTCTATTTCCGACTTCTCAGTTCGTCAATTTACTAGAACGACTTGATCGATCTCTCCATTCCCCACATATTTTACTTCAAAATTTATTTGCCTTCAAAACATCCTTCATCCGGAACTCCAAATCTTCTAACTTTCAAGATCCTAAACTCCAAATCTTTGAACTTTCAAGTAGCCGACATCTTATCCTTTTATTTCCGAACACCCTGATGAGGAAAGAAACTGAGACTGATGACGACTGAGGACGGAAACAAATGGAAAATGAGAGAAAAACCAAAAATCAACACAAATAACGAGAGAGTATGGAAACTCATAGATGAAAGAAAATATTATTTTTTAATGGAGTTGAAAATGTTTATAATAGGATGTGAAAATATCAGCACTGTTGTATGAACTCTTCCTAGGTCCCTAAATTTACTACTTCTCATGCTGACTATGGGGTCCATGTACATAGCATGCATTTGCCATCTCGCGCCAGAACTACAAGCAAAAAACAATGAAAAACCTGTTGAATGCTACTCAGAGCCGCTTCACTTTTATCATAACTCAGCATCTCCAAAGAAACCCTCTAGTGATAATGGTATATGCTTGTCGCATTTTCTCACGAATCAGAGGAAGTTTTCCTTTCAAATTAAAGCGTGTTTCTTTTGTAATTCCTTATAATAAAACAAAATATTTTGTACAGTATCAAACTGGAATTGTTTGGAGTTTTTCAGAATTTTTTTTACTAATACAAAATTAAATGTAAACTACTTAGTCATGACGTAATAGAATAGGGATTATAAATCATATTATTTGATGTATAAAATAACTTATATGAGTTTCCTATATCCTTATATCACTCGTGTGATTTTATTTTGTTTTAAATAGATTCTACTATGTCATATAATTTTTTAAAACTCTGTTACAAGTTTTGTTCATGATAAAACTCCTATTTTTCTATTTTTTATTTATACTTCAATTTTTAACAATTTAAAATTAATTATCATAATTAAATATTTTATAATTCTTACGATCAAGAGTCGTTCTGCAAAATTCATGTTTTAAATTTAAGATATCCACCACGTACATCAACATCTTTCAATAAACATTTCTTACAAGATCTAGATCTTAAATTTAAAACCGGTATTTTTTTTAATTTTTTTAGTCCTGAACTTTATACAAGTAAAATAGCTAGTTGAAGATAAAAAACTAATTATTTGTAAAGTTTAAACTTGATTTTGTTTTGACAAATATCGAAATAAAGTGTAAATCACTTTTTCCTTTATTTATCAATAAATGCAATTTTTTAGCAACAAGTCTAAACAATGTGCATAAGCCATCTCAAAACAATTTTTGAGTCCTTTACTCCAAGTATTTTTTGCTCAAATCGATGCTTCATGTGACATGTGAAGTCGCGAGAGTACAACAATTAGACACATTTGACCTATGTTTCCTGAACAGGACTCTACGATCTTTATAACGTCTTTCAGTTTTTCACATTATTGAAACCAGATTCCATTATAATGTCTATGCATCAAATTACCTATGGTAGTGGTAGTGACTTGTACTGCGGTCAACATTCTTGTACTTTTGCTCATCTATCCACCATGAATTAATTACCGTTTATTATTCTATTCTGCAACTTCCAAGTTAGGCAGCTACATTTATCAAAATATTTAGATAGGAAGACTACGAAATCCAACACAAGCAAAACTTATATTGTGTTAAAATGTACAAGAAATATCTATGAACAGCTATAATTAACTTCCTCGCTTTTCTCAAAACAGTCAAACCTAAAAGAAGTAAAAGACCTCTCTGGATTGCCGTAAGATGTCATAGTTATACCCACCATGGCTTGTCTATTAGATCCTTGGACAACATGTACCTGAACCGAGAACTGTAAGGCATCCATTCTATGATCTGAGATGACTTTTTGTTGGATTTACGATCAAGACACTTCTGTATTGAATCATGCAGTTTCTTGTCAACACTTCCCATTAACCATCCAAGGAGATCATCTGAACCGATTGATGCTTCTCTAGAAAATCTATCCACCAATTTAGGGAGAAAAACTTTGCTTGACTTCTTCACAACTACATTCGCTTGAAGAAACTCTCTCTTGGCAATATTCAGCTGTTCTCTTATGTTTGATGCAGTGTAGACTTTTAGCTGAGCACAGTCACAAGGAAAGTCTTGATCAACTAATTAAAACCAGGTTATCAGAGAGCTGGAAGTAATATGGATGCAAATGTGAATATCATACCCTATATTTTTAGAATTTCTCATATTTACTTCTTACTGTGCTTCATCAATGCATCGACATTGATCAAGATGTCGACTCAACAAGTGCAAAGCCTTACACAACTAACATCACACTTTCCCAGTGATATTCAAACTGCAATTCCTTGGAAAAAGGTAAATGAAAGAAAATTACCACAGGATCTGACAATGCCCCAGTGCAAAGAGCAAAGCAAACAAGGGGTTGGAAATCATTAATATACAATTTTGAACTGATAAGCTGCTTTTCTTCACCATTTTTCTTCCTCAGGGCTGCAGACACAAAGCTTTCAAGCCACTGTGCTTCACAAACAAATATAATAATCAGATGAAACATGAGATGCCATCCTAACATCACAATTTGGTGTTAGAAATTTTCACTTCAAATTCTGTTAAAAAAAGATCAGTATAATATCAGAAAAAGAAATAAGGTCCTAATGGAATTCTAAGCATCTCATTCAGAAAATAATTATATTAAAACTTCTTTCTCTTTCTAGATGAGAAGCAAACCCTATAGTCCTTTTTGGTTTAGGATAAGGATTAGAGGAAGCAGTCTAATTCTGCTGCCTCCATCTAGTGAGCTAATCAAACAGGATAAGATCATTCTAGGCTGTTCATTAAGTTAAATTTATACAGAAAAGGAAGTCGGGTTACAAAAAAATATGACAGAGACAATTTTTTCCCCTTTCACCCTAATCTCCAAGGAATCAAAATCACGTCCCGTTCTCTTTCTCACAATAAAAAAAATAACAATTTAGCAACAAAAACTATCAGGAGTGTTACTATTTTAACTATTGTTCAATTCTTCTTCCTTCTCTGTTGCTGCCGCTGGTACTTCCATTACCACCCCTACTGTCCCACATCTACTGCCACTACCATTCCTGTCCTGGATAGCACCATTCCTATCACCCCTCCTTTCATGACGAGGATTATTTTTATTTGCTTGCAGTTTATATTCTTATCTACTAAGCTATACGACACGTATCAAGCACTAGATAAGATAAAATCCTATCTAGCTTACTTTGGCAACATTAATACAACCTTTTTATCCACCCTTGTCTAATCCTGATCAGTAAAACAACCCTATAAGTTTACAGTTCACTGGTGCTGGTGATTGTTAAACCATAGCAGTGCAATAACGATTAAATGATATGCACATTCAAATGGATACATTAATGTTTTCTACAACAATATAGGCTTGCAAACAGCAGATGCAAATCAAGGGAAGAATCTGCCATTTGTAACTGTTGGGTCAAAACATAAAAACATATATATAGAGTTGCACTATTTGGACCAATCATATATTCCACCATTTAAAGGCAACCATAAACTGGCAACATTGTGATATATTTAGAGGAGCACATGAGGATCAGATGAGTACCCGTCCAATGCGGGGTGTTCGGAAGCCAAAAATCACTTGTTCTATGGAGTTTGCACTTATGATATGACCACCAATATTGTAAGCTGCCTGCACTACATAGTTGTACTCATCATATCATATTTTCCATGATGTATCTATAAAAAATGAATATAGTACAAGATTGTACCAGTGAAAAATGACAGTTCTAAAGTATATCTCTATGATATCACAAGTTAAAGGAAGTTACTTCTCCATGGCATCTAAATGTCCTCTAAATATAGCATCTTTAGATCATATGCCCTTTGATGACTTAAGCCATGTAAATAAGATAACAAGTAATCAAGAGAAGGTGAATGAGAGTTTCTTTTCCTTCCTCCTACAAAGGAAGATCTTAGTTTATGTTTCTTGTAGATGTGACTGTTTCTTTGTTACTCGCTGGATTAAGAAAACAACGAAATAAACATTATTTGGATATGGTTCCTGGTCTAGGCATCGCACTATACAAAGGTTGGCTGGGGGAAAACACTTCATAGAAAGTATTATCCTTCTTAAGTTTTACTAACATTCTTAAAGTGTTAATAACTGGGAGAATTTGGAGCTGACTAAGGACAAAATCAATTGAATAAAGAAATTGACTACCTTGTGAAACAAGGCCAGCCTTTTCAGAGAGCCCTGGGGAATTCCATATGCTAAATATGCCTGTTAACAGTAAAAGAAAGTTATACGTGCTGAAAGTTGGCCAATAAAAATCATAGTCAAGTGACTGAATATTACATGCATCACAAGAGCATTATGGACATTGATCCAGAACGCAATCTGTTCATCACGTTCCATTTGACTGATATTCACCCTTTCAAGTTGTTCAACTAGTACTCTGAAGGAAGTGATGAAGGAATGGGTTAAGTACACACAATCAATCATAAGAATCTAAGGTGTGCTTGGACAAAAAATAAGTACAGAGAGAACTAAAACTGAAATATGTTCCCTTAAAAGACACTGTCGGTTAAGTAGATTAAGAAAAATTGTTGTGTTCTCTTCAAAATTGAACACTAAGGATTTTCATTTATATCAGGGTTTTAAATGGTTTCTTTAAGAAATATTCTTGATGTTTACCTATTTTATTTATTGGCTCATCCTTCATATGATGAACACCTTTTATAGAATCTTTATTAGTTAACTTCTCATATAAATCATATCAGGCAAAATTTTGCCATTTTTACTTACAAACAATTTTAGCTCTAGCATACTTTCCAATTTATTCATTTATGATATTAACTTTTTCTGTATTAACACTTATTTACCGCATTATTAAGAGAGCACACCAAATAAAATAGCTTAAGACATCAAGGTTGGAGTTCATTGTATCATTTTTTACATTCTAAATAAAGATTTGTTATGACAGTAATTCTTTGAAACTTAATTAAACTTTAGAATCTATTGATGGCCTTCCCAGTAGTATAACTACCTTTCTTGGCTGTAGTACTATAAACATAAATCACAGAATACTAAAGCAACTGTATTGATTTGATACAACTACTTAAGATATCTAGAAAAAATAACTGCCAGTCAAATAACAAAAAATTGTCTAGAAAATCATTGTAAAGGCCACAATAAATATATAATAGTGGGTAACCTCTTGATAAAATTCCCACAGGACTATTAGTTGTGGAGTTTCTAATTTCTCAATCAAGGAAATAATTTCAAGGTATGCCACTGCGTTGAGATTCTTTACAAGTGCATGAAAAGCACCTTCTCGGTATTCACATTTTGAATATAATATCATCTTGAAGTTATCAAATTTAAAGAACCAACCTGTAGTTGTCAATGGCATAAGAAGCATGTGAAGAATGACGTTTACGAGTAGCAATCCAAGATATTTCCACTATTGATTTGCAATAACAGTCACGATCCTCTCCAACAACACCATGTCTTGGCCGTACAGCATGAGTGGATGACCTACTTTTTTCAGTATTTACAGAGGTTGCACTACGGAGCCAACAATATACAGTTGCCATACACTTTACCATCTCCTCAGAGAGCCTGTTCGGGCACTGGTTTAGATGATCTTTTAAAGTTCGCAATACTGGAGCTTTCTCCATTTTGGTAAACCTCTCATGACCCTGACATGGTTAAGGTCAAAATTTGTGACAAACATCAGAAAATAATTTTTAGTACATTGGTTTTATCTTTAGGATGCTATTATTATATATATAAGCTTTTTCCACTCACAGGAAGAACAAAGGAAATAGGTAACTATAGCAATATATTATACCTTAGTGTAATCAGGACAAGTCTTTCCAAAATAAACTTTACCCTTGCCACATGATAAAGGAGCATAACTTGACCCAAAGATTTTATTCTTCAAGTCATTATTAGAAATCAGAGCTTGCAATGGTCTCAAGGGAAACTTTTTTGATGAACAGAAGGCACTTGAAATTATACTTGGATGCTTCCTAGATTCATGCTTTGCGTGAGCAGGTGAAGCCACCCCAGAATTTTGTTCAGAAGGTGGCCGGCTAACACAATGTTCAAAAATACTTCTGTACATGGTAAGCACGTGCTGCTCACGGCTTGTAACTTCTTCTTCAAGTAACTCAATTTCAGCAATTAAATCCTTTGTCTAAAGCGGGGGAAAAAGACAAAAAAATAGTTAATTTCTATAAAACCAATGGTTACTTAATACTTATGACCATAACTTGAATGAGAAATATCACATTGTGCATTATACATGTCGATCAACATTTACAATCCTAGTGTAGTGTCTCTTTTATGCCTATCATAAATTACACTTCCTTTGCAAGAGAATCAACTCCTGTCCTAATAATTTATATTCCTGAATAGCTTATTTTATATAATGTTTGTTCAAACTCAAACACTTCAGTAACATATAAATACTTCTGTTGGAAGACTTTACATACAAAGAATTGCACAAGATAATACTCAAAAACCAAATAAACCTGAAACCAGTTGTTTGGTGGGTGCCCATGAGTGTTTTATTCCACTACCATGTCCACTACTATCTCAACAGATGAAGAATGTGTGAATAGGCACAGGCCCACTGCCTGAGTAAAAAGTGTCAAATTACCTGAGCAGCGAAGTGCCTGTGTCCAGGTGATAAAGTACTTGAGGCACGGCCCATTGCTTTCTCAAGCAGAGTACGCATAGATTTTTCCTGCTGTAGGCGTAGCTGTAGCTGCTCAACCTGCAACTCAGTACATCATGTGGTTCAAGCATCAATGAACTACTAAGCTATGGCCATCTTACAGGAAAATAAGAATCCACACAATCTAGTATTGTCTTTCCACAATTTAAAGTCCTTCATGTTTCCCATGTGTTTCTGAAAGACACACAATATGTTTTCTTAAGCTTTCCTTATATCCATATGAATATTTCTACAATTCTCTTCCATAGGATTTATTGATCTTAAGATGCTTCTAAATTTCTCATTATTGACAACGATCCGTTCAAGAATTGTATCTCTGATCCCACAATGAACCCTAAACTTATTATCCACTGAAAAGAGTATGTCAAATTGTTCTATTAATCATATTACTTTATATCAATAAGTTCCACGATCATATAATCAATTTCTTTCCTTTTAAAAAAGACTCTTCAAGGTATATATACTCCTGCGATGTTGGAACTTCTACTATACATTAAAGGCAAAAGAAAAAACCAAATTTGGGGGAAAGGTGAGAAAACCAAGAAGCAGTATAGTGTCATTCTGAGTCATCTCAGCTTGTGTAAAATTGAACAGAATAGCCACAAGAAATAACCAAGTTAAGAATCTAGATATTAAGAGATAAATTCCACCAAACCAAAATGGGAGGGAAGAGCCACTCTGGTTCTAACAACTATAACTTACATCTTTTTCCAACGATGATCTATGATTTGAAAAAGTTTTCTTGTTACAGGTGAGCTTATCATGTAACGGACTTGGTAATCTAGAAGCCCTCACTGAAGGGGGTGAAACCTGTTCAAGTCACAGCAAATGAATTACTTTCAATTCAAAATTACAACACAATAAAACCATTGTTTCCTCCAAAGGATTATAAGATATGACTTGAAAAGTAAAAGATCAAATTCATATTTCAATCTCACAACTCACAAGAGATTCATCCTGGTCTTTCTCCGTAGGATGCAAAACTACACCACTAGAGAACTTCAGGTTCCTGTCAGCAGAAGCACTGAGAAGTGCACAACAAACCACATCAATGAAGCAGCTGATGATGATAACAGCAATTTGTCCAAATAAATTATCAACATTTACACTAAAACTTCTTACTACAATGTACAAAGTACCCCACCCAGACCAAGTTTTTAGAATCGTTACTTCATTGATATATTTAGTCAGAATGTATCATCCTCTCCACTTTTTATTTTTCATAATGCTCTTGAATTCAAACTCAAAAAAGATTAAAAAAATAAATAAATACAATATTCATTTAAGAATCCAATTAGTTAACATGAATGGAGATTCATCAACCAATTTTTTATTTAATACTTCAAAAAATCCTTAGCTTATAAAAGTTATTGATTATGTTCTCCGAATGTTATTATAAACAAAGAATAAGGAGGCACGATTTGGGTTTCAGTTTAAGCAAAATCAAAACCTGTTAGAGCGCCTGTGTACCCTAAAACTTGCACCCTGAGGCTCAGCATACACGCCCACTTGTGCATCACCCTCTTTGTCAAATACACTATGAAAGTGAAACTCACCCATCATTAATTCTTAACTAATCTAGAAACCCTCTTGCGTTCTTCTTCTTCTTCTTCTATCTATCTATTCATCGATCAACAACAACACTATCATATCATACACTAGTATTTACTACACAACGGAACAGCAGGGACCGGGTTTCAAATGCAAGGGAGAGTGTGGGCCTCGAATAATTAATTGAGCATAACATAAGCAAGGATGCTTCACATAGAAGAAGAATCAAATTGAGAAAGTAAAAAATAAAATAAAAATGTGAAACAGTGAAACCGTTTTTTGGGCGAAGGGGAATGTGAAGTGAAATAAATAGCAATAGTTACCAAAAGACTGCAATGATCAGAGAAAGTGGCTGGCTGCACTGATCGGAATTGAATTCGATGGGCACTGAGTTGTTGAACACATTCAATGTTGCGATTTAATTCGTGTACTACTCATCAACACCCTCTCTTCTCTCTCTTATACATGCATCAAAGTTAAGTAGATAATGAAAATGGAAAGTATTACTACTATGGGGAATGCAGATTCGGTGATTCGATCCGTTAATGCTTTGAATTTGAAATGGAGGTGTTGGTCAGATACATTCACCCGCCAATTTGTTTGCCCTTTAAACTTCTTTTCTACTTTTTCCTTTCTCATCCTTCCATGCTTAAAACGTTCATTTTGAAACATTTTAGAAACATATTGTAGCCTATTCACTACTTTTGGATTTTTTATTTCACTGAACTCTGCTGATTAGTGTTTTTTTTTCCTCTAGTTTCTATTCATAACAAGTGGAAAGCTGGCGTTTTAAATCCGTTTTCACAATTTTTAATCATTTTTTAAATTTTTTTTCATTTTTTAAATACTTCTATATATTTCTTACTAATTACCTTTTATATTTTTTTCATAATTTTACTATTTTTTAAATATATAAATCATAATATATTATTAATTTTCTTTTGAATGATATTAAAAAAAATTATAATATATATATATATATATATTTATAAATATTTTATCAGAAATAAGAATATTTTATACATATTAAGATTTGTCGTTAAGTTTAAAATTATTAACATACATTTTTTTAATATATTAATACTTTTTAAAAATAAAATCATAATAGATATAATAATTAACATTGATAATATTATTATGATAATTATAATAAAGATATTTTTTTGAAAACAAAATAATATAAAGAAATAATCACTTCATTTATTTGTTTGAAGATTTTTTTTTTTCGATAGATAATATTATTTAAGATATGAAGTTTAGATATATATACAGAGAGACCGGTTTGGAACAGGCTTGTCCAGGACAAGGCCTAATTGTTGAAATCAAAACATAGTATAACACATAAAAACTCATAATGGAATCAATAACATTAACTTAGTTTTCCTTGTCAAATAAGAGATGAATTCAAATGGCCCTACTATTTCATAAGATACTGACCCTGTTATAAAAAAACAGTAACGACTTTATCTTAATCTTATCAAGACAACTAACATCACATCTCTATCAATATATGTTAAATATATTATTCATGGTTATATAGTTTTATTTTTCTTTATTTTTAATTTATTAATTTGACCCATTATTATTTTTAATATTAAATTGATTTTTTTAAGTAAATTAATATTATTCAGATATTAAAAAAAATATTGACATTGATATTGTATGTACGATATGTATATAAAATAAATATGATTATGCTGCATTCTTTGTTTCACACATCTTTATAATATCTATGAAATAGACTATCATAATTTAATGTGAAAATAGAGAAACTAAATTGATATTAAATTAATAGTGTGATAAACTTGGAAAAGTGAAAAATATAATTATAAATAAATTATTTAACCATTATTATTGTATATTTTAATAATCTTATAGTTGTTCTAACTATCTTATCTAACTTGATTTTATAGATCATATAAAAAAATTAATAATTTAATTTGATTTATAATTTTAAATGGATTATAATTTTTTGGTTAATTTGACCTTATGTTAGATTAAATAATAATTTTAACGAAAATTAAAAAAATTATTATTATGTTTATGTCAAAATAGTTAACTAAAAAATATTTAAATAAAAAAATATTTTATTAAATTTAAATTATATTAATTAAATTATTTTTTATTTAAGATATAATTATTAAATATACAAATTATAAGAAATTATCATTCAACATCATAATAAAAATTTATAATTTATTTTTTATCATTATTTTTATTTTAATAATTTATTGATATAAAAGAATTATTAATCTTAATAATTAAATATTAAAATAAGTGATTGTTAAATTTTTTTTAGAATAAGTAAATATTTTATTTAAATTAATTTATAATATATATATTAATAAAATAATATTATTTTTATTTTTATTTAAAAATAAAAATTATTATATAAATAAGAGATTTCGGACTGTTTAACCTAAAGTCATGCCTAATTTGAATAAATCGAAATAAAATAAACATAATTCAATTTTCAACACAAATGGTATCACATAAATCAATTTATTTTTCAAAATTTTCAAACTTTACTAATTGAATTAAGACTATTTTTTCATCCTAATTATTTTTTACCAATATTAAAACACTGTGAAATTTTATCACGTATAATGGTTAATATACAAAACTTTTAAAGAAAAATAAAATCTGTCTTATTTTTTCTCTCACTGATTTGTTCATTTTTTTCTTTCATTATTCATTTTTTTCTCTTTTTATCTTTTTACCTTATTTAATCTTATTATCCCGATTAAAAATATTATATTAAATTTTGATAAAATAAATATTTTATTATTTAAAAAGTTATCTAGAAAAACTATAATTTAATATATTATATTTAAAAATATGTTACATATAAATTTTTAATATTACAAATTGTTATATTATAATTATTAATAAAAAATAAAATACTAATTTTAAAGTAATTTTTTAATAAATGTTTTTAAAATTAATTAACTTTATTAATTTTCATCTAATTATAATTACATTAAATTATTAAATAAAAAAATTCAACTCATTATGATATTTTTTGATTAGATGTTATAATTACTCTCGTTTATTAAAACACGTTATATAATATGCTTCCACTTATTTTAAAAGAAACATTACAACTTGAATTTGATAAGATGGTTCTAAAAGGTGAATTATTTTTATATATTTGTTAATCCTATTTTCACACTTATGTTCGCACAACAGTTAATCATAACATTATCTATAAATTAATTGATGTCATTTGCTTATAAACTACTGCAATGACTTCAAGTAATGAGTATAGTATAAGCAGTACAGAATATTCTGCTTTCATAAAAGACTTGAAAAGGGAATACATAAAGAGATGATAGAGAAAGCATACAAGAACTATTCAACAAAGCCGCCCAACCACTACTATAAATATTCAGATCCTACAATAGATTGACGTGGAGTTTTCTAAGAAATCTATAGCTCAAGTGTTGAATATGTAAAATATTAAATATTAAAAAGAAAAAAAGAGTATCATATATAATAATTATTGTACCCTAAATAGTTTTGTAAAAAAGATGATAACTAAGAAAATTCGTCTTATATTATATTTTTATTATTTATGACAATTTAAAAAAAAATTCAAACTAACTATAGTTAAAGTCAGATTCTCCTATCACTAAGCTATTATAATTTTTTAATAATAATTTATAAATAAATTATATTTATATACAAATAAATATATATCCAGTATGAATATATAAATATAAAATATATAATATACAAATATATTTATATATTTATATTTTGATATATTTATATATATTTATATTTTGATATATTTATATATATTTATATAGTTATATATTTATATGTTAGATGTTAAGGTGTGTTCGACGGTAAAAGTGTGTCGTGTTTATTAGAATATATTTAAAATTAAGTAATTATTATATAATTTTAAATATTTAATTTTTTTAATTTAATATTAATTTTTTAAAATATACTTAAAATTTGTCTGGTAAATGAATAAATAATTACCGATGGATATATGCATCAGTAACTAATTGTCCATTTATCTGTCGGTAATTATTTGTTTATTTATTTACGGATATATTCGTTGGTAATTATTTGTTTATGTATCGACGGATATATCCATCGATAATTAATTGTTCATTTACTTGATGGATATATTCGTTCGGTAAGACCAAATTACACAACTACTCTAAATCAGTTGGTAATTTATGTTGGTAATAATTTTTTTCGACGACTACATATCCATCGATAAATATCCATTAGTAATATACACTTTTTTGTAGTGTAAGTTAACTTTATAAAATCGTAATATTTAAATATATAATTTTATTATATTTTTAATTTACTTAGATTTTAACCCCTATTAAGTAATACATTCTAAAAATAATTGATTGATAATTTGTTAATGAAAAATAAAAAGTATGTAATTTAATTTTAAAAATTAATTAGATATAACGAGAATTATCACTACAAAAAAAGCCTATTACCTACTGAATATTACCTACGGATACAAATCAGTAGGTAAATTTTACATTACCTACGGATATTACCCACGGATAAAAATCCATAGGTAAATTTTACATTACCTACGGATATTACCCACGGATGAAAATCCGTAGGTAAATTGTACATTACCTACGGATATTACTTACGGAATTCTATCCGTAGGTAATTATCCATTACCTACGGATATTACCTATGGATATTACCCACGGATGAAAATCCGTAGGTAAATTGTACATTACCTACGGATATTACCTACGGAATTCTATCCGTAGGTAATTATCCATTACCTACGGATATTATTTGTAGGTAATATAATCCGTGGATAATTCGTAGGTAATTACCTACGTAATTACTATCCGTAGGTAAAGTGTACATTACCTACGGATATTACCTACGAATTCTATCCGTGAGTAATTATCCATTACCTACGGATATTTTCCGTAGGTAATATCATCCGTGGGTAATTCCGTAGGTAATTACCTACAGAATTACTATCCGTAGATAAATTATATTAAACTAAAAAAATTGTCACTAGCAAGAATCAAACCCAAGTACCTTAAAATTGAAAACCGATAGTTCAACCACTAAACTATTAGGATATTCTAATAATAATTTACAACTAAATTATACTTATATTAATTCGTGTAAATATATAAATATATAAATATATAAATATATAAATATAAAATATATAAATATATAAATATAAAATATATAAATATAAAATATAAATATATAAATATATAAATATATAAATATATAAATATATAAATATATAAATATACAAATATACAAATATATAAATATACAAATATACAAATATACAAATATACAAATATACAAATATACAAATATACAAATATACAAATACATAAATACATAAATACATAAATACATAAATACATAAATATTTAAATATTTAAATATTTAAATATTTAAATATTTAAATATTTAAATATTTAAATATTTAAATACATAAATATTTAAATACATAAATATATAAATACATAAATATATAAATACATAAATATATAAATACATAAATATATAAATACATAAATATATAAATACATAAATATATAAATACATAAATACATAAATATATAAATACATAAATACATAAATATATAAATACATAAATAGATAAATACATAAATACATAAATATATAAATAGATAAATATATAAATATATAAATATATAAATACATAAATATATAAATATAAATATATAAATATATAAATATATAAATATATAAATACAAATATATAAATGTATAAATATATAAATATATAAATATATAAATATATAAATATATAAATATATAAATATATAAATATATCAAAATATAAATATATTTTATATTTATATATATTTTATATTTATATATATTTTATATTTATATATTTTATATTTATATATATATATTTTATATTTATATATATTTTATATTTATATATATTTTATATTTATATATATTTTATATTTATATATATTTTATATTTATATATATTTTATGTTTATATATTTTATATTTATATATATTTTATGTTTATATATTTTATATTTATATATTTACACGGATAAATATAAATATAATTTATTTGTAAATTATTTTCAAAATAACCTAATAGCTTAGTGGTTGGAGTATCGGCCTCCAACTCGAAGTACTTGGATTCAAATCCGTAGGTAAAGTGACATTACCTACAGATTTTACCAGTAGATAATAAGCGTTTTTTTTGTAGTGTATATCTACCTATATTATTATATCTTTAATCTATCATTTCATATCTTATCTTAAGGTAATTTTTTCATTGATTTTGATATTATATTAGAAATAATCATATATCTCACTCAACTCCCTAATGCGAAATAGGTTTTTTATGTCATCTTTTTTTGGTTATAAAATAATTAACTTAAAAAAATACAATAATATTTTTTGAAAATAATAACATGACTTTTACATTGACTCTCATGAGGTGTGAGGGAAAAACTATATTTTATTTCACTCAGGGTTTCTTAGTGTGCAAGAGTTTTTTAGTTGACTACGACAACAACCACTATAACACCTCAAAGAGTATTTTTCGACCACCGTGAGACATGTTTCACCCATATCTTTCATTTCAAATTTAGATCCTAAAAACAACTTGATTCTAGAGATTATATCAATACATGTACCAAATATTCGAATGTCATAAACATATAATGACATATTCACCACTTTCAAATTAGAGTACACATATTTATCAACATCATTAGTTGAAAAGTCATCACAAAGTAGAATAGTATCAAGTTTTTCATGTTACTATTTTGGTGTCTGTTTTAATCCATATAAAGTTTTTAAAAGTTTGCACATTTTGTTCTCTTCACCAGGAACAACACACCTCCAAATTGAATTATACAAATTTCCTCTTTAATACATCATTCAAAAGGTTATCTTAATATTCATTTGATGTATAAATAACTTATGGATAATTGTTAGAACTAACAAAACTTGAATAAAGGAAATCCTAGTCACAGGGACAAAAATATCAAAATAATTAATGTTGAATTTTTGAGTAAAATTCTTTGTTATTAACCTTGCTTTATATTTATCTATGGATCCATAGGATGTTATTTTTTTTAAGATCTATTTATAATCAATAGGTTTTGCTCCTTTAGGCAAATCTACTAAGGTTAAAATATTATTTTTCTTGATTGAGTTAATTTTAGTTTTAATGACCTTATCTTAATGTGTTGTATGAGGAACATTAGTAGCTTCTAAAAAATTTGTTAGATAATTTTCAACTAGATAAAAACATCTCCAAAAGAGGTTTCTTCTATTTTTTACTTATCCTTAAATCTTTATGCATGTCATCACTATTAATATCTTAAATCTTTATGCATGTCATCACTATTAATATCTACAAATTATTTAAGTGTCTCACTAACCTTTAAAAGAAAAATATATTAATGTATTGATAATATTATGCTTAATTATCTCAATGATAAGGATAAGAAACTTATAGACTATGTTCTACCAAACTCAAAAACATATAATTACAAGTTTTACAACCTATTTTCATTTTCTTAGAGAGTAGGTAATATTATATTAGTGTCACCCCACAGATACTCAACCCAAAGTTATCTAATGACTAACTTTGGTTATAAAGAAATGGATCTCAACTAGTACGGTAAATAGAAAACTGAAAAATCATTAAAGTAAAGCCAAACAAAAATTTACAAAACATCATGTCAAATCAGATAGCTACTTCCATAACATGTCACGGAGATATCTACGTGCATAATAAGATCATAAAAATGTATGCGTATAATTCACTGAAAGAACATGCGTATAATTCAGAAAAGAACAGGAAAAATGATAACAGCTTCATTATAGCCAAAAATTTGGTTATTGGAATACTATCATACAAATAATTTATTTCTGAAATGTGAAGAACAACAATCATACCAGTGATGCGGACAAGTGTTTCCCTCCCAGACAAATAAGTGACATGGATGAAGGTATCATTAACTGAGACAAAGATGCGAGCGACGCCAAAGACATGTTCACCGTCTCTAACAGCTGGACCCAGAGTCACATTTTCTTCCTTTGGCTCTCTAACCTTTCTCCTCGACTTAGTTTAAAGTTGGCGCTGCCTTCAACTTTTTCCTCATTTTCAAAGCGCTTTTGAAGCTTCCCACTATCGTTCGCATCCCCACTGTTTGGAAATAAAGCTTGCACGCGTCGATCGGTTGCCCTGCAACTATGCTTGCAAATTGGGCAAATGTGTTTCTTTCCTTTCGAACAGTACTCGAACCATTGTTGCAGACAAAGCTCAGGAAGAAAAAACGTTGGCCAGAAAACATCAGATATATGTAGAGTTATTGTTAGTATACTTAACGTTAGTCATAATTTTTTAACATTATTGTATAAATTGGCAAAGACTAAATCAAAACTTAATTTTTAAGACGTGTATAATCATTATTCTTAAACATGTGTGGAAAATTGTCCAAGTTCCCTGGGATATAATAGATATTTCCTGAAATTTTTTAAGAATTAAAAAACTAACAAATAACTCTTAAAAAGAGTAAATAAGTTTAGGATAAAACCAATAAAAAATTGAGAAAAGAGATGATCAGTATATTTGGAGAAGTGAAGCGTGAAGTGATTTATTTATAGGCATTATATGAACGATGAAACCATCTCTGCATTTAACGTCATAAGTGAAATATAAGAGAGTGAAACATTTTATATGTTAATGGGACATTTTCAAGATTAATAAGACACGTTCTAAATTTTACAATATTTTTATTTTACAATAAATTTACGTTCGATAAGAGATTATTCAATATAAATTTTGACAATCTTTTTAAATTTTATCAAATTCTTTTATATCTCTTCTTTATATATTCGATATAAATATATTTTGTTACTTATATAATCCACCATAAATTTATATTAGTTAAAAGTATTCCCATCAAATCTTAGTTTAACGTAAAAAAAACCTGAAAATAATAAATATAAATTATCTTTTATAAATATATATATATATATATATATATATATATATATATATATATATATATATATATATATAAGGTGAGATTTTCTATCTACCTTACATATTTTTCATCACAATTCTTATTTCCTGAGAATTTTTTTTTCGTCAAACAAATATTTAATTTAATTCAATTGTATAAATTTTATTGTATTTCTAATTTACATTATATTTTTTTAAATTTTATAAAAGATAAAAATCAAAACAATCTCAAATGGCAATTATATAAGAAGAGGCTATGCAAACCAACATTCTTTAAATGTTGTCTTTATTATTTATTGATATCGAAAAGAAATACTGGCATTATTAAAAAGTAGTCAATGAATAGAAACGTGAGCATGTACACTCATGGCAAATATATATATATATATATATATATATATATATATATATATATATATATATATATATATATATATAATACCCTCTAACCATGTTCTTCCCACCATTGTTATCATCAACATTTAATTTTAGCCTCCTTTAGTTCATTTGGCTACAAAGAAAAACGACGAACTACATATATTTTTATAATGCAAGTGGAGTTGATTATAATAATCGCTTTGGATGCTTATCCATCCAAATTTGTTTTAAAGTTCCTCGTTTATCATTGAATAGATTACTATTGAGCTCATGACTAAAAAACAAACAAACATGAACACAAATCATAGGAGTTTAAAATAGAGAAAAGAGTTTGAGGTATGGGATTAGTTAGGTAGTGGATGATTAATCAAGCGTTATCCAACCACTAACGTGGGTCCATAGTCGGTGCCATGACAACGAACAATGGCTGTCGCTTCACAATCATGTTTATTAGAATTATGTGAGTTATTGTTATATAAACCTACGCAAAGGTTTATGAGGCAAGACAGCACCAGTAGCAACCTAGGTTTTTGGTTTTGAAGTGAGGTGGTGAAAATGGTGAAGATAACTCTTGGTAGCTTTGAGGACTCTTTTAGCGCTGCCTCTCTGAAGGCCTATTTTGCAGAGCTTCATGCCACTCTCATTTTCGTCTTCGCAGGCGTTGGATCGGCCATTGCTTACAGTAAGTGCTCAACCGTTACTGATTCTAGCGTCTCTGTTTTTAGGTTAAAAACCCATGTAACGACGAACCTTCAAACAAAAACAATATATTTGTTACTTCTCATCATAAAACTGTCTTTTCGACAGCAAGTGCTCAACCGTCACTGATTATACATATTGTCTTTGTTTTTCAGTTGAAAACCTACCTAAAAACATTCAAACAAAAACGAATTTGTCATAAAACTGTCGGTTGGACACAAATTTTAAGAGTTTTTCCATAATTACTCAATTAATGACTCCATATTTTAATTGTAGAACAATTAATTGGTTGTTGTGCTTGCCCTAATCAAATACATGCTTTGCTTTAATCCATGTTGGCATGCGTGGACATTCCAAACGTGAGAATTTCGGGAATTTAAGTTGGTTACTCGAGTCAAAAAGAAAATTGTAACATAATTGTGAAAAAATCCACACCTAATCTTTAAAATTTAAAGCAATTACAATTATCACTGTAACCTTGTTATAGATCTCTTATCGGTGACTATAAATTTAACATTTTATATAAATAAAATTATATTTAATTAACAAGTAGTTTATAAAATATAACTAGCGGTAACTAATTAAACATATTATTATATTAACATATATTTAATTTATTGTAGTTTATAAGATCAGTTGTTAAGTAATTACTATCCTTGTAAATTAAGTTCCATACTCAATTCCTAACAAATTACATTAACTAAATCTGAACTCTTAAATATGATTATATTTTATTTTAATTAAAGCACCTCTTAACCTTACTAAAATTAGAGAGAAAGCATCCATTTATATTTTCAATTTTTTTATAATCTAATAACTAAAATAATTTATTATTTTACATTATTAAATAAACAAAAATAATTAATGATGAAAAAAAAACTTTAATTCTTATTTTTACTTTTTAAATAATTGCAAATAATAATGATATATCACAGATATGAGTTGTCTGATAATTTTATGTATATAAGAGATTTTTATTTTCAACATCTCTTTGGAATGGTCAAAATTGTCCTCTGCGTCATATTTAAATTTAAGCACCAGCATTTTTCTTAATCATTATCAAATATGACATTTTAAAAAAAAAAACTTAAGTTTTTAGTTTTTGTAAATTATTGGATTTTGATAACAGATTTAATGATTTTTGTATTTTCTTCATTAGTGAAAACATGAAATATTATTTTTTGTCACGTATGCATGTATAGCAAGGGATAATGAAGGGGTGGGTTGTTTGTTTGTTTTATGCAGACGAGATTACAAAAGATGCTGCGTTGGATCCAACGGGGCTGGTGGCAGTGGCAGTGGCCCACGCATTCGCATTATTTGTAGGTGTGTCGGTGGCAGCCAACAGCTCAGGTGGCCATTTGAACCCAGCTGTCACACTTGGATTGGCCATTGGAGGCAACATTACCCTTCTAACTGGTTTCTTGTACTGGATTGCCCAATTGTTGGGTTCTATCCTTGCAAGTCTCCTCCTTAATTTGGTTACTGCCAAGGTATATTTTTCAAATACTATGATGTTTTTTGGACCATAACATGAACATGACCCAACAGCTTATGATACTGGTTTGGTTTGTTTTTGGCACAGAGCATTCCAACCCACGGATTGGCTTCTGGTGTGAACGCTTTCCAAGGAGTAGTGTTTGAGATTATCATCACCTTTGGGTTGGTTTACACAGTGTATGCAACTGCAGCAGACCCTAAAAAGGGGTCATTGGGTACCATTGCACCCATTGCTATTGGGTTCATTGTGGGTGCCAACATATTAGCTGCTGGTCCGTTCAGTGGTGGTTCCATGAACCCAGCTCGCTCATTCGGTCCAGCTGTGGTTAGTGGAAACTTCGCTGATAACTGGATCTACTGGGTTGGTCCCTTGATTGGAGGAGGTTTGGCTGGTTTCATCTATGGAGATGTTTTCATTGGTTCTTATGCCCCAGTCCCAGCCTCTGAAACCTACCCTTAAAAGCATGCCTTCTTGTTCTTCTTTGTTCCTTCAAGCTTCATCTTTCTTCACCGTTTGCTGTCTTCATCATCTTGTCTTGACTTTTGCCATATAAACTGTACCTTAAATCTTTCCTTTCACTGCTTGTAATAATTCTGTAAATTTTAAATTGAACTTGAAGCATGCATTGTCCGATATCGGTTTTCATTTTATCAAGAATGACCGCGAGCTAGTGTTTTTTTCTTAACCACTCTAATCTACAATCTAAACGGATGCTATACTACCAAAAATTTTCCACGGATCTGTAATCGTTGACCTAAATTCTTGGTCATTATTCTGTTTAATCCTTGTATTGGAGAACGAAAGAATAATTGTTTAAATAACTTTCTACTTCCTCATAAATTTTAAAATTAAAAATATAATCATCAACATAAAATATTTCCATTTGATCATTAGAAATTATTTGTTTTTGTATCTTGTTTCGTACATCTACGTCAATTGACACATTTATTTTTTACAAAAAAATATTGTTTCACATCTGAATTTTATACAACTCTAAAAAATAATTATTTTTTAATATTATAATAATAATATACATGTATTCTTATTTTTATAAAATATTATTATTATTATTATATTAATATATAAAAAGGAGGTACGATGAATTGTTCAAAACAAATGGAATGTCAATGTCCTTATTTTTATGTATATGTTACTGTTATTAACCATGCGAGACATTTTTTATACATGGATCCCTTATCAACCGGGATATTTTTTTAATCTATGCCACACACGTGGTTTTACTTTCAAGATTTTTGTTTTTTTTTCAAATTTTTCTTTGTTTACAATTCTCAGTTCTTTTTACTTTGTAGAAGAGCGGTGGTGTGTGATAGTACAATTTGGTATTAAGTCATTAACAAAATGGTAAAACTTAAAAATTAAAATTTTTCTTTCCTTTTACTTGCCAAATGAAAATGGTAGTTGAATAGAAGATATATGTTTTACTTGAAATTCTCTATGTTATTCAATTTTTTACTTGAACGATGTTTTTGTAAATCTTCTTAGCCTAATATTTATGACGTACGGTGCATAGTATTTTCTATTTTCCATTGTACAATATTATTTTCATTTTATGGTATATTAATCATTTCAACTATACTTGAAAGACTTTAAGATATTACTATTATGTTATTAACCATGTTTTGAAGTATTTATTTTAGCGTACGTTGTTGATGTGATTTCATGTTTAAGAATTTTCCTTTCTTACAACGCTATTTATTGTCTATCCATTTCAAGAGTTAATTATAAATTATTAGTTAGAAACATTTATTTTAATTTTATGCTATTGATATCAAATATACTTAAGACATTTGGTATTTTTTTAATCTATGGCATTTTCTTTTTATTTTATTTTTACTTTGTAAAAAAGGCTGGTGTATAAATGATGTATAATTAAATACCAAATCGTTAACCGGTACAATCAGGTTGCAATTGTAATTCACAACCCGATTTTTAAAGCCAAAGGAACTCATATTTGCATTTAGTTAATTCAATTTTTTTAACGTAAACTTGGAACGGGACGATTGGTTCCTGCATAAGCGACTTTACTTGTCATCGTATTCACGTTGACCTCGAGGTCAACTACAAGATGGACGCAACCTAAACCTACATTTAGAGAGATTCGAATGTGATTTTGTAAAGTTTACCCTTCCAGTATCGAAGAATTTGTCATTTGAACTCAACAAAAGTACATTCATTTATATTCAAAATTACAAATGGTGGGCGTTACCGCATTAAATAAGATTCGCACCTTGTTCTATAATGTATAATACATTGTAATCGATAATAGAATGAGTTGGCAAGAGTATGTCGTAGTTTGACTCCCTGGTCTCTAAAAATACAAACCTATAATAGCAAAATCTAAATTAATATGCATTAGTTACAAGTTTTGGAATCTATTCTAGCTTAACTATCAAAATAAATTAAAAAATAAAAGTATTGTAACAAGTAATCTATGTCCACGGCTATCAACTATGTTGCAATTCAACTTGCGGAAATAAACTCCAAAATCCAGTACAACTATAATTTGATAAACATTTTAGGTATGATTTAATAAAACAACTCATCACCATAACAACATTATGGTACAAAATGTAACTTTCCTTATAGTCAGAAATCTGACAACTTGGCCAAAATGTAGAGCAAACAATAAACGAGGTGTAATTAAATTAAATGCTGAGAAGATATATCTTTAAGGGCACAAGACAGGAGGACGTCAACAAAACATAATTCTACATCTGCAATTTCGAACAAAATCTTCTGTTATCCACAAAAAAATAAAAATCAAGCTCCCCAACCACCAACAGAGTACGATTTAGATCAGGATAATCATACTACATGTTCATCTGTGGAGAGTGGAATATCGTTGCAACCTACAGATAACAATAACATGAATGAGCACGTGTGCACCGAGGCAAAAATACTATTAACACACTTCGCCTAGAATTTTTCAAACAGATAAATCAGTGAAGCAATAATATTTTCAGATAGAACGAGAATGCAAACAAATATTCTCTAGCAACTATACTAAAGAATCTTTAAGAGAAATAATTTTAAATTCTCACTCCAATAGAATTACTCACTTCAATTTTCCAATTCAAACACACTCTAAAGGTTTAATAACTTTAAATGTTAAATTATTCAAATAAAAATAAATTACATTCACGTTTAGATTACAAAAAGAAATAAAGTGGCAACTATGAACTCAGTTGAAGGGAAAATTTCTAGAAACTCACCCAGTAGCTACTGAGTTAAAAAGATGGCTGTTGGATTTCCAGGGGATGGAGGATTTTGATTTAGTAAAGTAGCTAATTTTCCAGCTCTGGCAAAAGAATCAGGATCTGCTGCAGATAAAATTTCCACATCTTCTAGACCTATCTGTCTCTTGATCAAGTCCAAGTTTTCCTTAAGAACCTCAATTTCACCAAATGGTAATCTCAGATCCAGGGCTTGAGTCCCAAGAGCAATTGCTTCTTCTTTCTTAAACCTCAAGAAAGGCATACAAAGCTTTTGGATTTGTTTAAAATTAGAAGATTGACCTACAGAACTCTGTTGTAAAGCCTCCAATATTTCTGAGTCGGGTGCAAAAGTTTGAGTATCTCTATCAAACTTGTTCTGAAGAATACTCAGGCACTCAGCTTTCCAACCATCAAACTGTTCATTTATATATATCAAGCCTGTCACCTTGCTTTCTGTTAATGATGAAACTGGAGGACCTTTCTTATTACCCTTCTTTGAGCCCGAAAGTTGCTTCTGAAGCAACTTCCTCATCGTAACAATCGAGTCCTGCAGATATTTATTGGCACTCTTCAGTGTGAGATCAGGATCATCAGCTGTTGGCCAGCCAGCATTCACCACAAAACCATCCTTCTTCAAAAGCTCTCTCCAAATAAATTCCGCATAATGCGGACAGATGGGTGCTAAAAGACGTGTCTGCACATCCATAAAACGCCAAACCAAGTCACGATTGTAACCCCCAACCCCACACGAGAATCTATACTCATCTCTAGCAGTCTGAAGATCATAAAAGCCAGTCTTGAGAGCTTCTCGAAACATGTAGTTGGAGTAATTTTGTTCAGTTGTCTTGACAGCAATGTTAATCTCATTGGCAAACACACGATCAGCATAAGTAGATGGGGGACCAGTTCTCATGGAAGATTCTGCTGCCAGATTATCCTCATACCATGCAATCTCTTTGGTGAGCCGGAGAATTGCAGCATTTGCAGTCTCAAAGACAAAATTTGCATCATCAACACCATCACCAGCATCAGCCAAAGAGAACCGTGTAGCATCAGCAGAAAACTCTTCAATTGCTTGACGCAATGTCCTGAAATTTCCAGTGGACTTGGACATTTTCTCTGAATTGAGCATGATGTGTCCATTGCATCTAAACCCACGAGGCCAGTGATGCTTGGCCATAATTGCAGTATGGTTGTAAATGCAGAACGTAAGATGATTCTGGATGAGGTCCTTACCAGAAACTCGAAGATCAAATGGATACCAATACTCAAACTCCCGCTTCATTCTGTCTAAAAGGGATGATGAAATATCAGTTGACTTGGGATATGGTCCATCACAGAAAATATAATCCCATACGTCATCAGTCAGTTGTTGAGGTTTAATGGCAGAGTCGCTTGATCCATACATGTCACCATTCTGCAAATGGTGTGCGACAGTGTAATAAGCCATGTAAATAGTGGAATCTGATAAAGACTCAACTAAAAACTGTTCATCCCAGGGTATGCGTGTCCCAAGACCAAATGATCGGGAACAAGCCCACTGGTTCAACCAGCTCAAAGTGTGCTCAAATCCATGACGTGTCTCATCAGAATAGAGGCTCATATTTGCAAGGCATTCCTCAGCTAACTTCTGCCATTCTGATTCTCCGTATGTAAGGTACCACTGATCTGTAAGGGCTACAACACATTCATCACCAGATCTTGACATCACCCGTTTCTCTGGTTCACTGTAGACAATGGCCTGACCTGGAAGGTGGAACCAAAAATTATTAGCAATAATGGCAAGTTGACTGAGAACAATAACAGGCACACAATAAAAAATATGAAAAATATAAACACATCACAACAATTCAACAATCTCATACTATTCCAAAATCTACAAGGTGTTATTTAATTATAAAATCCAGAGAACAGTTTGATTTTATCTATGACTTTCTTTTTTCTTGAAAATAAGTTTTGGTGGGAAAATATCAACTAATTTCCAGGGTAAACATTATTCAGAAGATATGCATGCCATTAGCCTCAGCAACAAATTCAACATGATACGATATTCATAAATAATTTTTCAATAAATTTTTGTAAGACAAAATCAATTGAAATATATTTTTTTGACACTATAAAAGTTTAATTATATTTTTAAACTCATATACTTCAAAATTAAGATAAATATTTATTTGTCAAAATAAGCAGAATGAATAAATGTGAAATAATACTCACTGTATTCAGTAAACCAAAAAAAAAAATCAACAAAATCTTTCATTCAATTATTTCTCGCTCCTATCTCCTGACAACACTAATTATGTAACAGTTTTTTTTTTTAAATCATCATTTCTACCATACCCTCATGCGGGTTATCTGCCAACCGACTATGGCCCATACAGTCCCTCCTCAGAAGCTTACCTAACTATACATGGACAGGCAGTACAAGTCCATATCTTAACCACCCTGTCACCTTATCCTCTAAGCTTGAAGGTCGCAGCAATGCAACTAGCATGATATACAGGGAAGACAGCTCCGAGGGATGGGGGACCTAAGTGCATAAAAGCCCATGTTCTAGGACATATTACACACTCAATGCTCTGGGTATGCAGCCTCTAGCAGTATCATTCAACGAGTTAGTGTCTCAAGGGCTGAGGATTACCCCTTCTAGTGTCGCTTACAATCTTGAACATCAGTTAGTTTCTCTAATAAGATGTTTAAAATTAATTATACAAATTCATAATGTTAAATGCACAAATTGTGATAGGAGATCGGCTGCGTGTTAAGTGCACATAAGGAAATATTGTTTATGGCTAGTCAGTTAAATGTGCTTCTTTACGCACAAATTTTCCGGCAACAACCCGTGAAATCTACTAAACGTCCTTATCTTAGTTCCCAAACAACAAAAATGAATATTTGCCTTCTGGAAACTAGAGGGGAAGTTTGTGTACCAAGAACTCTATTAAGCATGAAGGAAGAAAGAGGCAATCTTGATAAATCCAGAGATACACAAGAACAATAATATTACAAAATACAAAAAAAAATGAAAGTGAATGCTGACCTGTTTCCAAAAGTTTGGTCCTAATCAAGGGTTTAGCTTCCTGAACTTTTCTCCCAGAAAATTCCCCAACAATCATCGTCCCTTCAGTGAACCCTTTCAAGTACGTTTGTTTCTTGGCTTCTGCAAGCTTTTCTTTATCATTCTGGCTTTTGATTTTCATCTGCAAGCAAACTGTCTCGGCACATTTGTTCCCAAACTGTGGAATGTCAATGATGGGCACCACCTCAAACGGCAACACCCACTCATCCTTAACCCCGAACTTCTCTCTGAACGCAGGTTTTGCTTTCAAATCATGCAAAGCCATGTAGTCATCAGGAGCATCACTGGGCACACTGGTAACTATCCCAGTTCCCTTATCCATCAAAATAGACAACATGGGAAGTGCATAAAGAACCTCATTAAAGGAAAGTGGAGACTTCAATGGAAGTCCAATCAAGTCACGACCAGTGAGCTCAAGCAAGCAAGAGGGTTTCTCCGGAACCCGCGAGTGGTTCTGGTATGCGAGGTTGAGCGCTGCCCTATGAGCAAGAATTAATACTTCACTATCACTAATTTCAAAAGCCCCATACTTTCCATCCGGTAACACCCAAGCATTGGTTTGACCATACATAGTCTCAGGTCTCAAAGTTGCAGCCGCAAGAAACACTTTCTTTCCTTCCAACACCTTAAATTTTTCGGGAAAAGGAGTAACGACCTCCATCTTGATAATGGTGTACTCCTGAGGCTGAACTCCCTCGCCACTAGCTCTATCATGATCTGCACAAGGCTGACCATCCAATGGAGAAAAAATAGTATACCTCACATCCTTCACAACCTTCCCCATGGACTTCAACTTCCTCATCTGCCACCTCACAAAGGAATCAAAATAAGGGTTCATATCGGTAGTAATAAACGACCTTCTCCAATCACAACCTAATCCAAAAGCCTTGAGGTCCTCAACAGCCAAAGGTGGAAAGTACGAAAGCCACTTATAAGGATCCTGAAATTTGGATATCTCAGCATCCGAAATCCCTACACTCCGCATAATCTCCCACTGGTAAACCTGCCCCGTTGACTTCGCAGCAGCCTTTGACTTTTTGCCTTTGAATTTATCAGGAGGAGCACCATCTCCAGAAGGTTCATCTTCTTGTTGCTGTTCTTCATCTTCGATTTGGGTGGGGAAGACGGGCGGGTCGCCGAAATTGCGAATCTCGCGGGCGAGTTTGTCGGCGGAGGCTTTGATGGGCATGCCGGTGCAGTGGAATGCGAAGGGTAGGAGGACGTTGGCGCCACGGAGGCGGTGGAAGGCGGCGGCGAACTCGAGTTTAGAGAGGGAGAAGGCATGGCCGAGGTGGAGGTAACCGTTCATGTAAGGGAAGGGGAAGTTGCCGAAGAATTTCTCGCCCGGTTTAGGGTTTACATCGCCCGGTTCGGCTCTGAAGACCTCTTTCTCTTCCCACCATTTCTGAACCTTCACCTCGATCTCGCGCAGACGGTCCCTGCGCGCGAAGCTCTTCCCGCCCTCGCTCGCCATGTCCGTCAGGTAACGGAAGCTGTGAGCAACAAAAACAACGAGTTTCAGATCGGAAACAAAAATGGAGAAATGGAAAAAATGGAAGTGAAAACGGAGTTTTCAGATGAATGTGACCTGTGTGCAGCTGAAGGTTTAAGAAGGAGAAGAGAGTGCGCTAGGCGAGACTGTGTGCGAGAAACTAACAACATACAGAGTAGAAACCAGGCGCGAGATAGAGATGAAGAACAAGGGTTTTGCTTGCTTCTCCAATTTTGGACCGGGTTGCTCAGCCCATTTCGTTGGACATATAGGCCCATTTCTTTCTATTTTTGTTATAAAATCAGTTATAAAATTTAGGGTTTAATCAGTTTTTCTTACCTCAAAACTTGGTCCGAAATTGATACCTCCAAATTCATATCAATTTTGGAAAATTACCAATTTTAACAAATTATAAAAGCAACAAAAAAATATTTAATTTTAATTTCGAATTACATTTTTAGTTCATATTTATTATTAGGTTAAATAAATTTTTAGACCTCCAAAATTAACTTACATCGAAATTTGTACTTTCAATTCTTTAAAATGTTTTTTTATATCTAACATTTAATAAATATAAGAATTTAAAATGGCCGGTTATTTTGTCATTCTTGAATGTAAATATCAAACTATTATGCTTAAATGTGAATATTGTTGGTTTAAGAGTACTAAAATTCAATTTACATATTAAATTTTAAGAATTAAAATATTGAAAGAATTTTAGAGGTATCAATTTCAATACGACCAATTTTAAAGTCATTAAAAAATTATTTATTTTATTTTATTTGCGTTTTCGATTCCCGTAAATACTAATTGGATGTATTTAGTTTGCACCTTTTTTTCTTGTAGTTAAATCCTTAACCTGGTACTGTATTTAATAATTAACATAAACGTAGTATTCTCCGAAGCTGTTATGGTTTTTATTGCCGTCCAAATTCAATATATTTTAAAAAAAAATGAATATTCTATCTATTTTCTTAAGCATTCTACCAATTATCATCTTCTGCGTATTAAAGAAAACAGTACTGTTATCACCTATAAAACAGTGAAGAAGTTCAAGTCCATACACGTAATAATAAATAGAAAGAAACAAACTGGGTTGTCTCTGTAAACTCCCATTGTTTTAGACCACACATGTATATATAGTTCTATTTTGAAAAATAATTCTTCAAACAGTTTAAGACCACGTATATGCAGGCTATTAAAGTCGTTTTCCATAGTTCTAGACCACGTATATCTTTTCCCATCATTCTTGGAACATAAAGCTAATGCATGCGGAATGTGAAGACAAGCACAAACCTACCAAATACCTTAATTTTGAGATAATCAGATGAAATGGGCATCGTCCGAAAACTGTGTTCTACTTGGAACAACCTCAAAGTTGTCAAATTGAGCAACAGGAACTGTTACAGTTATAATAAATCCGTTGACCCCTTAAACCCATCGTGCTCCAATTCCCTCCTCACTCACGGAATCCACGTGTTTCAATGCCCAGTAAGCCACGTTCTTCTTATGTTTCTACTATTTTCTACATTTTTTTTAAACTATTATCTCCATACAATGCATATATATGAGTCTTCTTTTACAAATTTTTCTAATATTATGGTTTTAATGGTAGGATACGGTTGGAATTGTAGCCAAGCTATCTGATTGCATTGCCTCAAGGGGTGGCAACATTCTCTCTGCTGATGTTTTTGTACCTCAAGATAAACAAGTCTTCTACTCCAGAAAGTACTCTCAGTACAATCTTTTATATACAGTGTTGTGTACACACAATCGAATCTGTTTATAATGTTCAACATTTGCAGTGTTTTTGTTTTTGATCCTGTTATGTGGCCACGAATGCAAATGGAAGAGGATTTTCTAAGGATTTCTAAAACATTCAATGCCATGAGATCTGTTATAAGGGTGCCAGAACTGGATCCAAAATATAAGATTGCTATTATCGCATCGAAGCAGGTGTGTACATTAATGGTTTTGTTATTCTCTTTGTATCTTTTTATTATAGACATGTTTGTGTAATGTAATGTGTGTGTTAAAATAAAGGTTCCTTTATGCCGTTGCAGGACCACTGTCTGATTGATTTGTTGCATGGATGGAAGGATGGAAGACTCTCTGTGGATATTACTTGTGTAATTAGGTGAACTGCAGAAATATGTAGCTAAATTGATTTATGAGTATTTTTAAGTAATTGGTTTATTTTGAATTACTTTCAATCTCTGGTTAATTGCTTACTTGATGCATTCAACAGTAACCATTATAGAGGTCCAGAAAATGAGGTGATTCGTTTTCTTGAAATGCACGGTGTTCCTTATCATTATTTAAGAATAACAGCAGAGAATAAAAGGGAAGAGGAGATCTTGGAGCTGGTTCAGAATACTGATTTTTTAGTACTTGCGAGGTATTTGCGGGTAAATAACTTGATTACAGATTCATGTAATTGGTTTCAACTCTTGAAATTAAGAGTCTTTTTTCTCAGAGCACGAATCTGCCCCTGAAGTTGGAAAACATTAATTTTACTTATGATTGTCATCTATAGTGTATGTTATGTTACTGATTGATTTTGTTAATGCGAGTGTTAAATTGAAGATGAACATGAGTTGTTGTGTTTTCCTTCGCTTGATTTATTATTATTACAGATTCTATCCAGCACCTTTTTAAGGAGTTATGGGAAGGATATAATTAACATCCACCATGGCCTGTTACCATCATTCAAGGGTATGAACTCATCTAAACAGGTATCGTTTCATTGGTTTGACTAAATGTTCATCACGCTTCATTCCTAGTAATCTGTATAAAGTATTCGCGGGACAGGAACATATTTAATACTATTGATTGATTGATGGAATATATTTGGCAGGAGGTTGATGCAGGTGTGAAATTAATTGGTGCAACAAGTCACCTTGTGACTGAAGGATTTGATGCTGGACCTATTATTGAACAAATGGTGAACATCAATTTTTAGTACTTACTTGTAATAACTGTATACATGCCATTGCCTAGAATTATCATAGCCATAAGATGGAATGAACCAATTATTTGTTGTAACTGGTGTGATGCATGATATCTTCATTCTTGCAGATTATGAGTCTCCTTTTACAATATTTTCTTCTTTTCATATTGAGACAAGAAATTAATATTGCACTAGCTAAATCTCAAAGCAGTTCAGTTTAAATCCCTTGTACAATTTGATTTATGCTCTGGGCTGAGTTTCCTTAGAGATGTTCATAGAATTTTTGTGTTGTCTAATTGTAAGATAAAGGACATTCATATTTAGTCATTTGCTTAGAGTAAAGATTCAAAATTTCTGTGTGTTTAGTGAGGTGAAGTGTCTGAACGTTAATTGCAGGTGGAAAGAGTTTCCCATAGAGATGACTTGCAGAGCTTTGTGCAGAAATCAGAGAACCTTGAGAAACAATGTCTGTCAAGTGCTATCAGATCTTATTGTGAGCTTCGAGTGTTGCCATATGAAGAAAACAAAACTGTAGTATTTTGAGGGAAACCATTTATACTCTGTAATCCCTATAAATCAACATACAATTATTTACTTGGAAAGCCAAAGTCATGACCATACCATATGGTAAACTTTTTAAAAAGTTTTTTTTTTTCATAAGTCAAATTAGTTTTGGAAGAAATTAAATGAAAGAATTTCTTTATAAATTGATTTTAACCTTCTGAATTTTTTTTCTGAAATATTTATTGAAAAGTTTATTTAACAAAAACATATTTTCGACTTTAGATGCAATAATGTATACGGATCGGATTATAGGAAAATACCAGCAACCAAAAGATAAAAAGCTTTAAACACAGAGGAAGTAGCAGATTATAAAACGGTTTCTATCTTCTCGTTGTGTGCTAACTGCTAAAAATCTGCATTGAAAATAATTCGTTTGTATATTGCATCTTTGAGATGGTCATATTTTTCACAAATTATAAATCCTTATTTGAGAATTTAAGTGTATTTAAAGTTTTACATTAGATAAAAATGAAAAAGTTGAATTAGTTATAAGTAAAAATATTATAATTTAATGTATTAAAATTTTGAGTTGATGGTGGTATTATATTCTTTTATATATTAATTCGTGTCTTATTTATGAGAATCTCCCTGTTTTTAGCCTCTCGAAGTAGAAAATACCTAATAGTGGTAAAAAAATTTAAATTAGTCAAGTTCATTTTATCTCACTTAACATAGGTTATAACAAATACACTTCGCAGACCTTTCTGAAACAAAGTTGTCAAAATATTTTTGGAGAGAGATATTGCTTGTTGTCGTACATGTTATTAATCTTAGTCGTGTAATTGCTTTGAATACTGAGGTACCAGAAAAAATCTGGTTCAGCAAGAATGTTAACTATGATCTTTTGCGTGTCTTTGGTTGCAGGGCCTTTGTTTATGTTCCAAATGATGAAAGATTAAAGTTAGATGCAAAGACAATGTAGTGTATTTTTATTGGTTATGGTCAAGATGAGTTTGGCTACAAGTTGTATGATCCTGTTGAAAAAAAGCTAGTCAGAAACCGTGATGTGCAATTCATAGAATACAAAACCATTGAAGATATTAACAAAATGGAGAAGATTATACCCGAGAAAGATAGTAATCTCATTAATGTTAATCTGATGCGATTGCTTGTTTATAGTCTGGATTATGTTGAATCTAATGCTCAAAATGATGAGCAATGTGGTGATGTTGATGATCAACAAGTTGGAGATGGTGTAGAGGTTCTAATTGATGATGCTCAAGAGGAACATGATGACATACTTGAATTACCACAAGTCCCTATTAAAAGATCTAATAGGTTGAGAAAATTGTCTTCCAAGTATTCTTCTTATAAGTATGTAACTTTGACTGATGGTGGAGAACCTAAGTGTTTTGAAGAAGCTTTGGAAAGTGAAGAAAAACAAAAGTGGTTGGATACAATGCAAAATGAGATGAAATGTTTGCATGATAACCACACTAATGACTTAATAAAATTGCCTAAGGACAAAAGGCCTTTAGAGAACAAGTGGATTTTGAGGGTGAAATAAGAGGTTAATTCTACATATTGGTACAAAGCTAGATTAGAGGTGAAAGGCTTTAGACAAAAAAAAATGTGTTAATTTCAATGACATTTTCTCATCTGTGGTGAAAATGTCATCCATCAAAGTTGTGTTAAGTTTAGCTGCTATCGTTGATTTAGAGGTTAAACAGATGAATGTGAAACAACTTTCCTTCATGGTAATTTGGAGGAAGAGATTTACATGAAAAAACCTCATAGTTTTCCTGTTGAAGACAAGGAAGATTATGTGTGTACACTAAAAAAAAGTCTATACGGTTTGAAGTAAACTCCAAGACAGTGGTACAAGAAGTTTGAGTCTTTTATGTGTCACCAAGATTATAAAAGGACTATTTCTGATCATTGTATCTTTGATAAAAAGTTCTCTCATGATGACTTTATTATCCTGTTGTTATAGGTTGATGACATACTTATTATTGGAAAAAATATTTCCAGAATTGACAGGTTAAAGAAGCAATTGAACGTGTCATTTGCTATGAAAGACATGGAAGCTACTAAAAAGATACTTGACATAAGTATCTCACGTTATAGAAGTGAAAAGAAAATTTGGCTATCATAGGAGCACCATATATAAGAAGGTGTTGGAGAGATTCCAAATGAAAAATGTTAAAGCAGCAAACACTCCTCTTACAACTCATTTTAAATTGAGTGTTAAGCAGAGTCCATCAAATGAAGTTGAGAAATCATATATGAGTAGAGTTTCTTATGCATTTACAGTGAACAGTTTAATGTATGCAATGATAGGTCTTAAACTTGATATTGCACATATTGTTGGTATAGTCAATTATTTCTTGTCCAATTCAGATAGAGAGCATTGGAATGCTATGAAATGGATCTTGAGGTATTTTCATAGTACTAGTAATTTAAAACTTTGTTTTTGAGGTGATCAACCCATTTTGATGGGTTACTCAGACTCAGATATGGCTGAAAACATTAATCCCAAAAAGTTCATTTTGGGATATTTGATTAAGTTTGCACGGAGAGTTGTGGCTTGACAATCAAGATTACAAAGTGTGTAGCATTATCTACTACAGAGAAAAAATTCATTGTCATTTCAAAAGCATACAAGGAGTTACTATTTGGTATTCACGATTAAGAAAGTTTACGCTCAAGGGGTAGTGTACCAATGTGAAAGAATTACACTTGAGGGGAAGATTGTTGAGAATTTAATTGTGTTTAAAATCTCACATTAGATAAAAATGGGAAAGTTGAGTAACTTACAAGTAAGAAAGACTCATAATTTATTGTCTTAATGTGTTTAGTTGAAAGTAGTGTCATACTCTCTTATACAGTTGACTTATGTCCCATTTATGAGAATTTTCATGTTGTTAGCCTCCCTTAAAATACCGAATAGTAGTATCAGAGTCGATTCGTCTAGTGACAGATTTAAGTGAAATGCCTTAAGATTTTATGTTGAATATGATGTCATATTTTCTTATATGGTTGACCAGTGTCCTATTTGTGAAAAATTCATGTTGTTAGCTCCTCAAAAATATGTAAGACCGGGGACTATAAGAATTCACCTGAAAATTGCAAATAATTTATTTTTTCTTTTTTATAAGATTAAGTTTAAATTTAAGCATTCAAAATGAAATTAAAAAAAAATCATTATAAAAAGTGTAATTGATGTAATACAATAGAAATTGATGTGATTATATTACAAAATACAAAACAAATACATTTTTTTATTAATAGTAATAGATACTGTTCACAGTATAATTAATTCTTCCAAATTTTTTTATTTAAAATATATTAAATGTTTGAATTTAAACCTTTTTAACAAATTATAATTTATTTAGTTTATAGTGATTTAAATTCAAGGAGTATAAAAATAAATTTAATTAATAAATTATCTCTCGAAAAATAATGATTTAAATTGAATTAGATTAATTTTTATCTAATATCTTTTAAGTTATAATTTAAATGGTTTTAAGTGAAATTAGTTTATAAATTTATAAATAGATTTATTTTATAAAATAATAATATTTTAAAATAAAACAAATATTATTTTATTAATACATATATATATATATATTATAAATTAATTTAGTAAATAATTTAATTATTTTTTATAAGTAAATATAAAAATAAGTTTTAAATTTATTGTAATAATTTAGATAAATTATTATTTTAAATAATTAAATTAAAAAATAAAACAATAAATAAATTTTAAATTTTAAATTTTTTTGTTAAAATGAATATTTTTATTTATAATTTATAATTTATATATTAAATTATTATATTAAAAATAAAAATTAATATAATTAATATAATTTAAATTCAAAAATATTTTTTATTTAAATTTTTTTAAAAATAATTATTTGTATGCATATAATTTTTTTTAATTATATACTTAAGATAAGATTGGACTAAAACAAAATTTATGATTCATTTAAAAATATAAGATACGAAAAATTATTAATATAATTTCTTTTTACTGACGTGATAAATGGATCACTTTTGACTATTTTGTTTACAAATCACGAAATAAACTTATTTAATATGCGAATATACAAATGGGAAAAAAGAAAAACATATTAAAAAGAAAGTCTAAGATTAAATACTCGTATTATTTGAATGGACTTCAATTATAAGAATAGTATATATTATGATTACAGAAAAAAAATAATAAAAAAAATAAGTCACTCATTTTTATTTTTGAAATAAGTGGACCCTGTGTACGCAGAAGCCATTATCGCAATACATTTTGGTGACAAAGTTGAATGGTTGCAAATAATAGTTTTAATTTCATATTCAACGTAATTGAATTTTTTTTTTTTTTTGGCGCGCAGTGATTTGAAATCCCATTTAATGATGAAAGGATTGCCAATAATTCTGTGAGACTAATTCGACTCCGATTATTGGTGGTTGTGGGGTGCATCTGAACATGATATTATTAAATAAATAGAAAAAGTGTTTTTGTTTTTAAATATGCATGTGTTATTAATATAAAATTTTACACAGACATACAAATAATTTATAATAAATTTTAAGATAATTATTATAAAAATCACATATACAAATAATTTTTCTTACACGGCACACTGTTCAATTGTTTCCTCTTTTTTTTTTTTTATCTTACCTGCTCAATCTAGTTTACTCACACACTAGAGGCTTTTGGGAAAGGATTTAAATGTTTCCATTCCAATTTTTCATTTTTGGTACTTAAAATTTCTTTTAAGCGCTTAATTTGTACTATACTTGAAAGCAATTGTCATTCTAACATTTGGACATAGCTAATCTATATTAATATTAACATTAGACATAATATGATTTTTTGTGTTGTTAATCCATTATGATCATGTGATAATATGATAAATAAGTGATCTCAATTTCATAGTTACATGATGCGATTTTATTCGAGAAATAGGCTCTCTCTTACACCTTCTATTTTTTTTAATTGTTAGATCTAAGTGTTATTTCTAAAATTTAAGATAATACTAAATATAGTTTTTATTTGTACTCTAACTTTTTACCTATTTTTTAGTTAATTTATATGTATATATATGTATATATATATATATATATATATATATATATATATATCCTTATTATGATATATAAATAAATAAAGGTAAAATAAAAATCTTCATTTAAAATTAAGAAAAATTATTATTATTTTCTGAAAAAGCATCTTTTTAAAGGAAAAAGTTATAATAAAATAAGCTATTCTAATTGAATAATTTAAATAAAAGAAAAGGTTGACTTCAGATGCAGTAGTTTTTATGTATGTATAAAAGGGTTTTAATACTTATCAATCTGTATTGCTATTGACAAGGATGGTCACCAACCCCTGCACATGAACAGTATAGTTTATTTGCTTCTGTAATGTAGGCTTGTAGAGGTTGAGCATTTGTTTGACAAAATTTTTTATGTTCCACTCTTCTTGATCCTAGAGGCATATACAATTCAAACAGATCATGTACTGCTACTGATACTTAAAAATTCCAGAGAATGCTCTGTTGCTTCAACAGAGTTCACCCTACGAAGTAACATCTCTATCCCATCAACCCATTTTTGCTTATGGAGTTTGTTCTGGCACTTAAATTCTAGAAGACCTTGTGCAGTTTTGAGGCCAAAATATAGCTCTTCGGATGCTTCCCTTTCTTTTCTGTATGGCCATGCATTATCTTTACCACAGACTCCATACACCACACCTGGTACAACATGTATGTCACTCGGAATTAGAGAATAACTATCAACTTTTAATAATATAACAATTCATATTGCATAATTAGATGATAAATTTGCAGCACATTGTTCTTATTATAATTTTAATAAACAACTGCAAAAGAATAGGTGCATGGTTGGTAAGACTTTTGAATGTTGAAAAGGGCTTACATTTTTTCTTTTTGGAGAAGGCTCCTCCAACGTGCTTGCTTTTGATCTTAATTTTGACCTGAAAAACAGGATAAACCAGATTGTTATCTATAAGAAAGAACTTGCCACCCCAAGAAGAAAAATGTTTGTAGGTCAGCTTTTAATATGGTACCTGGCATTTCTTGATATAAACATGGACATGTCTCCATCGTAAAGCCCCTGAAGAAAAAAGTACATGCATCAAACAAGGAAACAATGACAACCAAACAAGTAACACAATTAAACTGGTCCATACAATCAATGATATCATGAATTCAATTCTTGAAACTATTCAAATTTTGAAATGCTCGTTTTTTATTAATGTCAGGACTGAACTATCATTTTCATGGTTCTACAATCCAAATTAACCAATGTTCATAAATTGAGAGACAAATTTCATATACAGTAAAAAAAATCCAGCACTATGAACTGATATTAGCCATGAATTACCTTTTTCTGTGAGCTGCAACAAATCCCCCAGACATGGTGGGTGACGTTCCAACATCTGACCGTCAAAGGCTCGACGCCAATGCGTTTCCGCTATCACCTTATCATACGGACTTATTGACGCATTCTTCTTTGCTTCTTTAGGCAATCTAGCTGTAAGAGCTGCTTCTCCTCGCAAAGCTGATATACATGTACATAATGTACCAAACCAGTCATCAAAATTTCAATATAATGCTTCTCACATTTTCACAAACAGTTTTCAAGTATAGAGATAGAACAATAGAACAATTAGTAACAATTAATTACCTGTTGCAGCTGCAGCCGTGAGAGTCATTAGATCACCGGGGGTTTGAATATCAACGGCGGACCTGACGGTGGAGGCCATGCGCTCCCTGTCCGCGCCGGCTAACTCCGCCATCTCAACGCAATAAGACGCCAAGAGTTGCGTGGCCGAAGCGAGAGCAACGTCCAATTTAGAACGAGAGCCACCGCGCGGGTCCTCTGTTGCGGCCACCGCAGCCACCGCGGAGGCTAACCCCGCAATGGACAGCGCCGAATGCACACGCGCGTTCTCCGCACGCGCCCGATCTTTCTTCTTAACGGAAACGTTCGTGTTCCCATGCTGCTTCTGATGTAACCACTTCCCAATCGCACCCATCCTTCGACAATTTCCAGAAACTGTTATCCTCCCTCCCTGCCAAACAGAACTAAAAACACTTACAACTTGAACAAATTTTGCATCAAAATCAATATTATTTTCGTCTGTACATTCACGAAAAGCAATTTTAATGGAATCAGATAAAATCAAATAGGATACATAAATTTGGTTGAAATAGATAGAATATCAAAACTCAAACTACGTAAATTGAAACAAACTTTGTAACAGTTGATTCATGTATGCATACATTCCATGATATATATAATCTTTTCATTGAATTTAACAAAGTTTATTAAAATTTTGTTGAAATTGTGTGCCTTACTGCTAACTGAGGTGCGGAAATAGGTTCTGGCAATGTGTCGGGATTCGTATCGAGGAAACTTTGTTTTTGTTTCTCTGAGAGAGCCTTTGAGATTTCCGAGGCAGAGAGACTCCATGACCTAGACAAGAACTCCATGGGTTCACGCGGTGTCGGTGGCTCAGCCAACGGTGGCAAGGATGACACCAGTTTGAATTGCTCACTCTCCTGCACATCCTCTGAAGCCAACTCCAGCCAGGACCCATTTTTCCAGGGTGGAAAAAAACCACCTTCCATGTTTCTTTACTTCTATAAAAACTTTGATAGTCTAAAAAAGTAAACGACCAAATTAACCCAATTAGGACCTCAACAATCAAAACAAAGATAATATGGAGAATGAAGAAAGTAAGATACCTGCTTGACAGAGCCTGCAATCAACCTCAAATAAGGAAAATGGATTGGAATCAAAGTGTTGTGCTTTAAACCACCACAAATTCAGGTGTGAGTGAGTTAAACAAGAATCCAACCAAGAAGTACTCAAGTATTTACTACTAGGCTCAAAAAACCAGGTTTGGTGTAAATGTTAAGAAGACATAACCCTGGAGAAGCGGGTATAGGTTCGTGGAGAGACACTGTTGTCGATAACTGAAAGATTTATTGATAATTTAGAAAAAAAGTACGATGATAGAGTTAGAATTAACGGTGAAGAATACATTACATGATATAGACATAGTGTTATAGATAGATACATAGACAGATGAGGATGTGTCATTTTACAACGTGGATTTAATAATTAACGCACGTAAGTACTTTTGGGTTGTTGGAGATTGGAATGAAATGTGTAGTGCAAGACTGTAACTAGTCAATGACGGTGGAGGTCGGTGTTGTCATATATATTCTTAGTTTCTCTCTTTGGCTAAGGCAAGTGACACTCATCACTCACTATACACAATTTAAGATCTCTAGAGGGGCAAAATCACAAGGTAATGTTCTGTAATTCCTTGTACGTCTTTATATAATTGTAATGCGCCAAAAACAAATACTATAATTTCGTCAATCACCATTAGTTTTAGGCTTCAACGTTACAACGCATGTTTGATATTTTGGCATATGCATTGGTTAGGAGGCCATGCAAACCCCAACAATTTGAAGTTTTGAACTATGAATGTTGGATAGGATATCACTCCAATGATAGTAAGTGTTAGTATCGGACCCAACAATATTATAGAGATCTAAATTATATTTGAGTGGGCATAATGTTATTATTAGATATTTTTTAATACACTAATATGAAGATTCTTAAAATTAAGAGACAAATAAATTATAAAAGAGAATATAATATAATATATTTGTTAAAAAAATTTAAAATAATGAGTCTATTTGACTTTTTTATTTATTTAAAATGTAAATGTGATTATGAAGTTTTAATAAAAAAAAAATTAGTGAATTATAAATAAGAAAGATTCGTAAATTAATATTTTAAAATTTTCTATTGAAATTAATACGAAAGATCTTCCATTACAAATGTAAATAACTATCTGAAGTCTCTCCTAGTATACAGTTCAATACTAACAACATTTGATATTTGAGAAAAAGAAACAACACTTGGTTTGGTTTGGTTCCACCTGTTTACAACCATGGACTCTCTACACATGGATCTAACGTAGGCAGAAACAAAAGCGACCATGTAGAAGTGTATTTGCATTTTGCAGGTCTCGATAATAGCACAGAAGAACTACATGTGATGTCTATGTCATGTATATAAACTTGGATTTCTGTGACAGTCAAATGCAGTGTGCTAATTAGTCAACCTGCTATATGCAACATTATTAATTTTAAGAGTTTAGACGAAAAATATGCATAACTTTTTCCCATAAGTAATGACAAATGCCTTGAAGTTGCAACATAGCTGTGTCTGTAAGTTCTTTATATATATAAATATTTTTACACTGTTGATTGCTTAAAAATAATCTCAAGTATAACATAAAAAAGTATGAGCACATTTTAATTAACTGGATGAAGTTCTAGTTTTGTCTTAAGATACTGTACTTATTCTCAGATCCTGAATTGTTACTCTGAAAACGTGGGCAAGTTATTACATTAAAAATTAGCAGAAGAAAGCACACCCTGTTTGTTCATAATGATTGAGTAACTGCATGTGTGAATGAATCTTAATAAATCATACCTAAAGTGTACTTTTAGTTTGTAGTGCATAGTAGTATTAGTCTCTCCATCTTATCGAAAGATGAGGAAGGTAAAAAGATTGCTGAAGGGTTCGTTTTTTGTGTGATATAAGGTATTAGTTGAACATAAAACTAAGCGTCTTTTCACGATGCCTTTTGTAAAGCAAAAGTATGTGGAAAGGTGAGTCTGAAAGAAGGGTTTTGGTGGCAACAGCAGGCACTCGCTTTCAATGGGCCATTGTGAAACGTAGTGATCACAGGCTGGTGTAGAGGCAAATGGTAGAACAAGAATGTGTCATGTTATTAGAGAGGTTATATCGTGCAAGTTAGGCACACAAATACACAATTCATCATGTGACACTGTCTTCAACCACATCTGGATGTACCACTTACATCTTCAACCCCAAATAACTGAAAGTTACATCTTACCTACTGCGTCTCTTCACCATATTCATCATCAATTTAAAAACAAATTTTATATATATACATTGAGAAATTTCACCTATGATAACATTGAAATATATTGGTAAATCCAGTGTTGAATTAAATTAGATATTTATATTTTTTTATATGATTTTAAAATTAACTCTAAAGATATTAGGTAATTAATAATTAATAAAAATTTAATATCAAATAATCATCTCGAATGATACGAAGAAGTGTGTTGATAAATTTTACGCTGATTACAAATATAATATTTTAATATATAAATAAATAGAATTATTATGTGAGAGTAGATAGTTTATATATATTTTTAATATATATATATATATATATATATATATATATATATATATATATAATTGTAATATATGGTAGAAGCATGATACATTCCATTCCATCAAAATAGTAGGATTTGACCGAACAGCATGACGCATCATATAAAAAAAATTTAAAACTAAAAAGCGTGTCAGATTGAATTTGAAAAAAAGAGAATGGCTTCATGCAAATCAAACTTAAGGTAAAAATCATGAAATGGATTCATTTATATATATTAATAAAAAATAAAATATGTATATTAAAATAATAATAGTGTAAAAATATTAGTCATAAAATTACTTTAATATTGTCTTAAGCTTTTTAATTGTTCATGTCTATGTGCACCTTAGTCACTTTTAAATTATTTTTATGAAATGAGTGACGGAATCTTTGGAAATAAGTGAGGGAAGAATATGAATCTTATTATTCTTTTTGGATAAGACATGTTGAAAGTTAAATGGATAAAGATACAACTTTTATTGTGTAGAGATCAATCATATATTATATTAATTAAATATTTTATCTGTGAAAAAAAAATGAAATGGGGTTGAAATCCATAAACAAATCTCAAGCAGTGACCATATAAACGAAAAACGTTTTATCATTTATATAAAAACCCAGCAAATCAGTAATTGTTATAAACTAAAGATCTTTTTGTTTTTTAAGAACTATCTAATTTCAGATTTTTTTGATATATATATATATATATATTCAATGAATTTCAGATTTATACTTTTCAAAATTAGATGAATTTAATTTTTATATATTTTCGTTTAAAATAATTGTTTACTTTTATTAACATTTTATGAACAAAAAAATAAATCCCTATGACAGTTTCATCTGTCCCTTCATTCTAAAATGATTGTAGAAAATTTCTTTTAAAAAATAAATTGACTGGTCTTCTTAGTTTTCAATAAAAAATATTTTTTAAGTTATAATTTTTTTAAAATGAATATTCTCTCCGTTATAAAAAAATGTATTTATTGAAAAATCAGAGTTAGTATATTACTTTAAAAAAATCAATTATAAGCTTAAAATAATGTGTTTTTGTAATAGAAATAACTTCATAAAAATAATAAATTCACATTAGTTACTAAAAATACTAGATATTCATAGTTTTCTCTTCTGAAGGATTAAGAAAAATATATATATATATATATATATATATATATATATATATATATATATTATTCTTAATCTGAAGATCTAAAATTAAGGAATAAGAATCAACTACAACTCTAATATCAACCTTTTATGATGTTAATATTCTAATTAAGAATAAATATATTTTAATATTATGTCCGATAGATAATATTTTTAGAGTTTATTATTATAATTGAGATATTATTTATTTTAAAATTTTAATCTATCACATTTTTATTTTAAAATAATATATTAATAAATTAAGAGAGAATAATATATATATATATATATTATTAATTTCCACTTCTATAACTTTTATGCAAATATATAATATTGAAATAGGTTCAGTTATTAAAATTTTCTTTTACAAATCACAGATACATTTTTTTCCTAAAAATAATATATTTAAGTGTCATGAGAGTTTTATGAATGACAAAATTATTCTTTTTGAAGTGTTTGATACATTTACATAATTCATAAGGTTAGTTAGTTAAATTATGTTTGATTCAGTTTTTGTTTTGTTTTTTAACTGGTGTTAGTAATTAATTTTATGAATAAGTAAACAAAAAGTTCTTTAATAATTACAACTTAAAAATATTATAAATGAAAGTTAAAAAAATGTTTTTAATCATTTTTATAATAATAAAAATGAATAGTGTATTATATTTGTTGAAAAATTGAATACTAAAAACGGTATTTTTTTCAAATTCTATTTTTTAGTTTTTAAAAATAAATAAAAAATGTTTTTGAAAATACTGTTTTATTAAAATAATATCAAACGATTTTTAATATTAAAAAATTGAAAAAAAATTGTTATGTAAGAAAATAATTGAATTTGGTGGAGGAGGGTGGTGAATGTGGTTGGAACATAGTGGAGGATTGAATGTATTGACATTGATGAAATCCAAAAAAAGAGCGTCATTGGAGCGTCTAGGGTTTTCAGCACTTACAAATTATTAGGGTTTGGGAAGAAGGTTGCTGAAAATTCTCCAATAAATTGTGGCCGTTGCACGATCCACGTCTTAACTTCACCCCAATTACAAAAACAAACCTGTTTAATCGTAATTTTAAAAACTATAGAAAAATAATTTGTTTGAATTAGGTTAAATATAAGTTAATTTTAAACTTATGATTTTCATTTTCTCGTCTTCAAATAGTTTCATCGTATATAATTTTTTTTTCTTTTTACATTTATAACCTAACCATTATCCT